TGTGAACAACCTATGATCCGACTTGATCATCAACAGGTTCTGCTTTGTCCTTCGAGACATAAATTCAGGATCCCCCCTACAAATTTAGAGTCGCAAGGAGACCTCTGACCAATGGCGGGTTATCCTCCCACAACAGGGGCCTACCCTCAAGGTCAGCCCGTGCAAGCGGGGCTCCCACCGCCTGCAGCTCCCATGTATGGAGTCCCGACACCTCCTGTCTATGGAGCGCCCGCGCCGGTTGCACCAAGCCAGTGGCAGGCCGGCTTCTTCGGATGTTTCGAGGACTGCGGCCTCTGTGAGTCTAGCACCCAAAATCAGCATCAGCTTCTTAGCTGCCCTAGATTCGTGCTGTGCCCTTGCTAGTGAATCTTGACGTCCCTACCCGTTTCTTGTGAACCTCAGAATGTGAAGAATTTGTGGCAAGCTGACAAGGACAAGATGATCTGATAGTCAAACCGTGCGGCATCTTTTGATGTAATTCAGCTTCATGTGCATGATGTTTGTCGCGTAAATCTAATATTCTTAACAATGGTGTCATTTCCCCCTTATTGGCGAATCTTAATGGCCGAAGTCTTTCTTTGGACGGGGACATAACAGTTCTTTTAACCTTAATCCTTCCCAGCTTTGGTCTTCGCTTGAGCCAACCTGTGCACTGTTTAAAAGGCGTTGCTTACAGACCAAATCTAGCAAACATCATGATTGAAAGATTGTCCCTGTGCATATGTAGAGCAGTAAACTGTAGCAGATAATGCGTGAGATGTGCATATGACGTCACTCACATCAAAATCGAAGGCTTCTCCCTATCTGACATGAGGAACAATAGTAAGAGCTTAAGAGCTTCTGGAATTCCCATGAATCTACTCAGATAAGAGTTCCAGAAGATCAGGCCTGTGTTGAGCATTGAAAGACCTCTACAAGAATGCTAATCAGTGGGTTGGCACAGCAATACTGGGGACCTCACCCTAGTGAGCTAAACTTTGGTCTTTTGCAATTTTGAAGACCTAACTTGTCTCTGCTTCTCGCAGGTATTGTCACCTGCTTCGTGCCTTGCATCACCTTTGGACAAACCGCAGAGGTGATCGACAATGGAGTCACATGTAAGTAATCTCAAAAGGGCATCTCCCTCTCATGCCCTATGATGTTTTGGCTCACATTGTCAGTACAGCTTCAGCTCTTTCCGTGTCCTGAAGGATCCTTTAGAGTGCTGTCATCACCTGCAGGACTATAATGCACCCCTCTGATTGGAGCAGACAGAGTGTCAATGTGGTTATTGGTACTGCATTACATTGCTTTCCTTCATACTTGACAAGAGTCTAAGGATCGCTAAGATGGCACCCTTGTCTTGCAGCCTGTGCAACCGCCGCCGCGATCTGCTGCTTGATCGAGGCCGTCACAAGTAAGTTAGTTTGGGGCATACCCACAAATGGCAATCAAGCACCACTGAGCTCGTGTGGCCTCACCGCAAAAAGCTGACGTCTTGAAATGCCCTTTCAACTTATTACCAAATGTTACCCCTGCTGCTCCACATGGTTTTTTCTGCAATCATTGAAAAAGTGCTTTGATCCCGACACCTTGAAGCGGAGGCAGTTTGACACTCGTGTGAAAAATCCGAAACGCCTCTTCTGACCACTATCTCATACTTCTTTCCTGCGTTGTGTGACTGGAAGTTGTTTGCATACCTGAGAGGCTAATGTGGATCACACTCTCTCCTGCAGGCTGCAGCTGTTTCTACTCCTGCACCTACAGGAAGAAATTGCGCCTTCGCTTCGGGTTGCCAGTGAGCCACAACTGTCACATTGTGTCGCCTTTTGGTGGCAGAAGCTGCTTCATCTCGGTTGAATGCACATTCTTCTTTTTGGAAAGCTCTCAATCGGTGCTCAGTAGGAATTTCTGCAAGGGGAGCATTGCTGCTTTTACTGGGTTCTTTGAGTTTGAACTAGAAAGCCCTCTGAACTGCTGTAGTGGTCGAGACTCGCCTTTTCTTCCATGCCAACACCTGGGTTTGTAGTACTGCGTAGGCCGACCGCTTTCTCAATGGGTCTCCTCTTTCCTGCCCGCTGTTTGCAATCTCCACTGATGTGGCAACACTGTCAACGAAAGACTTGAAATCCATAGGGCCGATCCAGTAAAGAATCATAAGACAGATATGAAAGAAGCCTATACGCCTTTCGCTTATTAAAGCCGCAAAGTGTGTCCCCTCTGATCTAATTTTCGGTACATGATGGCCTGCTCCGCCATCTTTCCTGCTTGTTTCAAGTCCCTCGTCCGTCTGCCTTCGCTTCCGGGAGTGCCAAATCATGCTGTGCTGCTAGCCTGGTCAATGATTGAAAGGAGTACATAAACAAAGGTCGGACTCGGTGTCCCCAAGTCCTCGCCTTTGTAGCCGGGGCTGCAAGCGGGCTCATATCAAAGGCTCAACCTTTTCATCGTGTGCAGGAGGAGCCGTGCAACGACGTCTGCGTGCACTGGTAAGCGGCATCATCCGCACCCTTGTCCTCTTTCATGACCTCTCTAGTTGCTTCGTAACCCTCTTTCGCTGCCTGTTGCAGCTTTCTCCGAGGTTGCTCCCATCCGTTCTACTTGGTCTCGTTGAGGGTTAATAACGTGACGTGTAGGGAGACCGACACGGAAATCTGCTCGTGTCATGAACGCCGCACACGAAAGTGCTGCGCCTCGAAATCATATGGTTTGCCTGAACGTGGCGCCAATGTCTGGCTAATTTTAGAGAATGCGCTTCGCTTAAACAATACTCTAAAGCTCGTTCATTTGCACTTCTCGTACAGCTGCTGTTGGTGCTGCGCTTTCATCCAGGAGGTAAGCAAAGGGCAGTCGCGGCTTGGTATTGCACTCAACTGTTGTATGTATCGGAACCTGACACAGAGGTGTCCGCAAATGGACTTACACTTTGTGGAGAGATTCGAGCTACGTGGCCAGTAACGGCCCACGTGGCTTCTAGAGCAGTACGTCGCCCTTGTTTCCAGCATGATTGTAACTAGACTTGAAATCAGAAACCAGGAATAGCTGGCGGTTTCTTGATCCACAAGGAATGTCGAGTTTTGGTTTACAAATGTCGAGTCACGCAGCCCAATCGTTGCTTTCAGAGTGGAAGGGACATGCAAGCACTATTTTGGATCGATTGAGCTTGGAAGGCCATGCTCGAAGAGCAGTAGCGCAAGTCAGATCGTTCTGTAGCAAGCCCGCCAAAGTAATGTCGCAAGTCCATGGTAATGCATCGCTGAAAACTGATCATCATCCGTGTCCGCTTATCCCCTCCAGTACCGCGAGCTCCAGCTCCGTGGCATCGACCCAGCAAAGGGTGAGCGGAACAGGACCTCGCTCCTTTTGTGACTTCCGGTCCACCTGACCCCAAACGATCGGAATTGCAAGGACGTCGTTCGGCCTGGTTTCTAGACAGAATTGTCGCTCCGTCCCGGCGAGCTCCGTCATCGACGTTGCATGTGATGCTTTGCTTTAAAAAAGCCCTGGCCGGTTATACTGCATCAAGATGCCAGAGATCTCCAAAGGTATATGCGCGTTTGAGGTGCATCCGGTCTCGTGTCTTCTGCACTTCCCCATTCCTTATCAAATACGTTGCCTTAAAAATATATTCAATGCCTTCGAAGCCTTGACAAGCTGCCAACATGACTGAGTACGCGTGCCCCTCGAAAGGGAAGGCTGTAAGTGGGCGATATATTATCGAAACACCAACAAAGACCCCGGATCGCGACTTCCCTTCATTGGCCGTAAAACTGTCTCTTTAAATCCTGAAGATGGCATGTTCAAATGTTTGTGTTTAATTCTTGCAGGCTACCAGGCGTATGCTTCACATCCTGTCCAGCAGGTTCCGATGCAGCAGTATATGCGAAAGGAGTGATTGGGTATCGATGTGTTATTGTAATTTGCCCAAATACGGTTCCCGCTACTTTCAGGCAAAGACGTGAATATGCCCGGTAATTCCGCATTGCACTAAAGTCAACATAGTCAGTTACGATAGACCGCGACTTCCGAGTCTTCAGAATTGGTTGCGATTTATCTTAACTTCTTTAGTGTCCTTTGATGCTAAGTGATAGAAATAGGGGATCGATGATTATTGAAAGCAGATTAAGATAGGTGATTTGAAGGTCTCGAATTGATCGGACCGCGCCGTTTAGTCAAAGGTATGAGCAAGGGGCGGCGTCATACGACTAGCTTTTATGCAAATATGGGTCACAAGTTGCTTTCTTAGCAAGCCCTGCCCATGAGCCGGGTGTTAGAATTGTCGTTGGGGACCATTGCCGTTTCCTGCTCCCTGACTTGGAGGGATCCGGAACGTCAGATTTCTACTTCTGTAGCACAATCTAGGACGCATCTTAAAAGTTTAAATAGTGTCTTCTTGGGCGCTCGTGCTACCTATGTGGTACGGCCTTGTAGAATTAAACATGAAGTCCCGACCTTGCCTCGCCTCAACAGAGACAACCCCCAATACTCCATCTACGTAATTGTCAATGTGCCGTAGGAATGCAACCCGCTATCTTCCAACAATGCAGTGATGATTACCAGGGTCGGGACTGCAGCTGACCATGAGCTAGGCTATCGGGATAATGTTTTCCGCCAAGAAATTGCTTGAGTTTTGGTGAAGTTTCAGTTAATCAGGACCTCGCAGCTAGGGTTCTTGCTCTAAGTCTAGGACGGGTCTGGGCCCTAGGACCCATTAAGCATCGGCACTGGGTCCTACAAACAAACGCTATTTGGGCTCTCACCACCCTGCCAGGCAACTCAAGCACACCACTTTACGACTGCCTCGGTAGCGAGGCAGCTAGCGAGGCTAGCTAACATTCGGCGGTCATTCGCAAATGTCCATAAATGTGCAAGCAGTATCTACGTGAGCGGATGCGTGGTGCCTATGACAACATCTAGAGATAACCCTGTGCTTATATGCCCCTTTTAAAGCTTGGTTATCTCAACTCGTTTCCGGCCTCTGACGCACGCCCTCTTCCGAGCCGCTAAAGGTCCAATCCATTTCCGGCCATTCCGGTCACATGGCGGGGGACGCGGCGGCTTCCGCCGCGTCCATTTCTTCCTTGACTTTCTTCATTTCGCGCAGTAGCGAGCTGCTACGGCTGCCGAGGCGCGTGACGCTCATGAGATGTGCGCTGACGGACTTGAAGGACATGGCCAGGGTGTCGTCGTCTTCCGCCGGATCCTGGCTCTCCTCCCACTCGCGCTCCAGTTCCGCCGCGGAAACCGGGGCTGCAGGGGCAAACCAAGAAGGGACCATTTACGTCAGCAATTTCAGCTCGGGATTTCTCGACTGTGGGCAACAGTATCCTAGACCACTCCAAGGAAATCAGGGGTTGAGGAAAGAGCATTCCGTTTCCTCTGCACGGAACCGGCAAACGGAACGCCGAGGTTCACTCGAGACGATCTCAAGACGAGGCCCTCAGAATCAAGCGTTTGCAAATCAAGAGTCGCAAAAAGAGTCTCGAAACACTGCAAGCCGTCGAACACAAGCTGGTATTTCCGTGGGAGAATACTCAGACCTCTACCGGTAACGGAGCCTTACGTTATTACATCACAGCGCGAATCGTTAATCATTTTCCCTTCGTGTTCCACAACTTGTGCTTATAAGGTACATAGCGTGCCCGCGGTTCAATCATTCCGCTGTTCCGCTATTCCGCCTCGATCCTCACCTGCGGTGGTGGCGATCCGGAGCTCGGACTGGCTGCGGTGCATGTCGAAGTTGAGGGGCCAAAAGGAGGACACTCGGCGGGCCATCTCGTGGAAAATCACCTGGAATTTACCCAGGAATAATCTCCAGGTTAGGACACAGCTGACCACTTACCGGCAAACCGGAGAGACTGGTGCCCGGGAAAAAAGCGGAGAAGAGAAAGGTGCTGTCGTAAACGGTGCCCGGGGAGAGGAATGACCAGAGACGCTGGTCCGCTGGCTGTAAGAACGGTGCACAGGGAACGGGCACACGGTAAAGAGAACATAACTGGAGAGGAATTATTGGAGGTGCCCGTTCGAATTTTGCCAGGGAGTGAGTCCGCAAACAGTGCGTCCTTTTAATAGGCGATGAAGAATACGAAGAACAAACAGAGAAGGTCGGTCCCCGAGAGTTGCTTCCGGAGGGAGACGTATGGGCAAGACGCTCAGGACACCAGAAACGGCAATGATGGAAGGTTCCGCAGAAAATTTCACGATTCTCGGCGAGGGAAAATGATTTGAGTCGAAAAGGCTGTATCTGGGCCCGTCTGCCGAGTTCTCATCCAGCCCTCGCAACTAGATTGCCAGGCGTAAAAGTGAACGGTTCATTTTCGCCCCGCCGCAAGAGCTGCGCAGCACTTGTCTTTGAACAGCCTTCCTAGTCCCACCCCGCAAAGGACTGATATTCGTTTCTGGGCTCTTATACGAAACGCATAACGTACCAGGAACGAAATGTAGCGCTGCAGCGAGAGGAACCGGTTGTCCACCAGTTCTTCCAGCGGCGCCTGCGAGTCGAAGATGGCCTGGACCTCCGCGGGGAGAGTGCTCAGGAGCTGATTCCGCTCCTCGGGGGCTTCCGCCACGGGCAGCCCCTCGGAATTGAGGACCGGAACGGATTCCCCGGTGAGGCGAACGCTCTGGGTGTGCGCGAGCGCGTTCTGCTTCAGCTGGGCTTTCTGCAGAAGGAGCCAGCAGGAGACGGAGAAAGCTCAGGGTGACTTGGATACGTAATGGAAACGACGCTGCTGCAACGGAGGAAAAGCGGACCGGCAGTCCACCTATCAGCGGAATCGGGTGAGCTGCCAACAACTACGGTCCTTTGATTGCTTTGTTGACCCCGGTTTCAAGTTGTAGGAGCAGTACGCAGCCCAATTGGAGCGGTCGCTTTTGTGACTGAGTTTAAGGCGGCGACGCAAGGCCTACAGCGGCTCGAATCGAAGTCGAAGCTTCCATGGGCAGACCCCAATCAAGTAGCGCTCCAGAAAACGCACGCAGCAAAGAGTTCAAAAGGAAACGTGGGCCTAGGCCTCACGATGCGGCGGCGGGCTTTTCTGACGGGCGCCGAGTCGAGCAGATGACCCCCCACGACGCTCTTGTTGATGTCGTCGTAGAAAGAGGCGTCGCCGTGTTGTCCTTCGGTGATGGCGCGCTGGCGGGCCGACAGGCGCATCTGGGACGGGGAACCGGTGGTTAACTAAGGTTAACCGTCATTTCAATCTTAGTAGCCCCGCTTTCCTTTTGAGATTTCGGTCGGGCACTCGAGTGACGCCATTGACCGTTTCAGATCACGTTCGCGGGCGCTCGGTGGATGAATGCTTCGATTCGGATGCAGAGCAGAATAGTGCAGATTGAGTACCCTTCGCTGATTGATCGTTCTTCTTTCGCAAAGGCGCTACGTATCACCTCCAGTGACCAGACGTTTCGGAGAGGATAGACCGCTTAAACCGGCCCTCGTTCGGTGGTTTCCAGCGCAAATCCGCGATTAGACACCTTTCATAGCTTTATAAAAGCGCGTACTCTGGGGGTTTATCTTCTTGCAAGCGTTTTAAAGGGCTCCAAGCCGCTTGAGATTTTTTACTCGAAGCATCGCTTACCGGCTCTGCCTCGGCATCCCCCAAGATCGCCTCGCAGATGAACCTTGGGCGACGAGACGGGATGGTGATGTGCTTATCCATGATCATCTTGACGGAGTACAGGTTATGGCCTGCATACAAGGATGGACAGCGATATGCGATCAGCAATAGGAGATCTGATTGCGGAATCGGCTAAGTATGCAATGACTTGACAGCTGACAGAGTCAGGAGCAAGGATCTTGCAAGTGCTCAGGCTGCTAGCAAAGCTCGTGAGACATATTCGGCTCTCTTTATCGGCTGTCAGAACACTTTTTTCTTCTATTGAGAGTCACTGCGCAAGGGAAGTAGCACGAATCTGCGTCCGAACATGGCAGAACCGTGCTTTGCACCACAACAAGAAAGTGGCAATAGTTTCGGATCAAAGTTCTCAACAAACAGATCTGTGTGCCGTACCAACAGTCAGCGTCTCCGCCCCAACCCCTAGGTTGACGATGCTCTTCGCTTGCAGCAGGGCCATAAGCACCCAGGCCTCGTCTACAAGAAAGCAGACGGAAACGTGGTCAAGGGGTTTGTGTGTACTTGTTGACAACAGAAAGACTCTATCTCCACCGACACTTTCTTTTTGAAACCGTGGAAAAGATGAGGAAACGAATTTTGCATTGAGTTTTAAGACAAATGCTTGCAAGTGGGCGGATTGACCGGATGCTCCATAGGACGCTTCACATCAGATGGTGACGCCACAGCGTTCTGCGCCACTCTACGTAAGCGCGTGCATCGAAGCGGCAAACATCGTTGGATAGTACCGCACGTCTTGACGATCCGAAACATTTGAAAACAATGGCAGGCGGCAAAGGAAAGAAGCAGAAAAACCGAAGATAGTCACTACAATCGCTCTGTGCTCACTCTTTGTCTGTGTGGTGAAGCGACCGTCGGGTCTCCCAACAGCAAGAAGAACTCCCCTGCGCAAGTAAGCAAACATTTCCGTCAATCCAGTTCTGCAAAGTGACACAGAATGACGTCGAGAACATTACAAGGAAGGTTTTGAAACCTTTCTGAGCTTGCGCTTCGATCTCTCTTTTCCCCAAGCACTGCACAGGAAAAAGTTCCGAAAGGCAAGCATGCTCCTATGGTCTCTTTACGAGCGCAAAGGATCTACAAAAGTCCAGTCAAATTAAAGGCGACCGCCCTGCAAAGGCTGAAACCCTAAGCCTCTAAAGCCCCTCAAGATTGAATGTATCTCGATGTGAGAGCAGGTAAAGGAGAATTCAAATCAGATTGTCGATGCATCTCTCGCGTCTTCGCAAGTGCGATTTTTTTGGATCTCGATTGAAATCCAAATCGCTTTTCAGATTCCTTCCAAATCTAATGCGACCCAGGTACCAGAAAATTCCTCGCAAACGTCCTCACCTGGTGACCCGGTGCGTAAAGCGGTGTACCAAGTGGTCCAGGGGGTTGGCCCCGTGCACGTCTATGCTGGCAATCGAGTAGCTCAGCGCAAACTGCACAAGTTTTAAGAATCCCATCAGCTTCCCGGTCCTTTACGTTTGAGTTGAGCTTTCGTCTCGCCTTCTCGTTCTGGTATCTACACCTCCTCGATCAGTTCTGCACCATACCAACGTCCAGTAGCTCTCCTGATCAAAGCCCGCCACTCTTACCACTTGCTTGTAATTTGTCCATCTTCACGCACATCGCATCCGAGCTGTTCGATACCTCCTGGGGCCTCTGGGCACCTACTTTTTTCTCAAATACAGAGCTGATCTTTTCGCCCTTCCCTCCGCAATTCTCCCATCATCCAGCGCCTCCTGATTAGGTGACGCGCACAAGGGACGCACACACAAGGGTACCACATCAGCTGGGCGTCGCGCAGCCTGAAAGTCCTGTACGAAGCTTTAGAAGACTGTCACGCAAAGCGTTCCATCGCTTTGAGTCGTTGCAAAAAGCATACCCGGGCCAGAAAATGCTACAGACTCACGAGCTTGGAGACGTAGATCTCGAGCAGCTGGTGCACGTACGGTACGTCACAGATGACAAGCGTGCGCTTCCCGATGCGCGCGAGCAGCTTCCGCCGCTGGACCAGCCGCAGGAGCAGCGTCATCATGAGCGGAAGGAACAGGTAGAACAGCGAGTCCACGAACGACGCCCACCAGAACAGGGTCGTCTTCGCGGGGCCGCCTGCGAGTGGAAGATTTGGACCGTTGAAATCTGGATTACTCATCTTGCAAGTTCAGGAACAAGGTGCGTTTTGACCTCGTCTCCTGCGTCGACTGATATTTCTGTTTCTGTCCTAAAACAAAGTGGTCATCAGATACGGGGCCATCTTGGCTCGTCCAATCAAGTGCGAAATATGGGCTCCTTCGCAAGCAACGACCCAGCCCAAACCTTGAGTGACGGAACACTCAAACGACGAGGCTTGGAACTCAAGCGTCTTAGCTATCGAAGATATTGAGAAGCCCAAATCTTGAGGCGCCGAGGGAATAGTCCTTCAGGCAGGCCACCTGCAACTGGAGACTTCTCCAAGGTTTGGCCTTTGCAATTCGAAGGTCTGGAAAGTACTCCCGAGTATCTGGGTTACACAATCGTATCACTCCGGAGAGCGGTCATGAGTAATTTCTGATATCCTCCACTAGACGGAGCGGAATGATTGGGGTTTCTTCCTTATGTGATGTTTGCAAACAGAGCTTCTCAATCGGAGATTCACAGGACGCTCTGGGGTTATCAGCCCTTGCGTCGATCGCACGGAACCTTACCGAAGCCCAGCTGGAGCAGCAGCCAGATGTCGTGGAACAGCGGGAAGTGTGACGTCACGGTGCCGATGATGTAAGCCGCGCACATGAGCCACACGATGGGGCCCTCCAGGATGTGCCACCCCCACTGCGGCCGGAGCAAAAGCAACTCGGACAGGGTTTTACGATTCAATTAAGGTTGCTAACCACAGGGTCAGATCCGTGGGCGAAAGCGACTCTCTTAGACCTCCCAGATCTTTCTTTGAAAATGGTCAAACGAGCCAGATCGTCCGCCTGTCTTCCAGGACTCTAGTCACCGGATATGTGCGCGACCTTGTAGATTGTCTCTGTGAACGGTCGCGGCGATTTGGGTTCTATGGAGTGCAGAGCTTAGCTTCATGAGAGGTATGAACCCAGGCCGTAAAGGTCGGAACTCCAGAAATGCGAATCGCTCACGCGCTGGCTTCTGTGTAGCAGTTGCCTGTATTCAGATAGCCTCCTCAATGATCTCTAGGATTCAATTCGTTGTGTTGAATGCAAAACAGATAAAGAAAACCGGAACAGGAAATGAAAGGATCGCTTACGTGTCGGCCTTGGGCTATGAGATCCTTATAGACGGTTGCGTCCGGGTTCTCTCCCGTCAGCTCGCCGACCCCCACCCCAAACACCTGGTTAACCGCCTCCACATCCCGCACGTCTTTGATGCTCAGCCGCATGCCCAGCGGATTTGCGAGGCCAAAGTTAACCTGCGAAATAACCACGGATATGCCGGGTTTGTAGGATTTTAAGGTTCTGAAGCTCATCCGCATGCCAGCGGGTTTGCGATGCCGACGCTAACCGGCGAGGATAACCACGGAATTGCAGGTTTGTGAGAATGACGTCTTTGATGCTCATCCGCATGCCCAGCGGATGCGATTCCATATCCAATGTGCGAAGATGACCAGCGGGGTTATGCAGGGTTTTGCAGGAACCAGAACGGGGTGCTCTTTGAGAAGGCCGGTGATGTCAAACGGAAAGGCTGGAAGACTGTTAACTAACAGAGTTGCTTTGCATTGGCAAAGTGACCGCAAGGCCAGAATGTTTGTATCATAAGCGGGCTGACATGTTGCGAAACTTTAAAGATCTTCAAAGATTTTCAAAGCAGGACAAAATCTGACAATAAAGCAAAGGAAACCCGCAGATAAAGGACACCATTATGATGCGGCAATTCTAAGATCAGAAACCGGTCCCAAGCCAGAGACCGTTCCGCTGACGAAAGGAAGCACATCAACGCTTGTCAACCGAGGGCACCATAACACCCTTTGTCCCCGCGATCAGATAGCGGGGGCTCCATTTTTTCAGACTCGCAGCGACACTCTGTCAGGTGTCCAGGTTATTGTGTCGCCGTAGAGCAAGGTGGGGGGGGCGCGCCCTCTTGATCAAGCGTCGCTTGGACAAGTTTCCTGCGCCGCTTACCTGCATTTGCCGCGCCAGGAAGAGCATGAGCTCCGTGAGGGTCTGATGGGTCGCCACGCACGAGACACTGGCGGGCTCCGCGACGCGCCAGCCCGCGCAGTTGGTGAAGATGCGCGCGCAAAAGGGCGCGCCTTTTGTGCTGCTCTGGCCCACGACCTCGCTCATCTTGCTGTCGATCATGCCCACGCACACGAACACGCGCCTGGGGAAATGGGAAAAGATGATGGGTTTGCTAGACCCTGCTTTCCTGTTCGCTCTTTATTCTCTGGTGTTTCCGAGAACTGGTTCAGTGGGTTGAATCTGGAAGAGTATTGTGCAGAAAGAAGGACTCGATAACGATTAGGCGCAAGTTTCATGACGCTTCGTTTGTGCATCTGTTATGCCGCGCGTGGACTCAGGACCTTAATCAGTAAACGAACTCAGAAAGACGACCGAAAAGTTTTCATTTCTTATGAGGTTGCCTCAATGATTGCCCAGAAAGTCAACGACCTAAAATTGAAAGGTAAATCGGAAATTACATCTTCAGAAACAAGAACAAGGCGCCAGGTCGAAAAGAAACTCTGTTTTTGACGTTCCACACGCGTACTGCAGGGCTCTGAAGTTCGTGTCTGCGATTGGAAGCGACCGTCCCGCGAACACGATAAGGAGTTTTTCTCGACATGCCAACGGGTGCTTCGAAAATGAAGGTCTACTGTATGATGACCGGTGGTTTACCCCGGGCACTGCTTGAGGAGGATGCGCGCGGCGTGCAGGGTCGGAATCGAAGCGCCTGACCACGCGATAGAGAGTTCGAGCTAAAAAGATACCTCGACGTATTTTCAGAGCGCGAAGAGCTTCTTCGGCAGAAACGCTGCCATCGACCGGTAGCTTACCCCGGCACTGCTTGAGGGAGGATGCGCGTGGCGTGCAGAATCTGCTTTAAACGCCTAGCCACGCGGTAAAGAGCTCGAGCTAAAAGATACCTCGCCGTAATTCAGAGCGCCGAGAGCTTCTTTCGCAGAGACTGTGCTATCGACCGGGGACTCACCCCGGGCACTGCTTGAGGAGGATGCGCGTGGCGTGCAGGGTGGGGAAGGTCTGCCCCGACTGCGAGATGCAGAGCACGACGGCGGTGTCGAGGTACTGCGCCAGGCTGCCGAACGCGAAGCCGGCCGCGGAGATGCGCCCCTTGTTGCTGCCCAGGATCTGGATCACCTTGTTCGACGATATGGCGGCAACGTACAGCTGGGGGAACACTGCGGGGCAGAAAAGTTGACGGTTTTGTTGCATGCAAATCGGATAATGATACCTTTGCAGCTTTTTCTGGTATTGCTTTGGTGGCTTTGTTGGACGAAATGGCCTTGATGTAGAGCTGGGGAACGCTGCGGGGCACGAGGTTGCACGTCTTCAGTTACTGGGCCATGGATAGGTTCATTTTATCAGTGGGCCAAGACCTGGATGAGTTAGTTAAGGACATGATTCCAACGATATCTTGAGTTGGAGCTGTAGCAGTATTGCAGGGTGGGGATGAAGATAGAACAGGGAGGCTAACTGAGCATAGAGGCCTTCCGACACAAGTACCATTCTGACAAGCCTTCTCAAGGACGACTTCAGAATCAGGTTGGAAGCTCGTACATCAGCGTACATTCCAGGACGACTGAAAGAGAGAGAATCTCTGCAGGACTTATACCCGTGGAATGCGAAATTGGCACGTGCGGAATGGAGCGGGATTGGCCGTCAAATATCGAGCGCAGCGTCGGAAAAACATGAACAGCGACATTCAAGAACTGTTTCCTTCTGTTGGCAAGGAGATCTTATTCACGGTCTTATGAGGGCATCGCATTTCTTCCTACGGACTGCATCTTGATTCTGGTCTCAACCGGAAGCCCCAAGCCCACTGTCAGCTCAAGAGATGAACAAGACGAGCGGTCTTGGATATGCCGACGTACTGTTCATAAGGTCGGACGCAAACTGCTCCGCGATCCAGAGGCTGCTCTCGCATCCCGTGATGACGACGTCAATCACCATCTCGCGCTTGTGCTCGCGGTGGTATTCGAGCACGCGCCCCTTGAGCGCGTCGAAGAACGCGGCCGCGGTGCGCCGGTTGAGGGACAGCTTGTCCGCCCACTGCGCGCGGATCTCCGAGATGACGGCGGGGATATCCTATGGGACAGGGAGGCGGAAATTAGCACGGGCGGCTGGCGGGTATTAGAGGCGCCTGTACTCCTTCCGAACACCACAGTCCTTGCAAGAGAGTTCTCCTCTTTCGACGATAGAATGGTCCCTGCAATCATCGAAGCATGTTTTGCTAGTCTCCTTGGAACCGTTGGGCTGGAAGGCTAAAAAAGGTCAAAGAGCTTCAATTCAAAGGATCTGTAAGCCTTCAAAGCTCAAGTTCGGTTGAAGAACGCGCAATAAGTTGATCCAGGAGCTTCCAAAGAAGTTTGCATGGAAGCAGTTTCCGCGACGCCAAATTCTGCGCAAAGCAACGGTGGATCTTCCACGGCCAAATGAAAGGCTCCAGTGCGACGAAGCTGCTTGGTTCCTACTAAATCTAGTTAGCGGCCAGGGGCCAGGGGCCTTGCTACCAGCCGACCCTGGTTAAACCCCGGATAAAAAGCACTTAACCGAGAGTGCTTATGAGCAGAACCATCTTCTGCTGTTCTTTCCCGCAGTAGTACCGATGTCACAGCTAAGCTGAAAAATGTCAGTGTCCGGGGGACGGGGGGGGTCAGCTCGCGGGATGGGTGGGAAAGGGTGCGGAGCAGGTAGTTAATTTCTGGGGTTTCAGTAAAGTGCGTCCTTCCCCTTTTCATCTCGTTCCTCAAGCGCAACTTTGCAAAAACTAAAAGTACTAAAACCGAGACTTATTCTTACCGCAATGTCCTGGCCCACGACGTCCTTAACTGGGGGCGGGATCTTGAACGGCAGGTACTCGTTATCGCTCACGGCGGTGAAGCGCCCAGAGCTGATGAAGTCGGCCTACACAGGGGAAACGAACGGCTAAGTAGAGAGTCAGCTTTGCCAGATAGCTTGCCAGAAGCACGAGGCCGCGATGCTGCTCTTGAAGACTTTTCTTGCAGATTTATCGGTGTTCCGAGGCTTCAGAGTTGGATGCTTACAGTGGAACATTTTGGATGTCTTTTGAAAGCATAGGGCAGCGTTTCGAGAACATAGGGCATGAGCAGCGTCAGATCATTTTAGGAGCGCGAGACATTGCGCACCTTTCGATGCAAAGGTTTTCAAACGTAATATTGTCGCTCGCTCTGAGAATCTCGTAAACCGAACGTGTTCCCACGAGGCAGGGAAAGGAGGTTGAAAGTGAGCGCCGAATGGGTGTCAAAGGCATCTAAACTTAAGATACACTTCTTCGCTACCTGTGCCCTACTCGATTTGCCTAAACCCGAGACAATTGTCTAATTTGTATCCCTAGAATCTGGAGAAAGCAAACACGTCGTAGTTTCCCGAGCAACAGACGATTGTTTCAGTCGAACGAAGTCGTACCTGCGTCATCGTCGCTTGGTCCTTGAGCCGGTACACCTTCATGCTGACGTAGGCATCGCCTGCCGCTGCCGCGGTGCCTTCAAAGGGGTCGAAGCCGGTCGTTTCGTGCAGGAAGGCGGCTTGGTCGGTCACGGGTGCGGCCAGGGCTGCGCCGCTCTGTAACGAGTCGTTCAACTGCATGGGTGACACGTGGCACTCCTCTGAGATAGGAATCTTTGCATTGTGACACGTGGCTTCCACCCAGGACCGTCTGCTCTTCTCTGTACCTCTTTTGAAGTACCCATGTCTACGTAGTTGCCGTCGGCGAAATGGCGGCCACACCGAAGCTTCTCAAGGCGACGAGCGTACTCATGACAGTCCAAAACCCGATCTCGGCGCCGCAGTGCAAAGTGTCAACGTAGCGGAACGATTCTCTGGAGAAGCGAGGACACCAGAGCGGTCAATCGGAGGTCTGCTTCGGTAAATCCGCGACGCCGCATGATCAAGCAATCCTGCTTCGTTTCGAAGGGGCGCAACTCTAAATTCCAAGAATCCACTCGTCCAACGACTGGAGATACGAAAACTTCGATGGTCAAGCGGCAAGTCCTCTGGCTTCGTAGACAGACTCACCGCTCGCTTACATTTATTGGGGCCGGTTCTCAGTAGCCCAAATGCGCAGAAAGGATTCAAGGGATGCGGCTTCCCACACATCTTGTAGAAAATTCTCACAGCGTTTGCTCGTACTTACCTGAAACAAGGCGCCAGTCACCGTGCTTCCCTTGGGGGCATTCTCATCCAAAAGCACGACTTCCAGAACCTCCCCTCCACCCTCGTCGAGGTTGAAAACATGAGTCACTTGGTCTTCAGAGACAGTGGCCGAACTCCCCGCGGGTTGCAGGAACGATTTGAGGCCGCACGCCTCGGAACTGGGAAAAGATTGGCCGTCAGAGTCCGGGGAGCAGAGAATGGTTCAGATTCCGTGGGCTTTGGAAGCTGTTAGCGTGATGCTGGATGATGAAAACATTCTCGGACGTCCAGATTTTGTAGAGATCTGTGAAAGTTAATCACAATGGCTCTCGGCGGCGGCCATGCAAAGGGTGTGCAAATCAGCCGTTCAGTCTGTGCGCCTGTTTTATTGTATCTGGCTTCAGGCTCTCAGTGAAGCATTCTCGCTCCCGAGATCTTCTGAGGAAGCTGACTGAGGCAAATACCTAGGCATCAAATGACCAGAGTAATGCAAAACGCAGTAACCAGCCAATCAGACTCTCGGACAAGAGTACCTGTAGAGGACTGTTCGGTACTCCTTCGAGAAGCCCATAGACATGGTCTGGTTCAACGCAGCCATGGCCACGCGATCGGTGTCAATGCTCGTGGTGACGACCAGCCCAAAGGATCCCTGCAGGGAGCAGCACCGGAATTGACACCACGTTCATGAAGCACGAAAGCAGCTTTGTAGCAGGCGAGGCTTCCCTTAGAGTCGCCCATTGATTGCCAGGTCGGAAAGACTCCGTGCGTGTTACCAGGCAGTATTACGTCATTCAGCGTCTCTTTGATGGTCAGGACTTAGAGCACATCACAAACGCGAGAGATGGGGCCGGGCTATGTTGGGCTTCTTCAAGAGTGCATCTGCATATCCACAGTGGCCCAGGTTTCACATTGAAGCGTCCCCTCTATTATATCTGACACGGGCAGACGACTTTGTCGTTGCGATTCTTTTTTGTTTACGAGCCAAACCCTCTGCAATTCGCACCCGCTCAGCCTTATATTCCTCACCTCAACGCTCGGCGAGATACTTCTGACGTTTCGGTATTCGTGCTATGCAGAGGTTCACCTTCTGCGCTTTTGTGCACGGCTCTGCTGCCCGAATGAACCCGTCGGACTCTTATGAGCAGAGTTCTGAGAGGCTGGCTCTCACCTTGGCTCGGAAGAGGAACTTCTTGACGGCGGTGTACAAGTCGTTCTCGGTGAAGTTAACCACCGCCTGGCTGCACAGCGCCTGCAGCTGCGCCTCTGGCAGGGCCTTCAAGGGAGCTGCGACCAGACAAAAAGAGCTTCTTTTCAAGAAAGCAACGAATCTGAAGGAAAATCCTTATGCCATGTAAGAACATTCATGGGGTTTTCTGAGTGTTCGCTAGTAATGGGAGAATCGGCGCCCTACTTTGGCCGTCTGCACGCCAATTTTGGGCAGAAAGAACCTCATATCTATGTTTACCGAAGGCTCACCTGGTCCGTTTGCGCGCATTTCCTGGCATAGCGTACGGGCGAAGCCCTCTCCGTCTTCATAGCCGGCCGCCCCTTTCCCGCCCTTCTCTTCGTCGGGGGTGGTTTCCTGGGCCCCTTCTAAAAAGGCCTTGTAAGCGGCATCGGCAACAGCGGCCATAGCCTTCTGAGCGGCGGCGTCCGGGATGACAAGGCCTGCATTGCTGCTGTCGAGGACGTCCGAGAAATTGGTAACCACCGTCTGTAATACCCGGACAGTACGCAAGAATCAGTACAAAGAAGCCACATTTGCTCACACTGCTCGTTCCAGGTCCGAGTTTGTACCGTGACGTGAAGGCAAAGGCACAAATAATGGATCAGGGAGCTTGCGAGACCAAAAGATTGGCCCATTTTGACGTGGGAAAGAGGGGCGGCCAATGCTGAACCAGGAAGTGGACTGTCCAAATTGGAAAGTTGCTTGAGAACAGTGTTCTACAATTCAAGCATAAAACCGACAGGGTTCGGCACAGTTTGGAAGGACGAACGTCTAGGCGGCGGTATGCTTCTGCTCAGTCGCAGGTTTTGAAATCGCTGATTCTAACTTCTTCATACGCAAGAGTGGCCTTCGCCCTTCAAGGATTCATGAAACCAACTTGAAAACTCTAAGTTGGGTAACAAAAGCGACACCTCGACCTATTTTCGTCGGCTTTCAGAAGAGGTCAAAAAAAGCAAACAGATCAATCATACAGAACCAAATTCGTGGAGCAAAGAATACATGAGACCCGGTCTGGCGCTCACTTGAAAGAAGGCGAGACGCAGCGCTGCTCCCCAGAGGCCCTGTGTCCGCAGCAGCTCCACCACTCCCGCCACGACAACGCTGTCACACTGCGCCGGCGCCGGCCGGCACAGGGCCTTTTCCAAAAACGCCGCCATCTCGTTGTGGGTCCGGTCCGAACCGTACAGGTTCCAAAACTCAAAGTCGCCGTTATGGGTGACAAATAGGCTAAATTGGGTGGCGGCGGGCGTGGGAACTTGCGCCGAGGGGGGGTGCTGCCAGTGCGTGACGGGGAGGGGGGGGGACCATTGGTGCGGGTGCGACTCGTTGGGGCTGGGAATGCTGCGGGAGAAAGAGGAGGGTCAGTGAATTGGGTTAGAGGATGGTTGAATGAGGGCGTCGGCGTATGTGTGAAGAATGATCCAAGGGTGACTTGATTGTGACTGAATGCAACTTTCCGTCACCGGACGAGTGACGTCAGCAGAAGCTTCGAACCGACCCTCCTGCGAAATTGTTCATCCCCTTATTGCCTGACGGTCAGTGACGTGGGTGCTACGCCGGCCCCCCCGGAAATGAGGTGCAGGGTTTCGAAGTGAAACGTATAAGCTGTTGCAGGGCGCAAACTATATACTATACTATAAGCTTTAGGCAAGTCGGCTTAAGTGAGAATTTTGATCGTCTTGGAAGCGTGACATGAGGTCGTCGTTCTTCCAAGCATCCTACCTGAAGAACTCCAATAAACTTCTGGGCATTTGAAAGGTTCCTGACCCGGGCCGTAATATCGGGAGCTATGCGCAAAGAAAAGGCACACAAAAGTTTCAAAGGCCAAATCGAGTGGGCAGGCGAAATGGGATACTTCAGGATCTTCTCTTCGTCCACTGCATGCTGCCCGTGACGACGACCTTCAAAAGTCAACATTTTCCAACGAGGCCGTAATTCTGATAAAATGGGATATCGAGAGAAAGGTGTTCATTCTGTCCGTACCTCGAGGTTGCAAAGCGCGTGTGCCCTAGGAACATCTGCACCGGGTTTTCTTCGGTGCTGACGTGGCCAGTGAGCTTCGCCTTGGCCTTCTCCCACCAGATGAGGCGCCGGAGTGTTGAGAGGAGCTGCCACAGGAATTGTTTACCTTGACACAGCTAGCCGGAGGAATGTTTTCTGGAAATGACAGGGATCTCTTCACTCACGGTCTGCGGTAATCACGAGTCAGTCCCCTCTCAGACAGACTCGTCTTAATGGGGTAGGTTTTGGTCGAGTTTGAAGAAGTCGAGATGAGCATGGTCGTCATATGAGTGATTCTGGCAAACGGCGGGAATGACTTTTTTGCGATGTGGAGGAGAACTTGCGGTGGTTCAGGAAGAAACCTGACGAAGGCCTCTCCGGATTTCAGCAACCAAAAAGACCGCTTCGGATCTCGACCAGGTGTAAGTCTGCCGCAGTTCGAAGGAATTGTACGCGGCAAATCTCAGTGGTTCATTATTCGCTGCTAACTTGAATGTACCTATCAGTCTGTCATTCCTCAATGCCTTTATTTGTTTGTGCCAAGAATCCCGCTCAAAACGCAGTTCACTTGTCTAATCGTTTCTTCGGTTTTTGTGACAGATATAAAGCGATTTCCGTCTAGATCAGTCGTTCTCTGCACCTTGTCAGCCACGGACACTCTCTTGGAGGGTACAATCCTCGCACGCACGCCAACGGTGCACGTGTCCGACTTCTTGACGTACGTCACGAGCCCGCCCGATTGGCCTCCCCGCTGACTGGAAATGCCGCACATGCTCGACAGTGCCGCAAAGATATCCAACTGCTTCGCCCTGCAAAGCAAGTGGAGAAGGCAGCTTTTGCTTGCATTCTCGGAGAATGATTGAGGTCTGCCAATCAAAGTTCTCTTTGATAAGGAGGAGTTCACGGTTTACGGTAGGTCGTGCTTGAGGGAACCGTTATGGCTTGTGTGGTTCAAAGAAAACCTGGGATATGATCAATGGGGCAGTTCGTGTAGCCCGATATGTTTCGCTTGACTCTCCGATCGAATCAGCTTTAGCATGTGCAAGTTGACTGATGAAAGCGGCCGCGCCTCTCCTCGCAGAAGAACGGCTGATATGTGGGTCCCTTTCTTTAGCGAGAGTAAGGTCCGCAAAAGGGGATCTCGCTAGAGTGCACCAGTTTGCTGAGTCAGGTCTTATCTTTAGAGTAATAACCAAAATGAGAGAGATAAGAGGCTGCAAAAATGAAAGAGCACTTTTGAAGAGGCCCCAAGGCTCACCCTTCGCGGACGCTCTTCACCAGGATGAGCCCAAAGTTACCGCAGCGGAAGTGGCCCTTTGTGGCGCTACCTGTCAGGACTTCGTAGAGGTCGCTCGCACAGGCGCCGGCGAAAGTGTACAAACAGCCCTACATATAGAGAAGTAGTGGATCTGGAAACACTTCCCGGTTCTGATGCTGTTTCGCCAAGCATCTGGATTCCTCCTTTGGAAGCTCAGACATCCTTCAGATTCCCTTTTCTAGACCTACGCAATGACTTGCTGGCAGCGACTTCACCTCTGCAGGTCCGTGAACATCAGCTCTGCTTGTACTCTTGATGAGCTTATCACTCCAGAATGTGGAAACCCTAAGACTCCTCCTTCAAATCATGTGGGTTGCTTTGAAGCCTTGTTATAGAAAGCAATAGCACGGAGCATCGCAGTTGCGGAGAATTGTACTAAAGAGTGAAGCCAGAATTAGGGATTGAAGAAGCAGGCTAGAACTCATTGCTTAAAGCCTTGCGGTCAGAGCACATTGTTTGCTCAAAACTTTTCAGCATGTTGAGATAGTTTGGGCATGAAACTTCTGTGGCTTTACCTTTAGCACATTGCTGACGAACAGGCCCCACAGGTTTCCATCTGCGCAGTCAACCGATGCCACATGTTTAGACCCGCGGGAGACAAGACGCAAAGCATACCAAGTTTTAAGGGTTTTGATCCTCTGACGTACTTTGTAAGTTTCAGAACAAGTACTTTTGAAAACACCATTCTCATCGCATGACCTAGCTGAGACTACTTCAACAGGGGCAATAAACCGATGACTCATCTGGATTATCGTCTGCAACCTTGAAAGAGCTATGTGGCCTGAGTCAAGTGCTTGTTCTTTTATTTTTGAAGCATCAGGGTCCGACCAAAGGTTCTATCATCCACTCTAGCTGCATACACAGGATGTAGGTGTTGAGCAAGTCTTTCAGACAATATAGATCCAGCCAGCACTACTTTCTTCTCAACACACCTCTTTGCCTGGTTCCATGAAGCATTGAGATGCATCTTACAGTGGATGCAGCCGGAGGAAAAACCGCCAGGTCTTGCAAAGCAGAAAAGTAACTCAAGACTTAGAGGCATTGAGTGGCAGCTACCCACTCTCACCTGCTTTGTGCGCAACCATCCACATCAAAACGCAGCATACTCCGGAGACAAACCACCCCCCAAGGCGAACGAACGTGTCCTGAGCATCTAAAAACCCCGTCTCAGCATGACCTCCCTTGTGGCCTGACTGACTGTCAGATTCTGCTGCCCCCTTTCCTCTAAGCACCACCACAGGCTGCACGCTTTCTGGGAGGGGGGTAAAGGGCACAAGACACGCGAGCCAACTAGAAACAGGCACGTTTCCCAGCACATTGCTCAGGCTGAACCAGGCCCTTGCAAGTGCGTTTTTCTCCAGCCAGAAGGCCTTGCGGGTGATGAGTATGGCGGCGCCAGCAGCCAAATGGGCCCACTCGTGGAGGAGCGTTGAGAGAACAAGGCCAAGCCGCAGCGCCAGGAGCTGCGTCACCAGTCTGGCGCCCATTTGGAGGGACGGCAGGGCCCTGACGTCACCAGCGCTAAGCGAATGTGTTATGAAGGTAGAGAGAGCCAGGGACACTGCTGCCGCTGCGAGCACCGCGCGCGCCGCCCGAGGGGCGAGGAAGAGAGAGAGCGCATCGATAGCTGTGAGGAGCTGCATCGTTGCTCCGGAGCAGATCAGCGCTCGCTACAGTGTCTTCCAACACCTGCAATGGACGGAGGACTTACTACTACCTATTTCATTTACTTCATTCCTCATTCAAGCAAGAAGCGCATAGGTTATACGTTGCTTGCGCCGGCTTGACTGCTAACAGAGGATAAAATTGTTGGCAATGTCACAGCAAACTCGATTCAAAATCTTTGCAAGGAGGAAAGTGGATTGCGCGTCTGAAAGCAGTACGTTGCACCCCGTCTCTTTTGCCTGCGCCAGCTGCATGCTGTAGACTCTAGAGATGAATTTGGAAAACATGTTCAACAAGCGGCACCAGATCAGTTTGTGATGCAAGCGCAATTGCCCACTTGATGTGGCTGCATTGAATTTCAAGGGGTGTACGTCAACTTACCGTCACAGCTACAGTGTGGCTGACAGCCTACCGTACAGGCCCCAGGGGCTCAAGCCTTGCACCCTGCCTCGTTCGTCTTTAAGGGTGCCGTCCCAAGTGTACACAGTACATACCTAGCATGTGCACGTACATACCATTAGACAAGGCCGAGAAGTCCGGGACGCCTGCGCCGGTGTACCTTTGCCGAGCTGTGAATTAATTGTGATATAAGCTTGCAAGGTGCTGGCAGCTGCGTCTCAACCACGTGTTGGGGTACATTAAGTACACTAGCTTGGGCCTTGAACACGCCAATTAATTTTCGTAGAAGGACTTTGATTGTGACCAGCGCATCGAAATTTACGGCGGTGCACATCCAGCTAGGCTGCTCACTGCTCAGTGCCCTAGGGGCCCCGGGGGGGTCCCGGTCCGGGGCCCCGGCCGCGAGGCCCACAAAGTGCGCGAATCGAGGGCCGGCCCGGCCGCCCGGGTGCCGGACTCCCGGCCATGCAACCCCGATCCCGGATAACTATGGAGACTGGAGCAGTACGGAGTACCTACCTAGGTACCTAATACCGCGAGGCCTCGCGCGAGTCCGACCGGGCACCGTGACCGCTCAGCCTGGCCCGGGACCAGGAGAGGAGGCTGAGCAGCGGCGGCCGTCCGTACGTCGGCCCGGGCAGATTGGCACGTGCTTTGCAGAAACATTGCACGACTTGGAACATCTTATATAATGCTCATATACCTAATAGGTAGGTACCTAAAGAGAATGGCCACCTTACTCGGGTTTCATGCCAAGTTAAGGTGCTGGGTCACCTGGCTAATCAGCTCCGACATTTGTCATATGAAGTGGGGGCAAATTTTGTTCTCAAACTGACACTTCTTTCTGGGGTTTCAGGGTTAACCTTCATGGGTTAGGAGAGACCGGCCGACACGAGTTATGATTAGGGTTGCCTTAGTATCGGAGCCTGCGATGCATTCGAATGGTGTACTTCTCTGCCGTTCGATTGAAAGCTTGACGGTGTCGATCATTTGAATCTTCGATCTAGGGTGGGGTGCGCTTTAAATCTGGTGACTTCGTGGTCAACGAAGTCAGTGGTAAAGGGTTCCGACCAATCAGAGGACGAATCAAATGTGTCATTACCGGGCGTACTCGAGATGATATTGTCAAAAGCACCTTATAATTACTTGGGTTTCAAGCTGAGTTAAGGTGGTGGGTCAGCAGGTTAATAAGCTCAGACCCTTGGTGGGGTGTTAAGAGTTTGTGGGTTTGGTTGAATCCTTATACTGTATATCGACACTGCCTCTTTGGGTCTTAAAACCGTCTTCACGTGGCTGAGCGAAGACCGGCCGGCATCAGGTAGAGTAAGGTCAGAACCTCAATATTGGCTAGTGTAAGCCGTCGATGAGGATCGAACGGTGCAGATTGTAACGTTGTATCGATCTAGGTTGAGGGGACTGCAAAGGTTGTACTGAATGCTGGTCAACGTGGTCTTCGGTAAGGGTTTTGGCCAATCAGGGGACGAATAAACTGTGTCATTACCGGGTGGCACTTAAAACTATAATTAAAGGTGTCAAAACATGCGTGCAAGGACGTACCTAGAGCCTACCATGTAGTTCTCGACCCCTCCTCGACTCCATGACTGTCAGACGATGCGGCCGCCAAGAATCTGATGGTATCTGATTTTTGTAGGATATTCGTGTATTCAGTAGAGTCTTTGACACTCCATTTTGAATCAAGCTCCTTCTGAGCTCAACCATTCAGGCTTCGGTTTGAGCAATCTTACATGAACATAAGGTGTAGGCTTTTTGTGGTGGCGCTCAGCGGTGATGCAAAGCGTGATGCAAAAGACCTGTCAGGATCATTCTGTCCGATTCCGCGCGCAAGCCCTTCTTTTAATCCTCAATGATTATCCTTAGATGTCTTTGTACCAGCAGACTCTGCATGCGACAAATCCTTACAGTGTGAGCGTGCCAGATTCATATCAACGTAATATACCCGTTATATACATGGAACTCGGACTCTCGGACTTCGTTAGGAAGCGGTACCTTCAAACGTTACTCGTTGCTTCCGACGTCTCTCAGAGCCTTGACTGCGTCCCTCCAGCCACAACCACGGTCTCTCCTGTTACGTATGCGGCATCATCGGAGGCTAGAAAGGCCACCGCCCCTGCAATGTCTTCGGGCGTCCCAAGTCTTTTAAGCAGGGTCTGGTCTTCCATGGCTTTCTTCTGCATATACGTAGAGCAGTTAATCAGGGCCTCATGCATTGCAATAGAAATGGTGTAACCCTCTGCTCACCATCCAAGCAGTCGCACCAGATGATCTCTGAGATTCCTGCAAAAACCCCTGCCTTAAGTGGGAGCCTCAAGCGACTTTCAGAAAGCAATGAAGGAGGGACACGAAACTCGGTCCGGTTGAGCAACAGGATACGATTTCATCTTATGTATACATTGTTTAATGCGTCTTCTTAACACAAAACTCCCCTTCGTGGCATGATTTTCTCTGCCAAGGCACCACGGTAGTAGTCACTATCTAACCCCACGCATTGAGTCATTCCAGTCGAAGCCAAGGTTCGAACGGCCACTCACCGAGGCCTCGTTGGCTACCAGAGCGCTTGCGAAGTGCGTGGGCACAATACCCGGGGCGACGCAGTTGACTCTGACGTTGGGAGCTAGCTCAGCCGCCAGGCCCTGCAAAAGAAAGGGTGCTCGAGGTTGAAAGTACGACGAAGGCAGCGAGATGCTACAAGAGATACATGTTAAGGCATGAACTTTAGGAAAGGTCGACCATGACGACTTCATGTTGTCCAACTTCCCTACTCCAATCAGACCACAAAGGATAGCTTCAAAACAAATTCAACTAAGACTGGGAGCAGGAATGGAGCCCAACTTTCACACTACGATCAAGAGCAAGGACGGAGGGTACATCTCGTCTAATGACTTCCTTCTAGCAATGAAGCTTGGCCCCTTGCAAAGAAACCAAGGGGGTCTTTCAAAACATTCCGGAAAAGTTCCTTTCGATAGAAACGCTCACTCTCGTCAGCCCTAGCAGAGCCGTCTTGCTGACTGCGTACATAGCTAGAGGCGCCCCCGGGTTGAAGGCTGTGATTGACGAGATGAGAATGATGCTACCGCCTGATGGGATGTGTGGGGCGGCCTCCTGCAACACTCAAGAAACGGGTGCTCAGTCTGAGGTGTGACTTACCCGGGTGACCCCGAGAAGAGCAGTCTTGCTGACGCCATAGAAGGCGAGTGGGGCTGAGGGGTTGAATGCGGCCAATGAGAAGGTGAAGATAACACTTCCGCCAGACGGGATGTGCTGGATTGCTTCCTGCAGATGTTTGCAGCTGCTTGGGAGCTGCTTGGGTGGATTTTGTTTTCTGAACCTTTTGGTGTGATGAAATTCCTAGGTTGGATGGTTGGAACGAAACCAGTAGAGTCCTTGTCCAAGATACTGAAGCACATGGTTCCCGGTATTACAGGGCTCTTGTGTAGACATGTGCATTGAGATTGGGAGCACTGCTGAGACAATAACAAAAAGTGCCTTTGATATCAGGCTGACACTACGGCACGTATGGTAGACCGCCACCCCCAGATAGCAGCAAATGACAATATTCTATCTTGACCGGATACTGACGGTAGGCTCAACTTCTTCCACTCTCTCTGTCAGTGCAATTGCAACTGGTTCCGTCAATTGCACTCCTTCTCTGGTTGTCTGTCATTCTAAAAGCATCTGCCAAGAGCCAAAGCCGTTATGAAATCTTCTAACTTACCCGGACTAGGAGGACCGAAACTTTGACGTTGATCTCCAGAATCTTGTCCAGCTGCGACTCTGCCATGTCCAGTATGGGACCGACGCCGGGGTTGACAGCAGCATTGGAAACAAACACGTCGATCTTGCCATACTTCTGCATTCCAGAAAGTAACCGCTGTGAGTTATGTTTCACGCTTTCATGAGGTATGTCCAAGCCAAACTATTAAAACATTTGATTGCCCAAGCAATCATGAAAGGCACAATAACTGCAGGGAGTAAAATCTGCCTTTTCAGTGCCTTCATCGCAAAGCAGGATGCACAGACGCAAAGTCTCCATGGACTAAGAAATGAGGGGGATGCTGATATCATCCATGATTCTGACCTTACTCTGAGCAGAAAGACAGAACTTTACGCAGCTTTGGCAATCTGTTTCCAAACGCTGTATCAGGAAAAAAAAAAAACTACCACCAAGTGGTTGGGTGACTGTCTCTAGGGAGTGTGCCTGTGCCAGATGCAGACAATGCTGGAGCTTTCAAAAGTCCTACCACTATCTCAAGATTTGACTGATCACAACTCGAATGTCCAAAAATGTCACATGCAATGCATGGCACAGTCAAACCTTTCAAGCCTCGGTAGATTGCAATCTGTTACTACAGTTTACGCCAGAAGTTGCAGGAAGGCTTGCAAATCAGTTCCTGGTGATTCGGGCCAGTAAGCTGGCAACAAAAGTAGAATACTTGTAAGACTGAAAGATGAACACAGCATAGAAGGCTTTGCTGGAGCCTCCTATATCTACAGAAGGCTCACTTGGATTGTTTCATCAATCAGCTTCTTCCTGTGCTCAGCGCTCCCAACATGACACACCACTCCAAAGGCCTCCAGCCCCTCCTTTTTGAGCTGAGCAACTGCATCATTCACGTTTTTTTCTTTCCTGGACGATATAACGACGGAAGCTCCTTCCTGTGCAAGCCGCCTCGCAATTCCGAGCCCGATCCCTGCTGTTGATGCTGTAATTATGCACACTCTCCCCTCGTATCGGCGGCATTTGTTCGGTCCAGCCATCCTGCAGCAAACCTGCCAGCTCGAGGGAGCAAAGCCGTCATGCACGTACTCACCTACACTAATGCTAAGCGCTCTTCTTTGTGGCTTCAATTTGTCTGAGGCTTGAGCTAGCTGAAGAGGGATCATGAGCAGCTGGTCTACTCTGGTCTACTCCGTCTAATCAGCACATGAGATGACTCGGGACGCGCGCGCGCGCGCGGATAGAATCGGCGCTCGGCGAACTCGGAGAGTCGGAGGTGAGAAACGACTCGCGTGCGCCCCCCCCCGGGGCCCCCGCCTGGGCCTCAAGTTTCCTCAACATGATATTGCATCTTGATCAACCGTCCCGTTGCCGCTAACGTGGGGTACCCGGTGCTCGCGTTCTTAGCCCAGACGTGTGTATCAGACAACAACGCCGGCAAGACAGCCGTGCACCGTTTGCTGAAGCCGGTAATGGTTCCAAGTCTCTTTACACAGGTAGTCTAGATTCTAGAACTTCGAAGTACCCCGCCTGCACAGTTCCTGAATCCTATTACAAGACAGTCTGCTGCCACGATGGCTGGTCTCCAAATACTAACGGTATGGCAATTGAGCAAGTGGAAGGAGGCATGCTTGGGGCAGAAGGAAGGGTGAGGAAGGGCGACGAAACAGAGAAACAAGTTGTCTGGCACATTGGATACTATCATAGTAGTTTATAGCACCACCATCGGTCATCTATTGCATTGGAGGTGGTGTTCTGCCTCAGGAAATGGAAGAGCCTGCGCAGGCGGCAGGTGGCAGGATTGGTGAGGCCGAAGTGACTGAAGTGGTGACGGTTGCGACCACCAGTCATCAGAGCTTGCTCCCAGAATCGCTGATGCAGAATGTCACTGCAATCCAGCCGTCTGCGACAGAGGAAGTTGCTGTCAAGGAGCAGAACGGTGGTGTGAATGGGGTTGGTATTGATGGGGTCAAGCCTGTTCGTCCACCCCTCTCCCTTGAAGAAAAGCTGGCTCGTGGCATTGCCCCTGTAAGAGAGGAGTTTCTGTGGACGCCAGAAGAGAGAGATGCCTGGAAGAAGGAGAGAGCAGCAAACACCGGGCAGTCAGCTGAAGGAGCCGCGGACGGTGCGAAGGTATCTGGATCTAAGCTGAGCAAGCGGGCGATGAAAAAAGCGAGGGCTGAGGCCAAGAAGGTAAACCCCGACCCTGGGAGATCGCTGTCTATGTGAGATTGTCTTTGTTGTCCAACGGGTGGTGTATAGACTGAAATAGGACTTGTTCAAGCAAGCGATTTTTGTCTGCTGGAAATGATGCACATCCTGTGTGATGCCCTCTGGCTTCGGCAATTTTTGACAAGGAAGTGCAACATCGGCCAGTGTTGGTAGACGAGGTTCATTGTTGATAATTGTCCAGGCTCATAGATATCTTTGGCCTGCAGTGCCCCTCATTCCCATGCTTGCTTTTTGTTACCTTATCGAGACAAACAAAGTAGATTCTTCATTTAATAACCGGACTGCCAAATCGCATATGGGGTTGCTTGGCCAAGGACCTTGGAGACTTTGAGCATCATTTCTTTGCTGGCGACACCAGTACTGTCACTATTCTGGGACCTTGGTGTGAGCAGATGTTCTGCCAAATATTCCATCAAGAGTCTCTTTGGTGCATCACATTACTTAGAGAATCATTGAGGATTGTACCACCAATTGCAAGTTATGCTCCTCCTCCAAGATGCTCGCGTCCAGCTGCAAGGGCTGGGCGCTGTTTGCGAACTCACGCGAAGACATCTCAAAAAGATACCTGGCAACTTTCTGTATGTGACGTCCTCTAAAAGTGCACTACTGACGGCACAAAGCGCTCCAATTGTTTGCAGACCAACGTGTGCGGAGTGGTCGCTCGAACGGGGAACTCAAACGCCTGCACATACGGCAGTCAGTGCCGCTTCAGTCATGACCTTACACTGTTCTTGGAGAAAAAGGCAGCTGATCTCGAGGGGCCCTGTCCGTTTGCATCTGATGAGCCGTGCCCCTTCGGAGTGGCTTGCCGCTATGCAACAAAGCACAACACAGGGCCTGCAGTGGAGGATGGGAAGCCTGTGTTCAGGGGGACCGCTAAGAAGGGGCCCGGTGACGGGGTGTTTGTGCCAAGGTGACTCACCACAACTTGCTCTTGAATAGTTTCTAAAGAACGAAAACTTCCCCAGAGAAGTGATGCGTGCTTTTAAATTACTCTCCAAGAGTGGACTTTTTTACCTGCTTCGAATCCGGGAGAGATGCGTTTTGGACATTCTTGAGAAATTCTGACACAGTTCTCTTAGTGACGACAGGAAGTATGTGTAGGACTTTACTCCTCTGCCACCTTGAAAGGGTGTCAATAAAAGCCTCGACTCCTTAAAAGTAAGCTCAGCCCGGGGGAAGGATGGAGTTAGCTTGGGGCTCAAGGTGGGTGTGGATGCGGAGCGCGCAGATGTCTAGGTTAGTGTCCAGTCCATTTTGGTCATAGAGCTGTTCATGACTAGGTTCGAGCCTTATTTAAGCAACCAGCCCCTCTCTACTGGGTTCTGTTTCAATCTAGGCCCACGAGACGATTCCTTTTTCTGTTGCAGGGACGAGGTGAACAGTTTAGACAAGGATCTACAGAAGAGGCTGTGGAAGCAGCAGATTGCATCCCCGCGCGCTTCAGCTGCCCTCAAGCAGCTGGGGATCCAGATCAGCCACCATGGCAGACAACTAGAGGTGGGAAATTCATGAAGTTTTGCTAGCCTCAATCCGTGATAGCCGTTGCTTCGACGTGAGCAATTGGTTGGATGGAACGTTTGACGTCTCTGATGGTTATCAGGACAGGATTTCAACAAGGCATCACTTTTCGGAAGCTGCCGTACCACAGTGGTGTTATCTCGTAAGTGACAATCTGTTTTAAAGTTTTCATTATACTTGTGTCTAGAGCCTTGCAGATGAATTTCAACCAGCCAGCGAAGCCAGCCGTTGCCTTTCTATCAACGGTGCATATCCCTTCAGTCTCGAGTCCTTGTTTTTGGTTCTTTCGGGTTCGTGATTGCGAGGCACCTACGCTTTTGCCAGCCAAATATGCCTGAGGAGTTCTTTACTCTGTCTGCCCGGCTTTCAACAAGCCATTCGACTTTTTCTCGATCGTGGGATACTATCAGATACTGAGACCAGCGGTCCGTTGTCAATGCCCTTCTCCTTTTAATCGCAGGAGGAAGGCGTTGCAGGTGACATGGAGCAAGAAGGTCCATCCGAGCCCGCACACGTCCAGACGAAAGCTGACCACCACATTCCCTCCGAAGCACTGGCGGCCAGCGTAGCGCAAGAGACAAACGGAGTGGCCGAGCCGAGTAAAGTTGAGCCGAGTAAAGCCGAACCCCAGATGGACAGTGCGGGCTTGCAAGCAGGAAGTGTGGATGGATCAGCGCTCCCGTTAGCAGAGGAGAGCGGCTCTGCTGATCCGGCAGGCAGAGAAGGAACGGAAGCAGCGGAAGAGGGCAAACGGAAAGTCAACGGAGAAAGTGAACCGACAGCAAAGAGAGCGAAGCTGGTTGAAAATGGAGCTGGTACGGAGGTGGGCCCGACAAAGTTGTGGGATGTGAATGGGGGCGGGGCGGAGGGCCTCGGTGTCGAGAGGCGAGGCAAGCGGACGATTGACTTCCGGGGGAAGCTGTACCTCGCACCGCTGACCACCGTAAGCCCTAGTTTACTGAGGTTCGGGGTTCGAGGGGTCTGGATTGACTTGCACTTTGTTTGACTTTATACTGTCCCCTGCTTCAAGTCCGTATCATAGGACCACCCGTCGAGTAACATCAAGAGCGTTCGATTCGTTTGCAGCTTCATCGGTTGACCCCATGTGCTTTCGTGGCTCGAGTCTCGGCGACTTCTGCTACCCTGAGTTTGCAGACTTTAACTTTTGTATGGACTGTCTACTTGTTCAGAATGGCGGCTATAACAAAAGGGTCTGGATGATTATCTTTACTTGTCTCAGAATAGCCTGCCGTCCTGGTAGCTAGATAGCTAGAACTCAATCGACTCTGCTCATGTCGCCCCGTCTGTATCTTTTCATTGGATGATACCAGGGTTCATTATTTCAGCACCTGAGCCTTTTACAATTTCAACATTGAGCATTGGCGAGTATCATTTGACATGTTGCATCCTATGCGCACCCCCCACGCGTTGCAGAAAGTCGCCCTTCCAGTCAGCGTCTCGCGTTTTATTTTTCCCATCATCCTCGCAGGTCGGAAATCTGCCGTTCCGTCGGGTTTGCCTCGGGCTGGGCGCCGACATCACGTGCGGGGAGATGGCGATGGCGACCAACCTGCTGCAGGTAAGGCTGTGGTGGTCGCCAGGCTGGCACAGAAGCTGGCATCCTTAGGACCAGACCCCTTTAATGCCCTGATCGAAGCTTCGATTCTGAAACGGCTGGACGTACAGATTCAGCGGACGTCTCTCCTATATCTTGCAGCCAACACAATACGTGGAAAGCGGGCGCTTTAGCACACTTACAATCCTGCGTCTCTAGATTCGAGATTGGCCGATCTCGATCGCATCGTGCTACGATGCTCTCCTACATGTCCTCAGCAATCGCAGGTCCGCAGTTTGCATCGCTCCGAGCACTCATAGCCTCGCACTGAACATTCAAAAGGTATCTCACGATCCTGTCCTTCACAACTGTAGAACCCTTGAGAAACACCCGCTTCTCGATCGCAGGGCCAGCAGTCGGAGTGGGCGCTCCTGCGGCGGCACGCGAGCGAGGCGGTGTTCGGCGTGCAGATCTGCGGGAGCAAGCCGGACCACGTGGCGCGCGCGGCGGAGATGATCACGGACTCGTGCTCCGTTGACTTCGTGGACATCAACATGGGGTGCCCCATCGATCTAGTTGTCAACAAGGTGGGGAGGAAGAGATTCAAGGTCTTCCTTCACTTGCTCGTGGACTCAGGTTTGGAACTCTCCACTGCATCCACACAAACAGCTATGTGGGTTAGGGTCAATGCTTTTGTATTCAGTGACATGGGGTCGAAAGGACTGAGTGTAGTCTGTTCTGCCGGCGGAGAAGCAAGTTCTCCCTCCAAATACATGCGTAGGGTCGCTTCCTTGTGGCCTGCATTTGGTTCGTTTTCTGATCAAGCTGCGTCCAGTCTCTGTCTTTTCATCATTTTTATGAGTCTTTGCTGACCCACACCGGGATGAGAACCGCGATTTGGCAACAAGACCTGCGTTTCACGGCTACATCTGAACGCGTGAGAATTAACTCCAGATTTCTGATCCAAAAAAGCCCCCAGAGTCATGTTCCCTAGTAAGGTGTTTGCCAACGTCTTGGTACGTTCTTGGCCGCCTCTCCAATCTCTGCAAACACGTTTTCCGGACTGGCCTGTCAACTCCCTTTTCTTCAAGTTCCGGCAGCTTTGATAAGTGCACTTTTCTTGCAGGCTACTAACTCTCGATTGTTGGCGGCCAACAAGAGGAAGGTCTCGCTTCCTCAAAGCGTTCCCAGTTTTCAAGTTTCTACTTAATCTTCTTTGCAGGGCGCCGGGTCCCACTTGCTGCTGAAGCCGAAGCGCATCGAGCAGATTGTCAAGTGCGCGGTCGCCGCGTCGCGGGTGCCGGTGACCATCAAAGTCCGCACGGGGTTCTTGGACAAGCAAGCCACTTCGCACCTCTTCATGCCCCAGGTGATACTTGTGAAGACGGTCCAGTCTTGTGCTCTTTTCAGATCTCGCTTTCCCGAGAGTCGTTCAAAGCGCGAGCTTCTTGCGGGCGTCAGCGACCATCGGAGTCGCACGGGCTTTGTGCATAAGAGGCTAGCGCGCCGCTTCATGCCCCGGGTAATCTGTTTTCGACGTAGGTACTGCCCAACGGTGTGCTTTCAAAGTCTGCCTTTCCTGGAAGATTTTGTTGCTTGACATCTCTGCCGGTTAGAAAGTTAGGATTGGGCCTTTTGTTCTACTAAGCCAGAAAGTGGTTTCTGCGAGTGGGCCATTTTGGCGGCATCGATTCATTGCGTTTTGCTGAGACAATCAATTCTGAAGCGGTCGCTCCAACACGAATTGTTTTTGTGAGATCTTTTGTAGCGAAATTGTGCTCGTGAGCGAGTGGCACAGCAACGATGGGACCCAGTGCGCCCTGCTCAGGAGACATCAATAGTCTGCAAGTTGCGTTATTTTCTTAGGCCCATGCCCTTCTATTTCACCGTCATGACTGCGTGCTTTTGAGCTGCCTGCGTGATCTGCAGACAGCCCTTTGCGCTATTACTTAGCTTCGAAGCAGCGGGTTTCAAGGTTGTTATGGCTTTTCCCGATCTTCAATTTCTTGATCTAACACCCCACTCTTTCATCCCGACAGTTGAGCTCGTGGGGAGCTGCCGCCGTAACGGTCCACGGCCGTTCGAGGCAGCAGCGTTACAGCAAGCAGGCGGACTGGTCGTACATCGCACGATGTGCAGAAGCCGCCAAGGGGGTGCAACTGATCGGCAACGGTGACGTCATGAGCTTCGAGGACTACAACGCCCACGTGGCCGAGGCCCCCGAGCTTGCCACGTGTATGATCGCGAGGGGGGCGCTGGTGAAGGTAGGTTCGTACTTAAGCCAAGCTAAGGTGTGGCGGGAAGGTGCGTGCTATTTTGTAAAGGCTTTTCTGACCGAAGGTAAGTTATGGGGCTTTATATTCGGTGATTGGCTGCTTCAGTAGTCTCCTGTATTTTTCCGTCCGTCCAAGATTGGGGGATAAAAGGTGTCTCATCCTTCTGTTTGAAGGAGTGCTGGTGTTTTTCAGCAAACGCACTGAAACTTGGTCCAACCTTGGAGCTTTGACGCAAGCAACATTGGTCGCTGCAGCTTCAGCGAAAACCCCCGGAGATTCCTCCCAACATATTTTGCATTCGGCAGTAAGGCGATAGGAGACGGATCTCCCTTCCTTGATATTCCCGTCCATTGAGTTCAAAGCGAATCTAGCTCTGACTGCTGCTAGTAAATGCGTAAGATATGGTCGTGGCGCTTGACGTCACGCACTCGTCATGCAGCCGTGGCTGTTCACGGAGATCAAGGAGCAGCGTCACTGGGACATCAGCGCGAGCGAGCGGCTGGACCTGCTCCGGCAGTACTGCAAGTTCGGCATCGAGCACTGGGGCTCAGACGACAAAGGTAAGACCTTGAGAATGAGCCACGTATTTCCTGTACGCGCCGCTCTTGCTCCGGATGCCGTTCTGCTAATTTTCAATTGCTGTTTGGAGGTTAGTCTGGGATGCTATTGTCTTCTAGGATCTTACAAGGCCGCAAACGAGCTTACGCACAGGAAGACATGCGCCTCTTGACGCTTCTCTGCGCTTCTCGGCTCTTTTTCACCAACCAGAGAGCGAAGTACCAAATTCCGAGAAAGGCCGCTTAGTTCGTGCCGCATGCATGTTCGCAGTAGTCAATAACCCCCACATCGCGTTCTCTATTTTAGATTGCGCTGCTTTTTCGAGAGCGGCCCTTCGGCCAACTACTGACCTCCAGGCTCTGCGTCGACCAGAAGAGCCGGTTGTTGAGGGACTGCCAGCGTTGCAATCAATCTTAGATTTTGCTCCTCGCCCATCTTTAAAACATTGGCTTCTCCGATGAGCGAACAAAAATGGGTTCGAATGTGGCATGTGGGCGGTTCTGAATCACCTTCGGTCCCCTCCTTTCTTCTCGTCGACGCTGATCCTAAAGGACATTCTTTCTCTCCACTGCCAGGTGTCGAGACCACGCGTCGCTTCCTGCTGGAGTGGCTCAGCTACCTGCACCGCTACGTCCCCGCCGGGCTGCTCGAGGTGCTGCCGCAAAAGATGGCGTGGCGGCCGCCCGCGTATCGCGGCCGGAGCGACCTGGAAATCATGATGGCCAGCGACAACGCCGCGGACTGGGTGCGCATCAGCGAGATGTTGCTGGGGCCGGCACCCGCTGGGTTTAGCTTTACGCCCAAGCATAAGTCGGGCACAGTAGAGAACGGTTGAGGGTGGCTGATCCGGCGTGTGTGGCGAGACGTTGGACCTCGAGGAAAAGGATAGTGATGGCAGGATACTGATGGTGATTGCGCTGCTTTCTAAGAAGTCGCTCGCGTGCGCGATGCATCTGGTCATATGGTAGATGATTGTTTGGAACTGGCAACATGCCTTGAGTCACTCCCCTAATTTCGTACGTTTGTCGTTTCTTTCTTCCCCAACTCAAAACCCGATTCATTTCATGATCATCTTTGTATGCATGTCCCGGTCTACCGTTGATTCATGAAGGAGCTGCCACATGCACTGAAAGGCGGGAAGCGCGGGCCGGCTCACGCACAATGATTCGCGCGTTGATTGTTGCTTCGGCGGCTCTGCACTAAGTCGGCGTGATTATTGTGCATATCCAGTCGCTTTCGCTCAGCGCCGGCCCTCGAAAGGGGCACGGATTCGATGATATTAAGGGAATCTTTGGTTGATGGTCTCTAATTCCGCATTCTCTTGCACATGATGCATAGGCGTTGACCGCCTGACATTGATTGATCGAAGCCGAGGATATCTCCCCACTAAGTTCGAAACTTTACAGCGTAATCATGCGTGATTGGACAGCACGTACTGCATTCGTCAATGACTGTCGATATATCCACCTACGGTGGGCAATTGAAGACAGTCGTCGGAGACGTCAACGAGACGGCGCGGGCTCGAGGCTAACCCCGCGTCATTGTTAGAGGGGGCCTCCTCGCTCGAGCTAGTCGCGGAAGATGCTGTTGGAATCTTCGACGCTGAAGTCAAGTCGCGGGTTGGAGACACACATGAAGCCCGCAGAAAACTTCCTTTAACGATAAGGCCTAGCTAGCATCGATGGGTGGCTGGAGAGTGACGCACTCGTCAAATGCATCATGTATGAGACCGAAGCAAACCATCACAACAGTTCACACTTTGATTCGGCTAAATCATCGCCGGCCCCGGGATGTCAAGATTACTCCCAACGTTGACGAACTCGATCGAGAAAAGGAAGCAATTGCTACAGGGGATGCAGCAGCTTCCTCGATACCCTGCAAATCGTCATGCAAGGATCAGCAAGAGTCAGCAAGGGTCTTGCAAGGGTCAGCTCTTTCCGTGACGAGGATCCGAGACTGCCGCCACGGAAGATATACTGCCGCAACCGGAGGTGTAGCTACACGAATCAAGACTGCCGACACGGTGTCGGCCAGGCAGAGGCTTTCAGTCCGTTTGCTTGCAACACAAGCATGCAATCCCTCCTTTGAGGAGATTATTGCCTACATTGAACCTGCTGGGGTGGAAGCGGCGCCGGTCGCACCTTGGTCTCATCAGGTGCTTAGCTGAGCACAGCTATCTCAGGAAGGGACCTGGGCTTCTCCGCGCAATTCTTGATTCTACGCCTTGGTGCAGAAACATGGCGCACGCGAAACCGAGGCTCTGTATCAGCGTCGTCCTCTTCGGCCTAGTAGTCCACATACTCACTGAACAGGTCAATGCGTGTGCTACCAAACTCGCCGTTAAAGGGTCAGGGACCAGGTTTGGACGGCGCATGCTGGCACCCGTGACACCTGGACAGCCCTTCAACTACTCGCAGTCAGGAGCCGACTGGGGCGGCCTCTGCACGGTGAGCTTTTGAAGAAGCACCATTGAACTCTCAGCGATAATCTGACTTTAAGTTTGGTTAACCCTGGTGAAGTACCCTTTTGCAGTGGAAGAGGCAGGCTTTCCAAATGAGTGAGCTTCCCTTTAACCTGGCAAATCTGGTCAAACGCCTCGTCTGCGTGTGATCCTTTGCCCCTGGCTGGGTTACGTTACCAGAACAACACCGGTCTCGCTACCAAAAACGGGTTACGTTATCAAACACAAGAGAATAGTCTCACGGAATGAAAAGAGGATAAGCAAAAGGGAGGAGATGTCGGTGGCCGGGTTTGAACCGACAGTTTGCAGACCCGAGCTTGTAGCTCGAGGTTGTGACCACCACAACTGAGTTCCCGAAGGAGAACCGGAGAGTCGAACCCCATATCTTTTTTGGTCATTGCTACACCGACGAAATGTTGGGCGCTACCAAAACACTTGAGTCATTCGGCCACTGTAACGTAACTGGGCCGTAACCTTCTTCTATCCTTTTCTTTCAGGACTCATTGCATCCTTCCTCCTGTCCCTTTAGGAAGCACTCCTCTGCCCCAACAAGTCAACGTGACGTGTTGTATGTATTCCATGCCGCAGCCAAATCATAGTGACGGCAGCATCAATCATGTGCTGCTGAACCTAACTCGACGCTTTTTCCATCTGAGTACGTCGTCTTTCTTTGTCGTCTCCTTGTTCTAGTATTTTGTCATCTTCCACCCGAAGATGTCGCATAATCCTGAAATTCTACTGACAATGTTTTCGTTCATGTCTCTGTTCTTTTCGTAGGCTGGGCGTCAGCAGTCCCCCATAGACATCTCCACAGCGTCTGCGGGCGTATCCAGCTCCCCTCCGATTCGTATTGACTACCGGCCTCAGATCAACTATGCGGTGAACACAGTTCCATACAACGAATGGGTCATCATTCCGGTGAACAACAACAGCACGCTGACGGCGGCAGACGGCACGTAAGTCGCGTCTTCGAATTGGTTACCCGACTCAGGCCCTTGACCATGAGTGTCACTGTCTTCCAAACCGGTGCGAGGAGCATGACCTCCAATAAGTAAGAACAAGGTAGGAAACGTGTGAGACAAAAGGAGTGCCCGCGCGAGACTCCGGATACGACGCTCAAGCCCAACGCTTGATGAGGCCCTTGAGTCTCATTCGTAAGCCCTGGACTGCTCAAACCCTTTATTCAGAAAACAAGGCCTCCTTACAGGGTACGTTCGGTGCTTGATCAGCTACGAGGACGCACTGTCTAATCGCGAGCTGCTTTTTCTTTGAAGCTTGGAATACTGGTCCTCCCTTCGCTCAGCAGTGGTTCGCTCTACGTTGCTCTCGTTTCGGGTAGAGAGCGCCCCTGCTAACGCCTTGCTTTGGATTGCTCAACGCTTGCAGCGTGTTCTATCTGCACAACATCCACTTCCACCAGGTTGGAGAGCACTCCCTTGACGGACAGCTCGCTACGCTCGAGGCACACTACGTGCACAGGTGAATTTCGCTTCATTGATTGGTTTAAATTCAAGCCCTGGGCAGTGTGAAACAAAGTGGCTCAGCTGTCGTCGTCCACAACGGTTGTCAAAGATGCGCTCGTCCGACTCCAAACGTGGTCACAGAGCGTTACGTGGGGACGTTCTCAGGCTTGTTGAACAGCGCTCAGGAAAGAACTACGCTCTCGACAGCTGCGCATTCGAGGGCTTTCTCATTGCTGCACCAGATACGACAGCGAGTCCACACAAGCGGACATCCAAGGGCTCGTTCCTCTGTCGACGATTGTTGGTATTTCCACCGGCGCGCCTTCTGCTCGACATCAGGAAGTCCAGCGAAAATGGGTGATCGCCCATCAGACGTTCTTTGCCCGTCAATTGAGCAGAAAAGCGTCGAAGATACACAGTACCAGGCTATGTACAGCAAGGGGGTCAAGATGGTGAACGGAGCGAATGAGTCAAAGCCACTGAAAGTTGTTCTCTTTGTAAACGATATCTCCTAGCGGTTTTCGTACCAAACGAGCGCTCTTTCCTTCTCAGCACGTCGAGCGATGCGACGGCGACCGGCCAGAGAATCGCGGTGCTAGCTATCCTGTTCTACCTCTCCGAAGACTTCGCTCCTGACCCCTTTTTGAACCAGTGAGCCTTTGGACCCGCAACCTCCTACTCTCACTATCGGTCGAATTTTTGCTTGAACCCTGAGCGCGGCTTTCCGTTTCTGCTATGTTGTTTTTTGTAAGTGCATTTTACCATTTCAAATATGTTTCGGCCGAACCATTCTCAGCCCGGTGAGTCTTTCAAATCGCGAGCTCATATTCTCATGCAATTATCTCTCCAGCAATACCTCTCCCGACCTGTTGCTAGACCAGTAAGTCTTGGACTCGTGACCTTAGACTCCCTTATGTTCGACCAGAGTGCTGTGGAGGTTGGCCCCAACAGCCCGAAAGCACAAAGCAGTGGCTGCCAGAACGATGGTGCTGCCGCGCCAAGACTAGGTTTCACACCGTCAGATAAAGCTTTACAAGGGTTTATTGAGTACGTCTGAGAGAGATGCGTCCCGACGGAATCGAACGAGGCTTTTTCGAAAGGACGCTCTTTAGGATAACCGAACACACGTCGTCACGAGTACCCTAAATTGGTTCCATCTTTTCCACTTCGACCTTGCAACCACCATCTTTTGGTCAGACGGACATGGTCCTGCGTTTGCTTGTGATGCCACTTGAACAAAGCGAATCCTTGCGTTGTGAAATTGGTTCTACGGCATCTACGCGCCCACAGTGTCAGATTCCGAAGCTTATCTTCCTTTTTCAGGATCGTTCCGTTCGTCGCCGGAGGCCCGGCTAACGTCAGCACGGGCAGGGTACTGGACTTCACGAGCGTGACGGTTCCCAACGGGCCCGCTGATTACGTCACCTATGTTGGCAGCCTGACGCAGCCCCCCTGCACTGAGGGCGTCACCTGGTGAGACGGAAAACAATTGCAACTTCATTGTAAAGCAGGTGGCTTGTTCTAGTTAGCTAGCGTCTTCCAACGCGTGCATATCAATGAGGGGCGTACTTATATTGGCGTCTCAGATTTCGCTTCACCGCGTCGATAAGCATGCCTTCACGCTCGCTTTCAAGGACTTGGGAGAGTTCTCGTCAGAAATGCGGACTGGTACACCCTTTCCGCATAGACTTTTGCATCAGGATTCGTTATTCTCGAAGCTTCGTATGCTCAATACCACAACATTTATGAAGGGCGCTCTTCGTTCATATGCATGTGGTCAGGATTTGAGCTTCGCACGTGCGCCCATTTCTCGTGCTTGCAGGTACGTCACGACCAAGCCGCGCTATGCTTCCCAGGCGCAGATCATCCTTCTCATGAGCGCCACTGCTGGGGTCTCGGGCGGAGCCCGGACAAACAACCGGCCCATTCAGCCGCTTTACAACAGGACAATCACGGGGATAGGCCTGACGTATGCTACAGGCCCGACCAATACCGGGTCCCCTGCTATACCTCGACCCGGACCCTAATGGGATTTCTAATGTCTTATAAGGAGTCGGTCCATTGCGATCGTTAGGCAGGGCTAGGAAGGACTTTTGGTTGTCGATAGTGAGAGACTGACCCCTGGAAAAAAAGAAAGCCTGGGTCTTTGTGGGTGCTTCCCGCTAGAAATGTATGCGCCTGGACACGGATTGTTCATGTGGTGTACGGGCTCGACGTCTTGAGATGCGATAGTATTAGCACTGAGTTTGCGCAGACCGCAGATTAATCTAGGGGAAATTGTGCTTTTTTTGTTCTCTCGAATAGAGTCCGGTCATTCAGCTGAACAGCTTGGCAGCTGCAACAAGGCTCTTGAAACGTCATGTTTCTGATCCGACAAAATCAAACCAAACTTTCATAACATTCGAGTGCGATGTAAAAAGTGAAGCTGGCACAATGACGTCCACTTGCATGATACTTCTTAGTAGGCTTTTGTCGAGATACGAACTGAACTGCTCACCCGTTAAGGCGTAGCACAACTGAACCTGGCCCTACGCCGTGTCCTCCTTGGATTCCTTTGCGCCGGCTCTGCCGTGAACAAAGCAGACAAAAGGCATTTCATGACGGCCGTTTTGTCGGTGAACGAATTGAACTTACGTGTGCAGCCTTTTACTTGAAGCCGCTGCCCGAGATCGGCACGGTGTCTAGCTCAAGTAGATGGCTGCTCGATGTCTGTGTCGTGCTTGCACCAATGTCAGCTTGCAAAGATATCAAGGACGACATGCTTTAGTCAATCAACTCCTTGCGGAAAACCATTCAATAGCGGCAGGAATTGAAGCCTTGTGGAAAAGCTGGTCCGCCGGCTTGCACGGAGCATTGGGTTGCCAAACCATGAGAAGTTGACGTTTACTTTAAGTGAGCACAAGGCTAGCTTCTGGTGGGCATTGAAGCGACTGGTACGGCTTATGCCAAAGACAATCGGTGCCAAATTATCAGGCAGTGAGATGGCACTAGTGCAACCCTCACACTCAGCCTGGCCAACGTTCAGGGCGGTGTCTCACTGGAGCAGGCTGAATCTTACTCGGAGAAGCATACTGCGTTTTAAGTCTGATCGCAGCAGCGCCAGCGTGGACACGCGTTATGCGCAGCGCCGCGTGCAGCGGCGCGGCCGCCAACTGCGAGACTCGCGGCCGCCCACCATTGCGCGCCGGCGCTAGCGTGCATTCAGCTGGCGGCTTGCATGCAGCATTGCATGCGTCCTTCCCCTGGTTGCGCTGCGCTTACTCTGCTGGTGCCCATTGCTTGCAAGTCTCTTGGAGCAAAGAGGACCCAGAAGAAGGTGGCTGACTTGCAATTGTGCGCACCACCATAGAAGCTCAACAGCTGCAAGTTCTTCAAGATGGAGTACAGGTTTCTTGGGAGATCAGGTATGATTGATGCGAGAGTGGTGCAAGCTGGAATGCCATGAAAGGCTGGATATTACTGCTTCCACCTCTCTGCTCCCTTCAATTTTATATAGATGTTGCTTCCTTGATATGTCTCTTTGCTGCTACGGGCTTCAGTTGGACCTTGTGCCTATTGATCTGAGCTATGCTGTCTTTGTACATTCACAGGTTTGAAAGTTAGCGCCCTCAGCTTTGGCGCCTGGGTGAGTGATGCTGCATTCAGAATTGGACGATCAGATTCATTGTTGTGTGCCTGATGTGCTGATCTTACGTGTTGTATATGGTCCTATGTCAATCTCTTTTTATCCCCCTTTGCAGAGTCGTACAAGCTATACCAAGCTTTGTCATCAACTGTTTTGCTTTCTGTGACATGAGCTTACGGTGCTGAAGCTCCTATCTCAACCAGATTTGCTGTTGTGCAGGTTACCTTTGGGAATCAGGTCCAGGTATGTGACTGAACCTGGTTTACTTGGTGAAGAAAAATCAAACAAGCAATAAGACTTTCAACTTCAGGTCGCATCCCCTGCATGTAATGATGGACAAGTGCTAGTTCTTTGCCTGACTATTGAATTGTGATGGTCATTCTCTGGTCCTTCTCACTACATGCACTTAAAATGGTATGATCGACTGCGCTCTTGATCTCTCTTCACAGGTTCCGGAGGCCAAGAAGATCCTGGAGGGAGCATTGAAAGCTGGGGTCAACTTTTTCGGTCAGTAAACCAAGACCCTTACTGGATCAACTGGAATGCAGCAAATACTAGAACACCATGATGGCCAGCAGAAAAGTCTCAAGGTAGTCCAGTAACGAGGGTTGACTCACACTGCGTCTGAAATTATCGTTGGATATATGATTGCGTTGGAAGTTTCAAGGTAGTTCAGTGACGGGGGTTGATTCTCACTGTGTCTCAAGTTATCGTTGGATGTTTAATTGCAGACAATGCTGAGGTATATGCCGGGGGCAAGGCGGAGGAAGTGATGGGCCAGGCTTTCAAGGAGCTGGGCACCAAGAGGTCCGATCTGGTCCTCACCACCAAGATATTCTGGGGAGGCCAAGGACCCAATGACAAGTGAGCGCATCAACGGTGTCAGATTATACCTGCCCTTCAAATCCCCAACGTCTAAGTTACTTGTACTGCTCTGCACTCTTATCTTACTTTGCCTTTTTGTCGAAACTTTGTTCCGCTCCTGCTATCTCAAGGTTGTGGAGGTTTCTGAATTAGCCCTGCAGATCGCAGAGACGTTGTTGGAGCTTGGGACTATCTGAAGGACAGTGATCTTAGGGACATCACTCCTGTTGTGTTCAGGGGTCTGAGCCGCAAGCACATCGTTGAAGCAACTCAAGCATCACTCAAGCGATACCAAGTCGACTACTTCGATGTCATCTTCGCTCACCGGCCCGACGTCACAACCCCCATGGAGGAGACCGTCAGGGCGTTCAATCACATCATTGAAAAGGTGGGCAGAGAGACGATTCGTCGAATTGGTCGACATTCGACCTGCCTTCTACCTCCATGTTGGTTGGGGAATTTCTTCTCAGCTTTGTGGAGGCCAACGAGGGCATAGGGCTGACATTTGTATCACGGACTCTGCGCTTGGCAAACAGAATCGAGGTTTTTCTCCCTTTGAATACGTTACTGAAGGGCCTGATTGAGAGTAGAGAGCTCTCGTGGTTGGCAGATTCCCTCACCTCTTTCCAGAGCGTCTCTGGCACTTCACCCATTTTCCGTTCTTCAAATGGGAGCTGAATAGTCCGGGCCTCGCTTGAATTCAAAATCGAGCGAATTCAGTTCATCCCAGATTGCTGTGAGGCGCAGTCAAAAGTCTTAAAATTGGATATAAACTTCGAAGCTTTGAACATGTAACATGTGTAGCAATTCTGGATGCTCGACCCCTTGCAGGGTCACTGCTTCTACTGGGGCACGAGTGAGTGGACCGCTCAACAGATCGAAGCAGCCTGGGGCGTTGCCAAGCGGCTCAATCTGATCGGACCGCTGGTGGAGCAGCCAGAGTACAACTTGTTTGCAAGAGAGAAGGTGAGCAGTCACAAAACATCATTGAGAGCTAGCCTGACACGTCACCAGTGCAACGAATTTTGCCAGGTGCCTGCCACGCGGTGGAGACCTATCGGAGGCTGAAAATGGAGGGAGAATCTCCCCTACGTTCTCCTTCGTCGAAGAAACTTGCCGTCCAGTCTCAGGCCTCCAAAAATCCATAAACGGTGTGCGTTTCGCAGCCCGGATCGCGCTAACTCCCAGCCTAACCGCGCCCGTTATCTGGAACGTTATAGCAATCGGTCCTTTCACAGCTTCCCAGAGGGCCAAGCTTGGATCGAGTTTACGCACCACAGGACGATTGTGGACACTCGAACAGCAGATTCCTAAGGTCTGATTGCCCTCCTTGCTGCTGATATTCAGGTTGAAGTTGAGTACGCTCCATTGTATAAGGAGTACGGCCTGGGCCTCACCACGTGGTCCCCGCTTGCGTCTGGCTTGCTGACGGGCAAGTACTCCAAGGACCACATCCCCGAAGGCTCGCGCTTTGCGCTCGAGGCTCACAAGGTGAGAGGACGACACTGTCGGCAGGGAGCGGCCTGATTGCCGGAAGCTTCGCTATTTGCATCAAATTGTTGGAACACTGACGCACCCAACTTGGCCTTGACCTCGAGGAACGTCGAGGACCTTCAAGTTGCTATGCGGAATTTGCCAACGGGACACAATACTTGAGTCGATAAGAGGGGCGCGTGTAGGCCAGAGTCGCTCTTCCCAAGCTTCGCCTTCACTGAAGTCAACGAGTCGACCAGTAATCTGCGTCATCCTATGTATTCCAACATTTCCGCCAGCTTGCGGTCGTTGCCTCGGCTCATCACAGACTTCCTTATCATCTCGAAGTCGTGTCAATTGCAACAGGAAAGCTTCACTGCTGATTCTTGCCCCAGTGTGCGCGCACTTGAATTCTCTGAATGAATTCTAACAATTCAAACACTTCGTGCAGGGCTCACGGGAGCGGTCGCTGGTGGAGGAGAAGCTGGGTAAAGTGGACAAGCTCAAGAAGGTCGCTGAAGAGGTAGGCGCCAGCTTGGCCCAGCTCTCCCTCGCGTGGGCGCTCAAGAACCCCCACGTCTCGACGGTCATCACGGGTGCCTCGAAGCCCGAGCAGGTGGGTGGATCTCGCTTTCGTTGATGAGTTGTCGAACGTCGTGCAAGCCCTTTCTATTGATACAGGCGCTTTCGGGCCCGAACCTGTCCGCAACGCATTGCTTCCTCTCGTGCTTTTCTGAAAATGTTGGAAGTTGAACGGGTGGTTCAAAGCAGGGCTGGGAAGATGGTATGGTGGCCGTAATGTCGGCATCGGGTCGAACAGATTGTGTTTCGGCCTCAGCGCCGAGCGAAGGTTTCGATCGCTCTTGAGACTGAGTGCGTCAATTTAATGATGTAAGCCTTTCTTGTCGGCCTGGGGATCCGCGCCTCGAAGCCAAGGTGAAGATATACCAACTGGGTTTGTCTCTCACTTGCCGCAGTTTGAAGAGAACGTGCAAGCATTCAAGTTCGTACCCAAGCTGACACCTGAGATCATGGACAAGATCGACGAGATCATGCAGACAAAGCCAACTCCTTCAAAGGTCTACCGAGAGTAACGGGATGGCAGAGTTCGGCTGGTCCTTATCTGCTGGAAAGGGTTGCTCCTTGATTAGATATGTTGACTGTATGCGTGCGTTGGATCCAAGTCAGAAGGTCTGCACGCGACAACCACAGTCGCTCACAATATTCTAGATCCGAGATTTTGTGACAGTCAGCTTCCAATGTACGATAAGGTTCTCCCGGAATGCTTCGATTAATAGTAAGATTTGCATGACGCGTCAGATCAGACCCTTGTCCAGTCCCGTCAGCGCTAAGCTATACCATAGTATGTTTGTCATTGCAGCCCGGCCACGTGCCAAAGTTTTGCTGAAGCAAGTTTATTTCACACCGGGGTACGTCGGTACGGGTATCATAGTTTGCAATGAATGCCTATCATGCTAGTTGATCTATTGTAGCTGCTGGTATCACGGCAAAATCCTCTACTGTGTACGGGAAATACTTAAATCTATCTTCTTTACAAATGGTACCGTTCATTTTGCCGTGACGGGCCGGACCGCGCATGTCAAGGTCCTCTCTTGTTTCATGAAGCTCTTGAGTTGTCCTGAAGTTTGATCGCTTAGAATGACTCGCGATCGGACCCATGCACAGTGGTGTTGAAAGGAACGTGTTTTTTGGGGTGAAAACGTGAATGTTTAATTGGGGCCAGAGGGCGCTCTCGATCATCGGTTGGTCGCGATCGAGCAACGCCAAGGCCACATTCCAAACATAAAGTTCGCCACGTCATCAGTTCCAAGAGCGTTCCACTGGTTCTTCTAATTGACTAAACGTACCCGCCCTTACCCGCTCTAGACAGTGCTTCAGGTTGTCAATGCAGCATACGCATATGGGCGGGGTGCACGCGGTACGGTCTCCAGTCCCGGGCCGCGCCGAGCCTGCATTCTGGCAACTCTCGCATGTGACTTTACAGGCGTGTGACCTAAAATAGGCGCCCGGGAGACGGGTGGGGTAGGTAAGGTGGTTAGGGTGGGTTGGGATGGCAATGGGTGCGGAGCGCGTGATTATCTCGGTTAGGAATTTAGTTTGTCTGCCCGGGTTGCATGGAGACTAGTTCACACGCCCGTTAGGTCACACGAGAGTTGCCAGTATCGATCCTGCAGGCGCCCGCGCGCCTGAAGGAGACGGCGCGCCGCGCGCATTGTCGGCCCTCGCATCGCGCATGTCGATCTACTGGCAAAGTCGATTTGAGCTTGGCCGACATGGGGCAGCTTCGAGCTTCCTGACGTCCTCCCTGGCCGCCTGAGCTTGAACTTATGCAGAGCACTGGAGAAGCTTGCGAAGAGGCGCCCCCGTAGACTGGCCCAGAGAAGCATTCGTTTCGACCAAGTGATCGATTGACTGGGGAGTATTTCTACAGGGTCCCGTTGAGCTGCAAGTGGTCCTGTGGAGCTGGAGGAACCAGGGCTTATTCTCCTTGTCCATTTTATGAACGGCTCAATCGCATGTGCCAAAGCACGGTCCGCAAGATCCTCGAGATGGAGTACAGGTTCCTAGGGAACACAGGTAAGATCCAGCAAGGAACAGAATTGCTGCCTGTCAATCTGAAGGTCTGCATGATGAATGCATATTCCTGAATGAGTGTTCTGTCCGATAAAGACGGTCTGCTGAAGTATCTGTCTACTGTTTGATGACTCTGCGCCCGTGTCGAGCGACATTGCTCGATTGCGTGCTTCGTCTGCTCTGATATACGACTAACTCTGTGTAAGCGGCATAATGTGGATCAATGATTAGTCTTTTCGTTATGCATGCAGGCCTTAAAGTGAGCGCCCTCGGTTTGGGTGCTTGGGTAAGTAAGTTTGCGAGAAGCGAAAGGCTGATTGGCAGCATTCTGCATGGACGTTCACTGGTTGCTGGTCATCATCCTTTGCGGTTATCTCGACGAGAGGCAGCTTCAATCAAAGCAATCATGGAAACGGAATGATGCAGACAATTCTATGGCGACGCGACAAGTTCGTAACTAGTCTCTCCGGTCCGCAGGTTACATTTGGAAACCAAGTCCAGGTGAGCCTGACAGCTGACCTCGGCGAAACATAGCATCGATTCGCATTTTCTGTGAATATTGCGGGGGAAATGCTCGATGATAGATTCCTCATGTAGAGGTAACTTCTCGCGCCCTGCTGTACTGATTGAATCTATTTCTGTGTTCAAGTGTTCTGAAAGAAAGCATCCGACTTCGTTTCTCTGCAAATCTGAGTATTTTTTGCTGGACCTTGACCTCGCATCTCGATGCTCCCAGGTCCCGGAGGCCAAAGAGATCCTCCAGGATGCGTTTAACTCAGGAGTCAACTTCTTCGGTCAGTCACCTCGTCCTTTCCTTCAAAAGTCCTTCAATATCGACTTTGTGGATCAGGTTTCACGTCCTAGTTGTCGTTGTTGTCCGTCGTCATTGTTTTCACGATTTCCTCAAGTGGAGCGAAGGGTGTTTTCAGTGATTCAACAAACGGCGCCGGCATCAGTACATTTTCTGTCAAAAGCTTCTTGCCATGACCTATCAGAAGCCATATACTTAACGGTGCTCGTGCCGACCTTGTGGAAAGGAACCTTACGAAGGCTACACTAGTTGTGCTTCTGTAATTAATGGTGGTACTTTGCGTCTAATAGGGCTCCGCTTCATTCTGCCCATGGCAAGGTCAAACGATTCCCCTTACACCAGGCATATATTGCCTCTCTCGGTGGTAGTTATTCTTCATTAAAGGATAATTTCCTCCGGTTGGGCCTAATTGCAGACAATGCTGAGGTGTACGCGGGGGGCAAGGCGGAGCAGGTGATGGGCCAGGCCTTCAAAGAGCTGGACATCAAGCGCTCTGAGCTGGTACTCACCACCAAGATCTTCTGGGGCGGCGAAGCCCCCAATGAGAAGTGAGACTCCGTTGCCCTCAGATGCTGAATGTGGCGCAGAAACTTGCTTTAGAGGGCCCGCAGGATGCTTACAAGCTTGTTCGGGACTTGAGAGATTTGGTGGTGCCTCGCACGATCGGTGGCACAGAGAAAGAATGCCCAGGAAGACAGACTTGCGATAATCATCCAAAATAGATTGCATCGAGGATCATCTCAATGAGTTTCAGAAAGTTTTTCTGCTCTGTTGATGGCTCGAGAATCTCGTCGGCGCTTTTCTGCTGGAATGTGCATTAAAATGGAAGTCGAAGAAATCTTCTGTCTTGACTGTTTCGGGATGTTGAGCCTCCAAAGCCGAACGAACGTAGTGAACGCATTTTGGGGGTGTTTCTTGAGGTTAATTTTAGGATGGCATGTGTATTCCATCTGCTTTCAAGGGTAACGCAATTACGACGCCCGTCACGTGCGCACAGGCTTTCGCCTGAAAGCAAGGAACCTGACGCTTCCAAAATTTTAAGCAATCAAAGGGCGGCTCGGGAAACAACCCACGAACTTCAATTCGATCTCACAACGAAGTTTTATCATTTTCTGCGCAGAGGCCTGTGCCGGAAGCACGTGATCGAGGGCACCCAGGCGTCGCTTAAGCGGTACGGGGTCGACTACTTTGACGTCATCTACGCGCACCGGCCTGACGTCACGACCCCGATCGAGGAGACTGTGCGCGCATTCAACCACATCATCGACAAGGTAAGAAGACTAACTGAACATTGAGTCTTATGAACTATAAATCTAGAATCTACATATGGTTCATGAGGAGTGTGTAGCGGCTGACGGGATTTAAGGTTCCTTTCAGTCCTCGGAAGTGAGACATAAAAGATGCGTTCGCTGAGAATTGTTCCTGCTCCTGTTTGACGGAACACCTTTGCGTGTCCCTACATGCAAAGAAGGCCGGCGATGACAGCGACCAAAGTCGCAGCAAACCTTTTTGGCAACCACAAGGCCATTCACTGCCGAAGGCCACCGGTTTCTTTGGCATGCTGCAATAAGAGCCGTCAAATTTCCCGACAAGAAACTCAAGGATTCTCCTAGGGACGAGTGAATATTGTGACGGGGGTCGTCAGTCAGCCTGGCTGACGGCCCTGCGCTTGTGGAGCGGCGTAGCTTCCAAGCCGTATGTTCCAGCGCAAACGTCACAGATCAAAACCCGCCACGTGGCAGGCCCTCGGGCCTCCGTGGCTGGGGGGTCGCATATTCCATCACCGTGGGGAGCCGCGTCGCGGCGATTACCTCTTCGGACAGACCATGCGACCCACATTTGCTGCAGCATCCAAAAATCACAAATCTTCGGTTTCGTATTGAGCCCTCTTTCGGTCATACAGGGAGCGTGAAGATACTGCGCCTCGACTCTCAAATGGACGTCCGAGAAATTCTCGCAAGCGGGGAAAGGGCGCAAACGTAGGATTTTTCAGAAACTCAAGGTCCTTTGTGGGCAGTACAGAAGACGGGTCTCCGCTCCTCCGCTTTTGCAGAATACGCAAAGATTACCCCATTTTCAAATGGCTCCAAAAATCTCTCATTTTCAGGGCTACGCATTCTACTGGGGCACGAGCGAGTGGTCCGCGCAGCAGATCGAAGCGGCGTGGGGGATTGCCAAGCGGCTGGGCTTGATTGGGCCCGTGGTGGAGCAGCCAGAGTACAACCTCTTCCATAGGGACAGGGTGAGCCGCTCGCGCGCGCGCGCGCGCACAAATGAATCTTTAGATTTCAGGATCCCTGTATCAGTCTAGGCCTGATGGATGAAGCAGCCTAAGAGCTATCTGTTCCACAGGGCCCGGGTGAGCAGTTCATGCGCGCGCACACTGAAAACAACCTCAGTGTTCAAGAAACTTATACACAAGATCAAAGTAGGCTTGGTGGGACTTCGTGGAGCTGCTGAAGTAAAATTTATTCCACAAAGACAGGATGTGAAACACACAGCGTGCGCAGCTCTAAGCTGGCAAGGGCCTGTCAGGATGTTCTGAACGGTCGATTGTAAGGATCTTTACTCCCCTAAAATGACGATAGAGGTCCGACCGTAACACGTCCGCACATGAAGAGAAAAAGGAGTCAGGAAATGGTAAATCAAGATTTGTAGACGGTTCCTTAGTTTAATGAAGAGGATGAGTATGACGATCTTTTTCATCGCGGTCGAAGGAGCTCTGGGCCGATCATTAGTCGATTACGAGGGGAGTCTTTAACCACAGTCAGCTTTTCGAGCTGTTCTGGCTCTTTTATTTGTTAAGGGTAGGGCTGGAATGTTTCGGCAGACCATCTCATTCTGGTTCGTCATTTTGATCGAAATTCTCGTACGTACCGACTCTATTGACGTCTTTTGAAAAAATGGACAGCTTTCCGTTTCATCCGCTGAATTATGGAGCTCAAGACGCCGTGTCTGTAGCGGAGGTAGAACCCCAAATCCTTGATCTGGTTCCCAAGATGGAATATACAAGCCGGGGCTCTTGGAGCCGCGGGGCTGCCTGGTCTTACTCCCATATTTGGCAAAGCACCCACGAAGAAAAACGAAATCTCTGATATGCTTGGAGTTTTGGTACCCAGGTCGAGGTGGAGTACGAACCTCTGTACGAGGAGTACAAGTTGGGTCTGACCACGTGGTCTCCGCTCGCGTCCGGGCTGCTGACGGGCAAGTACTCCAAGGGCCACATCCCGGAGGGATCCCGCCTGTCTCTCGACGCGTACAAGGTGAGGCTGTCCGGGTATTTGTTTTCAGTACCCTAGAACCTGGGAATTCTACGCGCTTGAAATGACGGATCTGGGAGGTCGCTTGGATGCAGATCCTAGGTTGAACAGCTTCACCCTCGTAATCGTAATCGTGGGCGCTTTAGCAAGGGTCTGAGGGCTGCCCCTCTACGCCTTCGAATGCGTCATAGTGACGACAGAAGTGGTCAAAATAGAAACGATACAGATTTGGCGAAACAAAGATCACATATTGGTCAGATGTGCTGTTCCGATACCTGATGAGGTCGCCCCTCGTCGCTTCGAAATCCGCAAAAGAAGAGGTCTCTAGAGACGAAGTGATGGATAGGAAAGCCGGGACCTTCGGGACAAATTCTTAAGGCCTTTGAACGAGTTTATTGTTGCATATGGAGTGTTGCAAAAACCACAGCAGCGAGCCCAATCCTCCTTGTCCTGTTCGTCGAAGTCCATTGTCGGCTTGAAACTTTCCGCTGGAATCTCAAGCCCGTGGTGCTACTTCCTTTGAACCAGAATCCCAACATGCAGACCGCGACTAATTACCTTTTTGCATCTGCAGAGCCTGAGGGAGCGCCTGCTGACGGAAGAGAATCTGGAGAAGGTGGACAAGCTGAAGCCGATCGCGCAAGAAATTGGCGCCACGCTCGCGCAGTTCTCGCTCGCGTGGGTGCTCAAAAACCCGCACGTCTCGACGGTTCTCACGGGCGCCTCCAAGCGGGAACAGGTAGGCGGATCGTATAGAAAGCGGAACCGGACGAAGTTGCTAGGTCGCATAGATTCTGATTCTTGTCTTATTCTGGCCTACATTGTATTCATAGAGACGATTGAGCGCTGGTTTATTCGAAGACGTTCCGTATTCTCGAGAATCTCCACTTTTCGGACTTACGAGGGGCGAGGAGAAACCCGCCTTTATGTAAAGTAACATGATAATCACAGGTTTGCGGATTCAATTGTCAGTGAGTTGATAAGCTTCTGCTTTTCTGATCAAGATAAACGGGCCTTTTTTTGACGCTCATGCTGCCCACGATCGTGACCGATTCCTCACCCCAAGCTCTTGATGCAATCGTTTGCAGTTCGAGGAGAACAAGGAAGCGCTCAAGTTCTTGCCTAAGCTAACGTCCGAGGTGATTGAGAAGGTCGAAGATGTCATGAAGAACAAGCCGACTCCGCCTAAGAACTACAGGGAGTGGAAGCCATGAAAGAGCCGGGTAATAATTCCCGATCAGTCACCTGGATTATAAGAGGCAGGGGCAATTACCAATGTAGAGCCACTTTCTGCGCTTGAAAACAGTGTGCAGATCAGGTGGAGTATTTGTGTAGTGAAGGTGGTGATTCTTATGACAGTAGAACGTACTATGAGCAGATGTTGACCAGCATTCTGCAATCCAATCTGTTCTTAAGCGAATCATTGCCCATATTATAGCATGCAAAATGATTGTAGAAACTCAGTGTTTGCGGAACTCGGGAGCGTTCAGGCTTTGCAGCCACAGCAGCTACTTGTTTCAAAGTTCATTTTAGATTCACTCAACGGGAGCAATGTTGCATAAGATAAGGAGATTTGTCATACGTGTATCTGCAAGTCGACGAGAATCTTGAAAGCCTAGCATGAGAGTAGTTGAGATAAGTGGTCGACAGGTGCACACATGCCACGTACAATGCTATTGGTACTAGCAGAACTCTGCATGCGTCCAATCTTCGGGGTTTGAGATCTCAATGTGGGCCCCAGAGACAAGTTGCGTCATGATCATATCTGGATTGCGATGATATACAGCTTTTAAGTGGAGAATGCAAACCTGTCGATCAATTGCCCAAAATCAACAATCCTCATGATTGAAATGGAGGGTTTGCAACTTTTCAAAATCCTCCGTAGGACACCATTGCATCCGCAGACTGAATTATAGACATGAGGATATAGCATCTTAGGAGATTTACATCTTGTGACTACTCAGGTCCGCGCTACAGAATGGAGAAAGAAAGTAGCTGAGCCGCTTCAGATGACTATGACATGTAGCACTATATCTCATGCTCACCTAGCCTATGTTCATTATCTACCAGCGATGTGGACCTTCACATGGACCTCAAATCGCACCCAAAAGCGCCGCGGCTTCCAGAACCTGACCCGTATACGACGTCACGGCTGCTCCCGCCGCTTTGTTTCGCTGCGGCATATGCGCATCCGCTGCTGCTCCGTCCACACCGACTTTTCCCCGTTGCGACATATACCTGTTTGCTGCTTTTTGAAATTGAGGTTGCATCGGTCTTGGGAGTGCGTTCGACACAGCATTCTGGACGGGGGGCGCCCCAGGTAATGCTCCTTCCGCTCGCTGACCGGAACCCGCGTTCCGGGTTCCGGTCGGATCCGCGTTCCGCTCCTGCCCGTTTCTGGTGAGCTCACTTCTCTCCGTGAAGGCCACTGCTTTCTTTCCTGTTTCATGTCCTCCCCTTCCAGGAACAGCATTCACGACCGCCGGACTTTGCACCGGTTCTCCTTCCGCCTCTCCGGCCGTTCCGTTCTGCTCCTCCGCCGTTTCCGCTCCCCCTTGCTCCTCCGAAAACCTGACATGCGTCCGCTTTGGAACCACCCGGTCCTCTTTACCGGGCAATTCGCTCGCCCCCCGTTCTTCTTGCTTCCCCGGCTCTTCTCTCTCGCGGTCTTCGTCTTTCGCCTTCTCGACGACACCCGATTCCGCGCTTCCGCCCCTGTTCTTATCTTTCTGCACGGATTCCGCGCTGCTCTCGAGCGAGATTTCGTCTTTGTTCTTCTCGTCAGGCGCATGCGCGCGCTTCTCGTCACGTGCCGCCTCCTCCTCCTCGTGCTGACGTTTTCGGGGCACGTGCTCGAAGGTCATGCGCTGACGCAGCAGGACGTCGCTGCGAACGTACGGTACATACCGCGGACGCGGTCCGTACGCCGGGCGCTGCACACGACGAGACAATGGTTCAACCAGTCAGTCAAAGGTAGCCAATCATCTGTTTATAAAGAAAGATTCAAAAATGTAACATGACCAACTCGACTTCCTATAGAGAGATATGACACCACTTGAACCTTGGAACATCAGAGGACCAATGCAGAGTCGGCACAGATGGGTCTCGATGCAAACAACGAGACACTTGAACGCCAACATGCGCCATTGGAGCAAGGATAAGCCCGTCGGAACGTCGATGCTGTTGGGGCGCAGACTACGAAATCTAGAACCAGATCACGTACTTCATTTGGATGATTATGGTCTTTTTCAATCTGAAGTACCTGTCTTATCAAACATAAGACTTAGAATGTCCAGAAGTTCCAAGCATTCCTCACCTCGGGCTGATTCCCTCTATCAGGCACTCGAAAGCGCGAACCCCCGCGCCACCCTCTTCCTCCCCTGGGGGCCCCTCTCCCGAAACCTCCACCCGGGGGACCAAACCTGGGAGTCCATCCGTCACTTCGCCACGTAGTTCCTCGGTAGGCCACATTCTGGGGCGGCAGCGGACCGGACGGACGGAAGCGCTCCCCCGGGCGGAACGACGGAACGTTCGGGGGCACAGAGGCTGGCCGGCGAAAAGTTGCCGGTCGTTGGCCCCGTGGAAAGAACTGGGGGCTTGGACCGGGCACCGGAAACTGCGCCGATTGGTAACCGCTTGGCCGGAAGGCGTTCTGGAACGGTGTTGCGAACGCGAACTGGGCTCTAATTGGACCTTGGGCGGCGGGTCCGGCGGGATTAACTTGACCCGGGTAAAGATTTACTTGACCCGGGAAAAAAGGCGGGGCTTGCATCTGTGAGAATAGGGGCCCGCGCCGCATATCCGGGAGAGGGCCCCGTGCGGCGGGAAGGCTTATCGGCGACAGCAGGTTTGGATTCGCCGGGACGCTTTGTGCCGGTTGAAAGTGCTGGTGAACGATCTGAGTCGGAGCTTTTGGAGCGGGGTACAGTTCCGTTGGTCCGCTGGCCGGAACGCGCTGCGGAGTGGGTTGTTGCGACGGAGTGAACGGCCCCCCCAATTGGGTATCCGGGTTCGACGCGGCAAAAGCGGGCGGGAAAGGTGTCTGCAGAGGCGCTTCATTGAAAATTTGTGGAGGTTGCCCGCTCGGAAACGCTCCTGGAGTTCTTGGAATTTGTCCGGAAGGTGATGAACCGCCGGGAAAAGGGGCCTGCAGAACGGTGTAACGTCGTCGGAAAGAGGAGACAAAACTGTGCCCTATTTTCGACTTTAAAACTAGACGGGAAATTCGATTACCACGAGGCTTCTGAAACGATGTGGTTGCAGTCCGTTTGAAAATTCTATTTATAAAGTGCTGCAAGATGGACAATGTAGTAGTCTTCTGCAAAGTGTCCACAGAAAGTCGTCCACAAATCACAGCATCGGCGGTGAGTATCCAGGTCTAGAGGCTGTTTTGAAAGGCTATCGTTAGAGTCAATCTTCCATGTTTTCATTTCTCTCAACCGCGGTTCTTGCCAAGTTCTGCCAGAGGATAACGAATGTAAGGTTTACCTGAGACGTTGCACCCCCTGCCTGCAGATACGCCCCGGCGAACTGCCCACCAGAACTCCCAGCACTCAAGAAGTGCCCACTTGGAAGGCCTGCGTTCTCGACATTTCCGCTTTGACGCTGGTCGTTCTGGAAGCCGATACGACTCTTCTCCCCATCTTGTCCAACTGGAATCTGCTCACTACCCGGGAACTCCCCACCGCGCGAAAACGGCCCACCGAACGAGAACTGCCCACCAACCGGTGTTCGCCCACCGGTTGGACCCTGCCCACCGAGCGCCTCTACCGTTTGCCGACCCCCCGTCACATTCTGTTCTCCGGGAGGCTGGCCGGCTAGAGACTGCCAACCGGAGAACTGCCCCGGCTGGTATTGCTGGCTGCCCCCTTGAGAGGGATCCCTCGGGAAACCTCCGTTTGGATTCGGCAGCGGCTGACCCGAAAAGACCCCACTTAAAACTTGCTCGGGCAGAATGTTTTCCTGAGGCATGTTTCGCGCTTCTTCCGATTGCTTCGTTCCCAATTCTCCGAGGACAGAAGGCTGCCCCCCCGGTTGCTTTTGCGCAGGAAATGTCTGCGCCGGGAAGCCCTTTGAAGGGGCCGGGGGAGTAAATCCGAAAGCACCGCCCTGAGGCGCACTCTCTGAGGGCTGTCGCTCGAAGCCGGTCGCGATGAAGGTGCGCAGCAGCGCAGCCAGAGGGGACACCTCCCCTTGCGGACCGCATGTTGCGTCGCCCTTCGAAGCAGTCTTGGGGCTTGGCATCGATTGGACGTTGATGGGATCCTGAGTGCTTGCCACGTTAGCAAAGTGGCCACCCATTCCTTGGCGCACGGTTTCCTGACCGCTTTGGAGGTTTACCCACTGTTGTCCCTCTTGGAAAGTCTTAACTGCTTGGGTATTCTCAGGAGACCGACCGTCGGGACTGAGAGGTTCAAGGTGGAGGGGTTGCGGAACGGCTTCCGAATCGAAGGTGTGCCCGCCGAATGGAATTCTGAATGCATTCTGGCGCTCGAGATGCTTCTCTGACGTCACCGCTTCTCCTGACGTCACTGCATCCGTTGGCGGCCCTCCTAGTTCCCATGCGCTGAGAGACGCCTCTTGGCTCCCGGTTCCGGCTCCGCTCGAGGGCTCAAACGGAACGTCCTGCATCGGAAACGCGGACGGCGGTTCTTGGGCTCCGCAACCTGCCTGCCATTGCATGCTTGGTTGATCCCCCTGAATCTCTCCCTGCTGCGTCGGAGTCTGAGCCACCCCCCCGGCCAACAGAAACTTTCTCACGGCTTCCTGGTTCGGCGAGAGGAGCAGACTGCCACGTAACATTTCCCCAGCTTCGCTCCCCACCAATTGCGTGATCTGGTTCCACAAACTCTGCTCAATGCCTGCGAATTGCCCCTGCATGCCGAGTTCAGGTGCCGCTGTATGCGAGGCATCAACAAACGCCTGGCCAAGCTGTTCTCTTTCGTCCGTTTGCTGTGAAGGCATTCCGCCCGGAACCACACCTTGCGGGAAAGCCACTGCTCCTGGCTGCGCCGCTTGCATGCTGATGGGCTTGTGTTGCTGTTAGAAGAAGACTTTTTTGTTGGTTAAAAAACCGGTTGATTCGTTCAAGTCGTTTCTGCAGGAGTGCAAAGAGTTGCAGTGGACTTTCTTCAGAAGCGCGGTACTTTCAACTGGCGTCTTACGCCCCTGCGTGTTTCCCGCCAAAATCTACAGCTGCCCCCAGCTACGGCGATCTCTCTGCATGGCTTTTTCTGCGCCTGTCAATGTGCGCTTCTCGGAAGAGATCTCTGCGAAAGGTATAGTCTGCAAAGTATATTCGAGTTTTTGCTTATCAGAACGTACGTACCAGGTTTTCTCGAAAATAAGTTAAGCAGAACCTACTCTGTTGAAAGCGCCATCAACGGGTGCGCGGCCTAGCAGGCCTGAGGCCGACAACTCTCAAGTCAGTGCGGACTATACACAAGACTTGATTTTCCACGTCAGCATTTCTAGATACGGATCCTATCTTAGACACATCATACGACTAAATTAGCGGATTGATGCTTCGTCAACGGGGGAGTCTACAGCATTTTCGGGGCAAGCTGCCCGGTTGCAATCAATAGATAGGGTCTATTTAGATACTAAATATCAGCCAATCTTTAGCTATTGCTTTGACGTCATCTAACATCTCAGCCGGCGAGGTAGAAAAGGGGTGACCATCGAGCCGTAGAGGCTCTGGGCAGGTCCATCCGACGTGCGAGAATCTTCCACGTGTTGAGATGCCCTCCAAGATCATACGTCAACTAATCTGGAAACGTACCTAAACTTACACTAGATTCAGCCAAAACTAAAGTTAAATTGACCCTATCTATCGATCGCAACCGGGCACAAACTGCTGTAACAGACTCGAGCCCATCTTAGCTGACACGAGAAGGTCCCAGTCGACAGCATCAAAGGCTTTCGCCGACGAAGCATGGCGCCGCCCATCGAGCTTCCTGCCTTCCCAGTGTCAGAACAGATTGAACAGAAGCCATCGACAGAACAGCTGCGAGTAGTGCACGTTACGTAACGTCTTAGTCATTCGTGATTTGTCTGGATTCTCCTTTGCGCCCTGAGCTTGAAGGCAGCGAACGTCTGGCTAAGTGGGAACTGTGGTCCTCGAACATCCTAATAAAATTTTGAATTCTTCTGGGCCCCGCGGCTACTGTAGGTCGTCGGGCCGCGCCCGGGCGGTAGGGGCGGCCGCGGGCCTGTAGGCTTGGCGGCCGCGGCCCAAATGCCGTAAAGCGCGCGTCCACTCGCGCGAAGCTTTAAGCTTCAGAGGAAGAAACAGCGCCTCAGCCTCAGGCGGAGACAAGTACAGCAGCGCCATGGCGGCCTCTCGCGTCGCCCTTCAGCCGCACGTGTCTGCCTGGAACCCTTCTGCTGCCTCCCACGAGGCAGAAAGCCGGGCATCCACATCTTACAACTCCGCCAATCCTGATTTTGGCGCGCACCTCTACAGGGCCACGGGGGCAAAGAAGCTCGCCCCTTTGAGGAGCTCTCTTTTCGGGCGGGAAGTCCAGGGGGTTAGCTGGGCGCAAAACGCGGAGAGGGGATCGAGTGGACGGGTTAGGGTTTCAAAAAGCACGGGAGCGAGGGCCCAAGGAGAGGAGGACTCGGACGACACGGATGGTGTGGCAGACTTGCCGATTGAGTTCCTGGAACCGACGCCTGAAGTTGTGAGTGATTTGCTGGACTTTCTTCAAGTTTCACATCTCTGAAGCTTGTGTTTCCCAATAAGCCGCAATGTACTCTTTCAGAATTTCGCACCACCCTTCTTGATGGTAATGTGACTTTGTAAATGAGGCACAGAGACATTTTAGTTACTCTGAGCTTCTAACTACTTATTTGAGCGGTTGGCACGTATCCTCGACCACCTTTACCAGCTCCAAAGCAAACTCATTTTGCTCGCTCATGAAGGAAGACGAGCGAGTGGAAAACTTGTCCTCTCAGAGGTCTCAGGATCAACATTGCGCTGTAGCGGTTCTGCTGCAGGATTCGGTGAAATGCTCACGATAAGTTGCAATCGATGTTGGAGAATGTTTCAGGCTGTCAGTCTGTTTGAACTGCGAGGAGTTTTGGTAGCTTGTGTTTTTGCCACCGATGTATCGTTGCTTGTTGAAAAACACCCATTGGTGGCAAAGCGATCGTGCACTGATCAAGCATTATACCTGTATTGTGTCACACTTTGAATTTTCCAAGACTGATGCGCATCTCAGAAATGCAGGCCTGAAAGGTGGGTCAGAGGGATCATCTAGCATGATCCAGTCTGCCTGATCGTCTTCCTAGACCAGGAGGTTGTTGAGAGCATACTTCCCTTCTGGTACATGCTCTGTGTGTCCTCTCAAACCTCTCACAAAGAAAGAAATGCAGTTATTGTGGACTTCTTTAGCCTGTCCGTTTGCTGAATGCTGCCCTCATCGAAGCTAATTCTGTCTGCAGGCTTATTACCAGCTGCGAACCATAGACTCCCCCAACCATTTGTCTGTTCCCAGCCCACCCCCAATCAAGCAGGGGGGGCCACCAAGCCCAACAAATGCAGGCAGGTCTGGTCTGTTCCGTACCCCCATTTCAGGGGGGGTGCAAAGTGCCACGTCGTCGCATGGATTGCCCCCGCCTGCGGTAGCTGTCCGGAACCTGGTTGCTCAGGTGAGCCAAGTTTCATTACACATGAAAAGCTGTCTTCCACATTTCATCCTAAATGCTGCGCTCTACACAGCGGTGTTCGGGTGGCTGTGGCGGCAGGTGTGCTTGGCGACTTGCATATTCCACATCAGTGAAATTCAGAATTGTTCTTGGGGGCGATCTTTTGCACTGCGATCCTGGTCGTTGGTACCCCTTGGCAGACCTAGGATCTCTGTCTTCAGTTATCCTTGACAACACCGGCACCTCCGTATCTTTCTTGTATTGCCCCTGCGACAGAAGTGTCTGGATAAACATGGTGCCAGATGTCAGTCCGCGAGTGGCCGTAATTTGGTCCATCGCCAACAGTCGATGGCGCAGGTCATCGATGGATGTCTAGCGTCCCCTTTCCTGAATGTTCTGGGTGGTTTTTGCAGGCCAAGTACGCCCACCTGTGCACTGTGATGTCGCGCATGCACCACCGCAGGCGAGGCTACCCCTTTGGCTCGCTGGTGGACTTCACAACCGACGAGGAAGGACGTAAGGCGGCAGCCCCTCTTACTTTCTTTTACTTTCTGGGCTTTTCGGTTTGGGTCCCCGCCCCCCAGATATCACCGCGGCAGCCCCTCTTGTGTTGTCAGCGGCTTCGCCAAACCTGCATAAGCTTTCAAATCCTGAGGGGGCTGACGACCACGCAGCGAATGCTTGTGTGACAAGGAGCAGGAACAAAAAGCAATGGAGTTTGTCTCGATTCCCGGGAGCATCATGCTTGGGGCTCATAGGCGGGACGCTCCTTTTTCCTAGCTAGACGATCAAATGACGTCCAACGTCCTTCAGTAGTGTCAATCTTTTGAGTAGGCGCGAGTCGAGCATATCAAACTCTCCAAAGCACCGTTGGCAATGATGACTTCCCCCCTTGCGCGGCTTGGTCAACGCCAAGTGTTATCCGCATCGAAGCCAGTTGGTTTACTCTGGTCCTGTCTGCTTGAAACTGCTCATGTGCATTATTGGTCGAAGATGGCGAGAGCCATGCATCGCTCGAAAGGATGCGCTTTTTGACAATACTTACTCCACACCATGCACGCGCTGCAGACTCTGCTCTGTGTCCTCTTCGCGGATGCTTCTGAGCAAAGAGTCGTACTTGATACACGCCGCTGGATAGAGATTGTGGGATCAGGAGGCCTTTCCAGCTTAAATTTTCGGGTTCTGCCTTTCCCTCGAGTCTGGCTATGATTGTCCCGACACTGCGGAGCGTTGGTGTCAAGGTTTGCTTCGGTCTCAGTATTTGCCGTTCAGATTTTGTATTCCCTCACCCTGGTCACATACTACAAGGATGCATTCCCACAGCTTTTCGAATTGGGCACGGGCACCGACGTCGACGAGGATCATTCATGGACGCTGTCTGCTCATTTGCAACTCGTTCTTTGGTTCCCATTAATCGTCATCATGGTTTGCAAAACTCTCTTTCCTTATTGGTGATTCTGTAGACCGCAAACGACTTTGAAAGAGGCGGCCTGCCGATGGAAGTACTCGCGAATGACTGAAACGCGGGCGATGTTCTACTGTAATCATCCCCAATTCATAATGATTGTATTAGCTGACTCATGGCTGCACTACTACTTTACCGAGGCGCAATTGCCAGTATGTTCCCGGAAATTTGCAAGCGTTTCAGCATGCTTCTCTGAAGTGACAGCTAAGAAAGCACGCGCATCTGCTCGTAATCTCTTCCTGACGGCTATGACTGAAACATCGTGGGACTTTTTCCGAAGTCTCAGACTCTGGGTCGTCGATTGAAGCCCTAGGTATCAACCCGACATTGGTTGGTACCCCTTCAGCAAACATTTCTCTCTTTGACCGTCCAGGGTAAAAGCATTGATGCGTTTACCTTCTTGACTCTCTAGAGAATAAGGAATGCAGCTCTCATATCAGATGGGTTAACTCGTGTTTCGCTTTTCACGTCTTGCAATTCCTTCTTTCTACTTCGAACTGTCCTGTTGAGTACGCAACAGCGATATTGAAACCCTTTTAGGTGCAGTCTCTACGGCTCCTTGATGATCCTCGCGATTGGCAATGATTGTAAGAACCATGGGACTACATGAGTCTCAGTTTCAGATCCATTGAGGCCAATGGACAAGTTGTTGCATATCCTGTAGACGCAGTGACTTTCTTGTGGTGACGTTAGCTTTTGGTCCAGGTAACTTCCTTCTTGTCAAATCAGCCACACAGCTTGTCGTCAACTTGGTGCGTCGTTTTGGAGAGCTCGTATTGTTACATTGCCTCATCCGCATTTACTGCAAAACAGAACCAAATCCCTCTACTCCTCCACCCCAAAGCATTTACACTCATCATAATCGCGACTTACGTTGATTAGCCGCATTCATCTGGTGCAGATCCGATCTTCTCCCTCTCCCCTCTCGCCATCCACACCCGAAACATTTTGGCCGACCCCCGGTGCACGCTCGTCGTTCAGATTCCAGGCTGGTCCGGGCTCGCCAACGCGCGCGTGACCATCTTTGGTGACGTGTACCCACTGCCACAGGAACAGCAGGTGAGAAAGGGCGACCGCAGAGGGTGGTCGATGCAAAGTCTTCTGCCATGCTTGTCGTGTTCTCGCGCATTGTTTAAAATGAGCGGTTGAGAACCTGACCTTTGGTTTTACCAGTCGCTGACGGAGTGCAAGAATTTTAGTGTGCTGTGCGGGCAAGGTCGCAGTGTGGAGGTCTAGGGGCATTCCTTCCCCGGCCGATCTCGACCTTCGGACATGGGGCTCCGTCCGACTGCGGTTCAACTTGCAGACGAGGCGTGAAGAAGATGACGGCTCTGTCTTCTGATTCGGTGAATGGTCAGGCAGGCGGGCCAATAGAGCCCTGCGAGCCTTACCAAGCTCCACCCTTGCTCGTGTTGACTCTTGCTCTTTTGTTTCAGGAATGGGCACAGAAGCTGCATAGCGCCAAGCACAACCACGGGGCGTCGTTCCAGTGGGGCAACTTTTACTTCTACCGGATGGCTAATATTAGGTGAGTTGCTGTCGGAAAGCGCAGGCTGCTCGGAGGAATAGAAAGCGGACAGTTGGACAAATTGTCCTTTTTTCAACCCTTTCAAAATGCTCCCAAAAGTTTTTGCTTGTGTCGTGATGCATGGCTTACTTCCTTCCTCGTAAACAGCATCAGCGGACGGGTGCGTACCTATCATTGTTGTTATGTCAATGCTCTGCGAACAGAGAGGTGCTCACTGTTTCAAAGATTAGAACCCTTATTCAGCTTCTGCCACCGACCTTCACTCAAACGGACGGGCTGTGTGCACATGACCGGATGTTCCTAACCCGATTGTGGAAGTTTTTATCGAGTCTTCAAAGCGTCAAGTGTTTGTTGATACTAAGCGCTGCCTTTTTGCGCGTGCAGCGATATCTACTTCGTAGGGGGCTTTGGGACGGTCGCTTGGGTCGATGTCAAGGAATACTCCGCAGCGAAACCGGACATCATCGCTGCCTCGAACGTCAGCGAGACGCTCCAGGTAAGCATGGGGGTTTGTACGTAGGGAAGTCGCGAATGAGAACGGAGGAGTTCACAGCACTGCCAGGCGGGAGTTTGGTCAAAGTTCACATCTTAGCATCACGTATTAGCAGACAAGATCTGATCCTATGTTGCGTCAGCAAAGCTACGTCACTCACTGCTTCTGGGGTAAAACGTGCTGGATTGGTTGCACTTCTGCCGTCTGGATAACGGGGCAATATTTCAGTTCCTGTTGCTCTTCGTTCCTGATTTTGCACCACCCCTTTCTGTCCGCCCATGGAACTCTCTCGAGATTTTTGTAGTATCAGCAGAGTCGACATGCAAATGGCTTTTATCAATCACTTTTCGCCTGAGCCTGGACCGTCCTTATCACAGAACAAATGGGTTATTCGTATAAGAGCGTCTTCAACGTCCTTTTGGGCGAAGGACATTGCTGTGCTAAGAACGGTGTCTCCGGTCCTGTAAAACAGAGAAACCAGGTCACCTTCAGAGAGACTTGAGTCTTCAGAATGCGCGGACGCTCCTTCAAAAATTTTACCGCGTTCACGGCCGCAGACCTATCCTGTCTTAGGTGGTGTGTTGGCACGATGCTTTACAAATGGAACAAAGTAATGGCCTTGGTTTCCAGCTTTGAAGCTGATGCTGTTTGTCTTTGCTCTTGCCAGGTGCTGAACAACGAGTTTTCGGACCCCCTGTGCGGGCACCTCGCGGAGGAGCTGGGCCAGGAAGTGGACGACGCGGCGCTCATTTCCATCGACAGCAGGGGCGTCGACGTGCGGGTGCGGCAAGGCGCGCGGGTGAGATGCGCCATTCGATTGTATCCAGTCTTCATCTAAGTTCCTGCTTGTCTTCGCTCAAATATGGCGATCCTTCGAAAAGGTGGGGGGTAAGATGTGCGCACGTGATGGCACCAGCGGCGGCAAGGCGAAAGGTTTTTAACTCATTATGCCTTTTTGATTTTCATTCAAGAGCTGGCTTCTCTTGAAGATCCGCCGTCAGGCGAGAAGGCTGGGGGTAAAAATTTGTCAGTGTCATGGGTGTAGGGGCGTCGACATGCCGGTGCCGCAAGGATCGTGGATGAGATGCTCCTTCCGGTTTGCTTGGTACTAGTCAGCCTCTTCGTTGCTTCTCCTTTCCTGTACTTTGCTCAAGATTCCCGTGGGGTGGAAAGGCCAGGGGTTTCATAACCGCCAGCGTGAGAAGCGGCCTTTGTTCTTTTGCCACGTCGGCCCTCAATTCTGCTCAAAACCCAAAAACTTGTCGGTCTGGAAGTCGCGTGATTTGTTTTGCGTTGGCTTGGGAGGCCCCCGGTCGACGGCGCATTTAACCTGCCAGCGGTTGTAGTTTTGCCAGCCAACTTGCAAATGGACCCTTTGTCACATTGAAGCGGGCTTTGCCTTGCCGCTCGCGGAACCAGCTAGAGCAGACTTCTGTACCTCAAGAGGGTCTGCCCGTTCCTCAAAGGCAAAGCATCCCCTACTTGTAAAGGAGCGAGGACGAAAGGGCACTCACGGCCGAATCAAACTCCAAAATCAACTCCACTTACTTGGAGACAGCGTGCATGGCTTGCATTGATCGTTCGTCACGGTCTACCCGGTCTTTTGGAGCCCAGTGTTCTACGGTAGGATGAGACGCCACCACCTTTCAACAGCGCTCGTCTGATATACGCTGTCTTTTGTTGCAGTTCAACGTTCAACGCCTATCTTTTGAAGAGAATGTGCTTGTCAAGGACGCCGCCGAAGCTCAAAGCGCTCTTTCGAATTTGCTGTCAAGAAAGAGGTGATTCGATTGGCCGCCCTAGATTTGATCAGCGGAGGGAAAGAGTAGATTGGCAGCGAGATTGAGGTTCCTTGCTTCTGGCGACTTGGAAGTGCTAGGAGCGGACGCAAGGAGTTACTTTTGGTGCTTGATGCAGAATCAGATGTACATTAGCAGAAGCCCAAGAGCTGTGCTGCGATGCGGGTCATGCTCCCTGACAAACCCAACAACAGATTCAATACAACGTTTCTTGAATGCTCGATCCGTTCTAGCTAGAAAAGACGCAAAAGCTGCGAGATGATCCGCCTGTTCATGCCATTTTGATGCCTCTAACTCGGCACTTGTGGCATGCTCTATTGCATGCATGATGATTAGAGTGTACGATGTACGTCCGAATCCCGCCGAAACAACTTGCAAGCGGACTCATGCGTTCGCTTTATAGTGTATGTCTTCTTGCTTCAACTGTTGTCCCTGTGCGGACTGGCTGTTCTTCCACATATCGCAATATCCTCGCATCATCACGCGAATCTATATAGTACAGATGATCACCTACCAGAGAGAAAGTGGGGTTGAGGGCCGCTCAGGGCTTGCGGTTCTCGCAACTGCAAACCTTCACTATCTTGATATGCTTCGCACGGAATGGAGTTACAACGGATTCTCCTACAGTAATTCGAGGCGTCATAGGTGACTCCATGGAAGCTGACAAAGCTTGCGTTCGCAGAAGACAGGTGTGATGGATGGAGCAGAGGTCGGATGCGGTAGACCATCGGAACAACCTTCCGAATGGATGCAGACGAAACTTGAAAAGGGTGTAAAGGCATAGTGGACGGTAGTGCTCAGGAGTAGCGCACGAAAGATTATTTGCCAAGCTCTTTGACTGAGCCCGGCGCAGACGAGATATTAAGCATGCATCAAGTTGAACGGGCCAGGCTACTTATGTTGGCTAAAGCTCTGGCGCTGTGCCATGTGTGCGCCGCATGTTGACCATGACTGCCCGCTAAGGAGTGTCACTAGCTCACGTTGTACTATATCGATTCGTGCCCGTGAAAGAAATGCAGAATAACCGGCCCTGGACATCGTGATTGAGTGAGGTGCAGATGCAATTGCCGGCCATCGAAAAGTCCAACCTGCCCGTCCTACGCGCATTGCACAAAGTCACCTATGTGCATTGCTTTGAAATGCTATTCTGTGCATATCGTGCACCTAATTCGAAACGCTTAAAGTGCAGCTCGTGAGTCCTCTGTAACAGAAACAAACAAGTGTAGCTAGCTAGCCGGCGTGCATCATGATGGCCCGGCCATGTGTTGTCTCGAGCGATGCACCCTTCAGGGCGTTCAACAGAGGCCGCCTGCACATTGATGCGCCATGCGCATGCGGCAGAATGTGTATGCATCCAAAAAGCAGATGGGGGTGCACTTAATCTGGGTTCTTAGTTGCATCCCATTACAGGGAAGCACAGCTAGTGTTCCACGACAGTGTGAATAAGCTTGCGACCGTTTCAACATGTAAGCACTACACCTCCGCTCGCCCCGGGCCTTCGACCTTACCAAAATCTTCAAAGTCGCTACTTATCTCTTGGACTCTACCTTGCCCCAGCTTCTATTCAGTCAAAGAACAGGACCGACTTCATTGAATCCTTAGCCGCTCGACGCTGTCGTTAGTCTGTCGTCTATACGCCCTTTGGACATCTAGATTATAGAGCATAGACACCTCGACGATACCCTTGCCGAGTCTGCCCATCTAGATTGCTAAGAAGTCGGTCACAAACTCATACCTGTCGGCTCGCAACATGATGGCTCTCCAGGTCCCCTCATCGACCCACTCCCTTGGGAGCCAAATCTCCGCACTGCTCACGAAATCCTCGTCTGGCTTGCTCACGGTGAAGCTCGAGAACAAGTGGACCCTACCACGCCACTTCGTTAGCAGCCTTCGAAGCGCGCCGCCTGAGATTCCCGCTTCGTCTATCAACCCATCCATTTCCTCGGGCGCAATCACCAGGAGCGCGAGCTGCGGGTTCCCCAAGAATGGGCTGTCTCTTACAGCCCAGGAAAGGAAAGGCACGTGCAGGGTCTGGCGCGTCAGAGAACGGACTGGGAGCAGGGCCGGGGACGCTGGGAAGAAGGGCAGGGCTGGGAGGTACAGGGATGTGACGACCACAAGCTCGGCGTGCCAAAGCTCAGTCGTCATCAGGAGGAGGCGTTCTAGGCGCTCGGCGACCCAGTGCGGGAGAACGCCGCGCGTCTCCACCAGGTGCGCGAGCAGGTTCAGGAACGTGGCCACCGTGGGGCCCCTCGGTTCGAGCGCCGAGCAGCCCCCCCGGCGAGGCTCTTCGGACACCGGGGGGAGCGCGATGTGCGCGAGCGTTTGGCCGAGCCACTCCGACAACCTGGCACTCTCCGAGAGCCTGCCCTCGGTGGGCAGCAGGTACGTGGGCTCCGAGAACCTATCCGCTGACGTCACCACGTCGTAACCGATGACGTTGGAGACCTCCTCGCGCGACAGGAGCAGCTCCCTTTGCAGATAATAGTCGAGGTCGAAGGCGCGCGTCGGGCTGCCGCTCTTGAGGTAAAGTCCCGGGTTGAGCAAGACCCTCATCTTCATTGCCGAGTGCGGACACCCCTGCCTCAGCTTGGACCCCACGGACGTCAGCAGATTGAGCGGGCCGACGTAGTCGATGATGTTGGTGGTGTGAATGCGGTCAAAGGGGAGTTCGCCGTCCCGCGCGCGCGTGCGCGCGTCATCGCAGATAATGCCGGGCAGCACGCGGACGCGGACGTCCGCGCCGCGGCTCGTGAGCCGCGCGAGCGCCTGTGACCAGACGTAGAACTGGAGGCACGTCGTGCCGACGACGCCACCGAGCGCCACCGAGCGCCACCAGAAGGTCCGTCAAAGTCGGCACGACCAGGAAGACGCCGTCCTGATGGATGAACGCATCGGGGGCGAAAGTCCAGGGGTGGTCGTTCGGCTTCTTGGCCACAAACCCGCCGTCGGGAGTGATCTAGAAGGAAATGATATCAGGGGTCCGATTCGCTTGCCGTTCTGGTGCAATGGCCAGAAAGGCAGCTCAGCAAAACAACAGCAGAGCAAGGAAGCGGGGTCCGTTATCTGTTGCTCAAGGACAGGCTTGCGTTGAGGACCATGCTGAGAGGCAGAACTCCAGCGGAAGACGTAAAGCATTGCGATCAGAGACAATTACGTTCCCATTTCGAACCTAAGAACGACAACTTTTACTTGTGAAAGGACTGAATTTCAGCCGCAAAGAACTCAATTCCAACAACGAGGTGACTCACCTCATGGAGCATGGTCGGGTTGACGGCCATGCCCTCCAGCCCCGTCCTGCCTGCCATGACGTCAGCATACGACGCCGTCAGCCCCGTCCTTCGCCAGCTGTCCATCTCAACCTTCGCGGCCTCTGTCACGCTATTCATCATTGGAAACATCATCCTGGGTGCGTCGCTCTTCAAGGCGCGCACCATGTGCCGCAGCTTCGCCCCCTCAAACCCCTCCGGTCCGGCCGACTCCCCCTTGGTCCGCCCGAAGTCAAACCAGGCGCGCCAAATGGGCCGCAACGCGGCTAAGTCCTCCTCAGAGCAGAACTCGATCCAACGAAGCCGCGGGTCGCTCTGCCACGTGGCCAGCGAGGTGGAGGCCTCGAGGAGGGACGCCAGCGTGGCAGCCAACGCGTCGGACTCTGCGGACGTCAGGTTGCAGCTGAGCCACACCTTGTAGAGCAGCTCGCCGGACAGGACGTCTTGTTCTGTGGAGTGGGTGCCCTGGATAAAGCTCTCGGTGAAATCCTGTGGAACGGAGTAGAGGTCTTTCGATGGACATCGCGTCTTGCCGCTGTTTCCAAAAGCTGTAATTCAGGCTGCCACTCCTGGACGTGTTGATTAGTGACCTTTGTACCAACAACAATTCCTTTCCTCTGCAACGAAATCGTCTATCAAGAATCATGTTCCGATACCAAAAACGTTAAGGGTGGTGCTGTGTAAGATGAGGTGGGCTGGCTTTCAGGATTCAAAGTTCCTTTTCAGACGAAGATGCAAACGTGAAGGAGCTCACAAACGGCGATTTCAAACCGCTCTTAGAGTTGACTTTTGGAGACGGTGCGCTCCTCGGAAACCCCTTGCTGCCGGCAAGTACTGGTCTCGAGCGACTGATAGTCGGTAGAGTGCAGGGTAACAGAGAGACTTCTCTCCCGAAACAACGAAGGCCTTATTCATTCTGTCAATTTGACCGGCTCTCTCATTCCTCGCCGGAGAAGCTGGTACGAAGCCTATACGGAAGTGAAATAGCAACTCGACTTGGTGATATGAGTCGGTGTGAAAGACTAACCGATTCGTCCCGCCCAGGATGCGTCCCCTCCCACTCTCCCGTGTACTTCGCCATGAGCTCGTCCGCTACTTCCTCCATATCGCGCCCTTGCATCGACTGGAAGCCATGCAGCATGGCCTCACAGAACTGGACCTGCGCCCGCAGCTTCTCCAGCACTGCGCCCCCGTCCTGCGAGCACCCCTCGCGCGCGCCCACGCCCCTCAGGAGCACCAGCAGCAGCACGTTGCGCGCGAGGACGCGGAGGTCGAGGTCGTTCATGGTGCACTCCAGAGACACGCCCGCCCACATCGCGTCCTCCTCTTTGCCGTCGCTTTTGTGAGCCTCGTCTGACGCTCTCTTAATCTGTGGGCGAGCAGAAGACAGGAGCGACTCCAGCTCGTTGAAGCTCTGCATGACGTGGCGGGGGTCTCCGCAGGCGCCAAACAGCAGACGCAGGCTCAGCTTCTCTCCCTCGGCCAGCTTCGGAACGGCCATGGGCTGGAGCGCTCCTACTTGAATCAGCCCGTCCGGATCGTCGTGCCCCACTGGGAAGTACCCAAAGTCTGACGTCAGTGATGGGCGGGTGTTGGGCAGGCCTTCAAAGGTGCTAATTGGACGCTCCTCATGCGTACCGGACCCCAGCCCCAGAGTTTCAAGCAACCGACAGGTCTCAAGGCCAACGCTGCGACCTCCCTCACCGCGCGCCTCCACCTCCTCCAGGCTCTCGCAGAAGCTCTTGCACACACCCCAGTCCTTCCTCTGCAGGGCCGCGCGCCGCGCGTGGTTCAGCACCTTCTCTTGCAGCTGGAGCGCCCTGGTGACGTCAGCAGCACTGACGTCATCATACAGCCCCCCAACCCGACGCTCATTCAGCAGTGCGAGGGCGGCTGCATCGTCTGCCAGACTGGCGGCATAGTCTCCCGCCTGAAAGTGCGCAGCTGCTCTGTTTGAGAGGAAGACGGGCTCGTCGGGGAGCAGGTTGTGCGCTGCTGTATACAAGCGGATCGCCTGAGAGAAGAGCTTGCTTGCGTAGGCCCGGTTGCCCTAAGACTTGAGCCTTTCCGCTTCAGCCACTACTTCGTGAGCGTTCTCCATCTTTCCCTGCTCAGCCATTTCGCTGCTCGTCACGGAAAGGAGACTACGGGCCTCTCGCAATTCCGCGGGGGAGCCAGGCAAAGACAGCTTGTCTCAAGCTCGACTTAAACTCTGAACCAAATCTCACTGCTCACTGGCGGAAGCCCGTGGTTCTTCTGATGTTTACTAGACAGCTCAGGCTGCTGGCTGACCTTTTGCGATCCGTTGTTATCCGAGGACCTACGGTACAATGTTCGAAATGAACCAAGTCAAACAGGAACGAAGTGAAACAAGTCAAACAAAAACGAAAGCTGAAGCCTCAAGGATGCACCGCAAGCTCTCTCGACCGTGACAGCCCCCACGTGCGTCATATCCCTGCAAAAGCGGGAAGCTCTGCTCCTAGGAGACGTCGCAGAACCGTCAGATCACACCAAGGGGCCTGCGGCCGCACGATAAGCTCAACTCTGAACGGGGGAGGTTGCAGAAGCCTGTTTCAGTGCTATCTGTAACCCGCAGATTTTGCGGAGGTAGGCCGATCGGACGGCGGGGATTTGCAGAAAGTCACTGCCAGCGGGCAGCGGATCGCGGGACTCGTGGACGGGACGACGGTGACAGTAACGTAACCCAGGGACCGCCTGGACTCAGCGCTCGCCGCAAACCCTGCAAGTTCGCCTCCGTCGCGGCCGGCCATGCGATCGACCGATGTGATCAGGAACTACCGTACAGGCTGAGTGCAATCATGCAACTTGAAGGGGGCGGCTCCCTCCTGCTCCTACTACCGTATACCGTAGGCTAAAGTCTAAATAAGACAGTCCGCGATCGTTCTAGTCGGTGATGTTCTCTTTTCAAAACGCCGTAGCCACATGGGCCATAGGCTTCCATAGCATACATGCGAATCAACTTGAATGTTTGAGTTCTGAACGCCTAGCTACTCTACCGAATCATCGTGTGCTACATTAGTCTAAAGTGACTAGGAGCTCGAATTGTATGAGTTCAAGTCCGGACTTTTGCAATCAATTTACGGTGCAAGGACGCGCGAAAAGTTGCTGCTACCCGGTACTTGTACCGGGCACTTTTTAGCCTTCCCTATTCTCTTACGGTCATCAAGGTGGGTCTTGGGAGGCGAACCCCGAGCTCCTGAAAGCCATTCTTTCCAGAGGGTCGGACCCCCCCGCAAGACCCATTACACCGGCTGCTGACCACACGCTATCCGATTCAATGTTCTGTCTTGTACCAAAATTTGAACCGACTGTGAAGATTAAATCCCGACCAAGGTTTGACTGGCCCCACTACTCCGGCCACGTTCCAACGTGTGCCGGGGCTAGGCCAGGGCTGCTTGTGTGCCTCCATAAGGATGGCGAAGGACACACACCTTCGCTAGCAGCTATATGTAGCAGCTCTTTGCAGATTTGAAGGTGGACATCTCCTACATGAAGAATCTCGTCAGTGACTTGTTTCAGAAGCTATTTGAGACTTTAGAGCTCCATTCCATCTCCAGTGAACAGGTCAAGGCGCCCGGCAAGCAGGCCCAGCTGAAGGAGATTCTGACCGCGTTCAATCTAGGAGTGCATGGGCGCGCGCTCCTTTGCCGCTCAGCATCAAGTGCAACGGGGAGTCCAATCCCTGAACTCTAATCCCAAGCGAGGCTTCGGCTGCGGTTCCCTGGTCGCGGCGGAGGCAAGGGCAGCATGCGGCGGGATAAGGATCTGGACGAAAGGGGATGCAGTTGGCGTGTCATTTGAATGTGGTCCGTGACGAGAGGCATGGAGAACTCTGTCACGGTCTCCTACGAGATTCATCACTCTGCAACAATCCTACGGAATCAAAGATGTATTAAGCACGACACTGCCTTTAGGGTAGTTTGCAAACAGCGGGCGGAGCGATTTTTGAAGATTTGGTTTGCCTCGTCGTAACATTTTAAAGCCAGCTGTCAACAGGAAAAGGAAAGGAGTGACTCAACGACTAATGCAATGTGAACGACCTTCTAGCCCATGCTGAAATTCCCAACGAACGCAGCAATACCGCCCGTGCAGACGTTCCCACTAAGAATAGACTAGAACATTCTGTAGTCCGATATAGAGCTATTATACTACATTCAGAACGGGACAGCTATTCTAGATCGAAGGCTGCACGATGCTACAGTCGTGGCTCACCGGCAGACCAAGTGAAAGGCGCCGCTTATTCCCGTGAGTGCATAGGTAGAAGCAACTCCAGCCGGCATCTGTAGATACACAAACAACTAAAGTAAGTCTCAGGCATGCAAGTTGGATCCGATAGAGCAACCTGAGAATAGGATTCAAGATTCTGGTCAGAAGTGGATGCGAATGCATTCACAAGAGGGTCGAATGCCTGCACATAAGGACGCTCCACTGTCAGGTACTGACTGGATCCGAGCACTTTCAATGCAGCAGACACGTCAGGGGGTATTGTAGACTCGTAAAGGGTAAGGCCAAGTCAATTTCCCGCGATCAAGGCAGACAGATTGACCGATTCCCACCTGCAGTGACGATTCTGCGCCGCCGCTAGTTAGGCCGCCTGCATCTCCTCAGACATGATGCCGACGATCTCGTCCAGCCTGCACAGTGCGAGAGCCCGTTCCTCCTTCAACGAACAGAAACCTACATAGCTCACGCTTCAAACGTGCAGATTATCCATGTGCAAGACTGCCCGACTGCCATATGATTGCAGAATAAGAGAGACCGACATTCTCATCAGCGCATTTATTTTCAAAGGTCGAGGCGTTGCGATCAGCCGATGCCCGGACAATGATCGGGCTAAATCCCCTTTGCCATACTGTGGAAAAAGGACAGTTTTGCGCGTGATGGATCACCTTGATTTGTCGAGCAGGGCCTCCCCAAGCCATGCCGTTAGGTACACCTGGCAAGAAGAGCGAGGAGTGTTTTTTGACGCGTTGACCCTTTTTGGCGGGATTATTCGCCCCGTTCGACGGTACCTTCCCTGCAGAATGCATACCACAATGATTCAAATTGCACTGGTCCAAGAAACGAAGGTCCACCTATAGAAACTCTAATGCCTTCGGTCTCAGCTTGATGCCAGCCTTCTAGGCGAGTGAAGGCTGCCGTTAGGTGCGGAGCAAACAGACGGCATGTCGCTTCGCTCTTTACGATAGCGACCACGTCTCCCGCGACCAAAGCCGTTACAGTTCTTCACGGCGACCCAACTGAGGCGGGATAAGTGCCGCTTTATCCTCTCTTCCTTTAGTGCATACGAGAGAGGTTCGCTATCATGTGTACAATGTCAGTTTGCTAAGACATACGAAAAATAGTCATAATGTTGTACCTCCCAAAAGAAGGTACCGAAACGAGACAGCACTTCATTGGAGAAGGGGGTTGCGAGGAGGGACGGATGAGCGACCTGATAATCCACGAAGAAACTGCTGGCTGGAGGACCTAACGAAGCACCCCCTGCTGACTGCTTTCGAAACCGCAGGTTTGTTGCGCCCACCGCTTTCAAGGACTCCTTGCAGATCCTTCTCAGAGCCGTTCTACTCAAAACTTCACGCCTCTGCACAAGAGCTTAGGAAAGATTGGCCCCAGAAGGAGGAACTTGGACGGCGGGAAGATTAGTGATTCAACAACAGCGACCGCTTAACCTACCTGGAGCGTAGTCTCCGAGACGGCTCGTCCACTTGCTCGAGCTACGCCGGCGGAGTCTTCATCGCTGGACGATTCCGGGGTTCCATGAACCAGGGCCTGGAATTCCGACGTCAACAAGAACTGCGCAGTTTGTTCAAATGCAACCGGTCAGAACGTCCATGAACTGTCAGATGTTGCTTGATGTGAGGCACTTGCGAATGCTAGGTGCGGCCAGGGCCGCCGTCTATGCTCGTGCTTTCGGTGGTGCTTTTTGAGCTCGTACTTAAAAAGATCCTTCGAAGAGACAACAAAGTGTGTCGTTTGCTCCGCAGTGACTCTAGCTACATCTGGTGACGCTTTGAAAACCGCTTCATTGGCTCGTGCCACGTTCCTCTTCCTTCGAACTCTGGGATCCGTCGGACGAGAATCTCAAATATTAGGCCCTCCTATGTAGAGCAAGCCGAAGTCTGCCTTCTCTGATTGCTGCTCACTCTATGCTCCAGATTTGACGCGGGCTATTGAAGTCTTCTTTAAGAATTGTTTGCTGGACGAAATATCGACGGCAGTGAATCTTATTCAAACTTGGCTCCCAATACGCGTGGTCATTGTCAGATCGAGTCAGTCTTCGGTCGGAAGTTCGCTTATGAACTTGAACAATCATTACAACTGAGAACATGAGGCGGAGATCTGTCAAAATTTTCTGACCCCTTGACCAGCTCAACAATCATGAGTGGGCATCGCAGGACTGCACACCAGAGGACAGTGTGCAAATGAAAGTCTCAAAGCAGACTTGTTTTCGAGGCCTCATCCGCACACGGTTTCAAGAAGCCAAATCCAGCAGCTGATCGTAGCGGATTGCAGGGTGCTTACCTTAACGTGCAGCTCCTGCTTATAGAACTCCACCATCTCCATTGCCAGCGATTCTGCAGCAAGATGACGGGCTTCAGGATGACGAGCGGAACATCAAAAAGAGAGGCTAGTATTCAAGACGCCGAGCGGCAATGGGGTTTTGACATCCAACATATCTAGAAATGAAAGTTCGTAAATTATGACCGTAGAACTCTCTCGAGGGGGACGTAGGGAGATAAACGGATAGACGACTCCTCTGCACCTTTCTGTTGATACAAGATGAGAAAGAAAAAAAACGCTCGATTCTGTCAAACTAACGGACACGTGGATCGGTTTTGAGGAGGTAAAGGCGGAACGACAGTAGGCCTCGGCAAAGCCATAGGGACCAGTGGAGCCCCGCCTTGACACACATCATCGAGCGACAGAATGATTCTTCCGCCATTCGGTGCCCCAGACCTGCCAGGCCCGTCAGATATTTAAGACGAGCTTTCTACCCTGTCATGTTCGCAAGGGCACAGAAATAGCTTGGTGAAAACCTGATCGAACCTTGTGTGCATCCGATAAGCAGGGAAGCGTTTGAGCAAGACCCGTTCTAAAGGACGCACCGTACCTAGAGTTTTTAGCGATAAGCAGGCGTAAACCGGAACCCCTTGGCCTAACCCGTTGTCCCCTGCAGCTTCCGCCAGCTTGCTCTCTTCCGCATTTGCCACCCGCACAATTGGACTCCCATTAGGAGCTACCAAGTAGGTGCGCATCGAGCTCGCAGCTTCCTCCATCTGTGACAGCGTTCTGACCTGCAGATAAACAGGAATAACAGATATTGGCAGTCATAGATAGTGAAATGGATCCTGTTTGGGGCCCTTTCTTGAGGCGAGCATGGGAATGTCTTGGTGAGAAGCTGTTTCACTCGAACATGTCTTGCAGCCAGAGTTCCTCAATGTATTCAATATCAAAGCAGCCAATCCAAAGGTTGATAAAATCTGGCTTTAACCACTCCTCTGTTTGTATCCCCAAAGTCGCGGCCCCTGGTTTGTCACTCAACAGCCTTTCCTTGCGGCCCCAAGGACGACCTAAAACAGACAGGAAGAGCATTCCCTCTAGGTGGCAAGACGGTGTCCATCTTTTGAAAGGCCCTGCCTGAGAAGGAACACACTACTTCGTCCTTGATTCAAACAACAGTGGGCCTGTAAGTAATGTCCACGTCTGAAATTCACTTTTGACAGGACAAGGCACTCAAAAAGGCCCTACTTACCAGCTCCTCATAAGCTTCCACAACATTCGCGAGATGTTTCTCCTGCAGTCAGAAAAATTACGCGAAATGGGGGCCACATTAGGATACTTGAACAAAAGGTTCAAACCAGAATGCAAGGGGAGATCAGTTGTGCATGAAAGGCAGTAGAGTTGCAAGCGGGACAAGTCTTAAAGGGGACTCAGTGGCCAACCATTTTGATGCACATTCCCTTAGAAGGAGAAAAAGGGAGCGCGTTCAAATCTGCAGTGGCCCCTTCAAACCATGTTAGAGAGTGGTGTGACTTGCACAGATTGGAGCTTTCTCCCGTAAGAAACTTCTCACGTGGAAGGAACCTGAGCAAAGGCATGTAAATCTAAGACAGCAAGTGCCTGTGAACGTCTTGGAAGCTTCCAAGCATGGTTGTGGAGGTGGTGAAAGGGCCTCTTCTTTCTAGTTCTTCGCAGCATGCTGTGGCTGTAACTCCTCACTTAGGACACGAGATTAGTCTCAAGTTTGATTCTTTCACAGGCAATGAATATCTGAAAGACCAAGTCTTTTGCCCCACCTGTCGCTGCCTCAATTTCATCTTTGCTGAGTCCTTGATGCCCTTCAGGTCAGCCAGAATGCCAATATCCATGCCACCGATGAACCTGCAGGAAAGAAAAACAACCAGTTAGGATCTTTCAGTAAGCAGTTTTGCAAATTGACTTAGAAAGGTTGTACAGACACCCTTCTCATTCACATCCGGAGTGACAGCACAACGAGCCCCTCAACTTTCTGTCGCCGGAACTTAGGTGTCTCAGTATCTGTTCCCAAGCGTGAAACGCTGCTAAACGGTGGCCGGTGACAACGTCTTTGACCGCCCCAGTGATACGCCCACTTTAAGTAGCATACATAGCTCCAAACTTTTCAACTGACCTCTTTGAACCACCCATCACATGAGCGCAAAACTGCTGCATTGACCAGTTCTTTTCTCTGTAAACTCGGAAGTAGCCAGAAAGAATCGGAAAATGCAAGCACTGCATTCTGAAGCCAACAGAGCTGCCTGGTGTTGGAGCAAACCTTGAGATCCGTTCTGAACCTTCCTCAATTCAATGCTGTACCTCCTTGCTTCCATCTCCGCTGAATCTACTTAGCAGGCCCGTATCCTAGATTGTTAGATTCACGTGAGCAAGGACTCCGGTGGTTCGTCCGCCTGTTTTACTGCCCGTTTGCTGGCCTACATGCTTCATTCTCACTTTACACAAATTTACCACCACCATAGCTCCCAACAACATACGGCAGAAATGATCCTTACACTCACCCTTTTGTGATGTGAGCATTCACTAGAGCTGTGGCCGCTGCAAGCCCCCGAGAAGAGGCCTTGGCCCAATCAGCGCGAGCGCTGGCGATGGACGAAAACGCCGTCCGCACTCGCCTTTGGGCTGCGGGCCTCCACAGCCGCCCGAGTCCTGCTGGGTCCATCCTTGAGTGGATGCCGTGATGCTGATCAGTAATTAAAATCGCGCCATGAAAATCCAAAACTCCCACAAAGTGCTGCCAGCTCCAGCTGAAGCCACTAAGGTGCTGGCAGATGGAGGTTTGCACTTGTCCACCACATCGTGAATATTGAGTCTCATGTGCGCTAGCAATTTTGAAATCAGACGTCAGCATCACATCACCGGTACCTACAGGCTACGGTATTTGCAATCTGACGTAACCACTGAAAGTTAGTAGTAACCGTACAGATTGGAGCAGCGGTTAAAATAGACGGGGCGTTCGCATCATTCATTCGCAGCATTCGGAGTCCGGACTGTAGGGTTGGTTGGGGGTTTAGAGGTGGGTTTCGCCAGGGCTACTGAACTATAGGGGCTACTTACTTAGAACCCGGTACCTACCGGGTACATTTCTATTTTGACCCGCTGAACGGAAAGTGCGCGCGCCAGCAAAGGTTGATTCAGTTGGGCGGCAGTCATGTTTCCGACATACCGTGTGCCTCACGGAAAGAGAATGCTGGCATAAGTACCTACTCGTATTATGTAAGAATGGGCATCGACATTGGAACGCAGGGCTGGCCAAGTTCTGTTGTGACCTTGTCTTCTTGATCTCTGGACCTTCGACTCCTTAGCCAGCCTTTACTTACAAATTTTGTGTCTAGATAGACTTCAGCAGAGTCCTGAACTGCACGTCAAGCTACAGTAGTTCAATTGGCTGACTCAGCCTGCCGGAAGCACCATCACGTGCACGTGCCCGAGTCTGCATTATAAAAGTGCTGGATCACATGCAGCACAGAAGAGCACCGGCCGGCGTGGCTCCACTTTATGCGATGAGGTGGGGATGAGGTCGCATCTGCGCTACGGAGATCTTTGCACAGGACTGGCACAGGACTCAGGACACAGGACACAGAATATGTTGGGATCGCAGCTTCGGGAAGGGCAATTTATCGCAGCAAGTTGAGAATGTAGTACTGCAGATGTCTGACTCAGCGGGCAATGCCAAGAGTCGATTGGCTTGATGCATCAACAATGGGGAGATCCAATGTAACTGCAGAGCAACCAGCTGGGAGATGAACCCTGCATCTATGGATGTAATTACGCCTGGCAATCAGATGGCGTCCCCTCTCAGAGTCCTGCACACGGGGGGCTCGGAAGGGGACGCCCTGGAGGACTCTGGCAGCCCCATGCAGAAGTTCTCCGGGTTTGCTGCGCCAACATTTGCCAGCCTGCAGAGAACCAACTCATCACCAAAAAAGCAGCTGTCCAGATCTTCCAGTTTGAACAGGGCCAATCCGGTTGACGACGTTGCAGACTTGCCAAGCACTGAGCTTCCTCCTGCAGTCCTCAAGATGGAGGGTTGGGAGACTGATGCGTTGGAAGACTCAGGGAGCCCCCTGAGAAAGGACGGCTATGCGGCGCCTACTTTCTCAAGCTTTAAGCGGAGGTTGCAGGAGGGGTCGGAGAAGCCTGCAAATAAGAATCCGGAGATTACGAGGCCGGAGGATCTGCTTACAGTGCAGCAGGTATGGATCTGCGCTGTTCATTAATTATGACGCAAATTGGAGATCAGAAAACGCATCTTCAATGCAGAGCCGTTTCATTGTCCATCATAAAACTAAATACCTTGCACTCAGTGTTGCATTCTCGTCGGAAGCATTCGGAGTGCCTGTCTAAGGGTTTCTTGTCCAGCTCTCTAGTCTGGACAAATAAATAGGAAAGAAGTTTGCTATGTAAGGTTTATAACCTGCTACGCTCTTTGAAAAACTCGGTGCTTGTGTGCCTGGTTCGATCAGCTGAATCTGAATATGAAGGAGACAGCCCTGACAAGAAAATGCATCCGATGCCTAAAGTTACTTTGATACAAGAGTCAGAAAAATGCTTTGAAAGACTATAGCAAGACAGGATCTGTTTTTTGCTAACTTTTAAAGCTCAGACAACATAGATGGCAGCAAGTTACTGAAACGACTGCTGGTTAGAGTCGGTCGACTTCTGCAACATACATCACATGGCATCCAGAGTGCTTTCGTTCTCCCAAGAACACCCTAGCAAGGCTATCAAAGAGTAACGGGCTGAGTGCGCGAGGGATCAGAAAATTGTTTCTGACGGTACCTCTGCTGAACGAGGTCGTGAGTCTTGTCGACCATGTCCGTACAGGATTATAAAAGTGCTCTCCGGACCATAAAAGCTTGCTGATTAAAAGGACGGCGTGTCGAGAGACATATAAACATGTTAATTGACCGATTTGAGAAGCTACTTAACCTCTCTCTCCACTGACGACCTAGACAGCAACGTTTTGCTCAAACATTCCAAGTGATGGCATATATCATACCAACAAAATTCCACAGCCCTTGCTGCAGGCTCTCACCATGGCGCTGCCCCAGTCCGCCCGGCGCACCCCCCGCCCCACCTCTAGTTCCTCCGACTGGTCCTCGCGCCGCAGCTCCAGCTTCGGCTCCAGCCAAACTTCTGCCGGGGACCACCTGACTCCCCGGTTGCTCGCCCGATCCCTGTCTCTGAAGGCCCGGGAGCTTGCTAACCAACCGGGGGAATCCACTGGGGGGCCATCGAAGACTGGCAGCCGCCGGCAGAGCAGCTTCAGCAGGGCGCTGACTGCGGAAGAGGAGTCTGTCGTTTCGGGGGGGTCCGCCTCCAGTGAGGAGGTGGGGGGGAGGGGGAAGTCGGACAGCCTGGAGCGCGTGTCGGAGGGGGACGAAAGCGAGAAGCGGAGCCGGCTCAACACACCCCAAGAGTTGCCTAAATCCAACCGCAGCAACTTTTCAGAGGGGAGCCGAAATGGGGGGGTGGCGTTGGGGCAGCGGGAGACAGACTTCGGTTCCCCCCCTGAGCAGCGATATTCTACGGACAGGTCTTCAGATGGAGAAGTGGTTATTGGTGACTCTGAGAGCAGCTTGCGGAACTCCCTTGAGGGGGACGTTGAGCTGAGAGCCTTTGCCGAGAGTGTGAACGCGGTCGTACCGGGGACTCAAGGAGCAATGTCGCCAGTCGGCATCGTGTCCCGTGTGGTCGATGTGGAACCAATTCCCACCACTGTTGCTGTCGCAACACCCGCTCTGGCTCACAATGCTGAGGAATTGGAGCAGGAGAAGGAAGCTGAAATGGCGGAAGGGGCTGCTGACGTCAACAAGGGCGCCAAGGAAGGTGACGTTGCGGTGACCGGTGGTGACGGGGAAGAACGGAGCTCTCAAGAAGGTAGCCTGAGGGAGGACATTGACGAGGAGCAACGCGGCCAGGAAGAGGGGATTCCGGAAAGCGCAGCCGGTCAGGTGATTGAAGGAATCGCGCAAGCGACGCTGAGTGTGGGCCCTACTAGCGAAAACGGTAAGGAGTTTGAGACTGAGATGAGTGCATTTGCAGTGGATTCTCGGTCCACTTCGGATAGCGCCATGGGCCGGCAATATGACGTGCTCGGCTCTGAAGAGCAGAGCATCTCAAAGGGCGAGGAAGGTGCGTGCGGTCTGCCAAGCGAGGCGGGCAGGCTCGTTGCGGTTGAGGAGGACGGAGCGCAGGCGAAGCAGCTGGAGGAGGTTGCAAGTGGGGAAAATGAAATAGAAACGGAGGCAGACCAAAGCGTTGTCGAGGAGGGGAGCGAAGACGCAGCGACGAAGATGCTTGAGGGCTTGGTTGAGAAACGGCCAAGTGAGCAGTTGGACAAACAGGAGAATGCAGATCTAGGGGAGGTTGGGACCCTGGAAGAAGGTGAAGCGAGCGGGGAGGCAGTCGCGTTGGGAACGGAGAAAGCTCAAGAGCTGGGTGGCAAACCCAGCCTGGAGCACGGCATCAGGAAGGAGGGTGAGAAAGGACCTGACGGGTGGGGTATGGAACAAGGCATCACTGCGGGACTGGAAAAAGAGAAAGCCCAAGAAAGGGAACAAGGGTTGGAGGATGTCGTGCGTCAGGATGACGTGATTGGGGACGAGCAAAGTGCGAGCCGCCCCGACATCCCTGAGCAGCCGTTGGTGGAAGAGGACAACACGGACCTGAGTCTCAGATCCGAGTTGCGGGAGGTCGAAGAAAGGGAAGAGCCTGCGGTGATGAACGAGACAGGTGAAACGGAGTTGCTGCTAGGCAAGGATGCGCTGACCGGAGCGGGGTTGGCCAGCGAATCTGGGAACGCGAGCGCAGCGGCAATGAAAGGTAGTGTTGAGGTAACCGGAAGCAGTGGGACGAACGATGATGCAAACACGGTCATGTTATCTGCGGAGACCAAACCTGCGGAACAAGCCCAGCTTGAGACGAAAGCTGAGGAAAACGGGCAGATTGTGCAAGATGGCATTACCCCAACGGCTGCGGCAACACGATCAGCGGGAGAAGGGAGAGGCGAATGGAGTGCAGCTGCCGGGGTGAACGAAGAATTGAGGCCATTGGCTCCGGTCCAAAGACGCGACTCGTGCGGAGAGGCGGACGGCAGCAATGACGCGGCACGAACAGTGAACGAGGCTTCACTGGGTTTTGTCAGAGCCGCCAATCCTGGGATCTCGGAAAGGTCGGTGCGAGCGGCGGCGCCACAGAACGCTGAGAAAGTCGGCGTACTAGACAGTAGCACCACAAACCCGGCGGCAGCTTTGCTGAACAAGCAAGACAGAGGCGAGCCCACGGCAGTGCGACCGGGGCCGGGCGAGGAATCATTGGTCAGAAAGAACCCAAAGAAGGTGACCGGGAAGAAGAACCGGGAGGTGACGGCTGGCGATGGAGAAAGGGTGGTTAGTAAAGAGCCGGATGCGGACGTGCAGGGTCCCAAGCAAGTACCGGCTCCCGGCGAAGGTTTTGAAGCCTCTCAGCGAGTGGTCGGAAAAGAGGATGCTTCGCTGGAACGAGGCGGGGAGACGGGTCGGGAGAGGGCTGTCCGGGAGACGTCCGCGGGTTCCGCGCATCAGGGCGGCGGAAAGCTGTGCGCGGACGAGGATGCAGCGGAATCCGGAGCTGGGGCGGAGGCTGTGCAAGCTGAGGAGAGTACTGGGACTGGTAATACGGCCTCAGGAAAAGCAAAGGCGAGAAAAATAAAAAAGGGCCGCAAGACACACCGGCAGGCGGGGGCGGTTGCGCAGTTGGAAGAGGCAACTGTCTCGACGGCTGAACCTGTAGCGGAGGAAGAGACGGAAGAGAAAGCGTCACTAGCTCTTGGGAACCAGCCGACTGACGGTGTGGCGGATTTGCGGCCAAAGAAAGGATCAGGCGGGCTTAGCGTCGGCGCGGAGTCATCGAATGTTGAGAAAGCGGCTCCAGAGGGCGGGGCTGAGACTCCGAAGAAGGATAAGAAGAAGAAAGGCAAGAAACACCGGGAACGGAGCGAGGCGGAAGGGTCGAACGCTGAGTCTGTGCCAGACGAGAGAGCGCCCGCGGAATCCGCTGGTCAGGAGAGCGGATCCGCCGGATCGCCGTGTGCTGAGGAAGAGAAGGTGGACGATGCGACAGCGAAGGGAGAAGGAGATGCGACTGTAGCGAAGGACGCGAGTGAGTTTCCCAGAAAGCCCAGGAAAAAGAATGGCAAAAAGATCCGGACGACTGGCGAGGAAGAAGGGCTGGAAGAGGATCAGAAGCACTTTGAAACAACGGCTGAGGGCGAGCCTGAGGTCGGTCAAAAAGAGATGGTACACTTTGGGACTGCTGATATGGCGACCGGGACATTGTTCGCGCGCGAAGAAAGTGGGTTGTCAGGCTCTGAGTCCGTCGGGAAAGAGGGGAAGAGAAAGAAGAGCGGCAAAAGCGGAAAGAAGAAACGAAAGTCGAAGGAAGGAGGCCGAGAGATGAGTGGAAAGGTTGGTGAAAGTGGCGGCGAAAGTGCGCCTTTGAGCGGTTCAGAGGGGAGGGAAAAGGGTAAAGAAGAAGCAGACGGGCAAAGTAAAGAGTGCGGATCTTTGGGTGAAGCAAAGGGAACGGGCAGCTATTCGGAAGAGAACAAAGTGATTCGGAACGTCAGTCAAGAGAGCGTCGAGGTTGTCTCTTGGCCCGAAGACGATCTGGATGACACGTGTCACATTCCGCCGGAAAATGAGCAACGCTCCGTCAGTTCCGGGAACAAGGTTGAACCGGGCGCCGAAGGCGCCAGGCCGACCGGTCTGGTGACGTCACCGAGCTGCGCTGATGAGGTCAGCGAGAAGCTGAGGCTTGCGCTGGCAGGCCGCCGCGGAAAGCGCGGCAGTGCGGGCAGTCTCTACTACCCTGAACAAGCGCTCGGGACTGCTGACGTCAGTGCGGTTGGCGGCGAGAAAACTGCGCAGGGCGGGGTGCCGACGGACAGAGGAACGGCGGCTGACGCAGACGCGGTAAAGGTGCGAGATACCCCCTTCACTCCTCAAGCAACTTCTAGGAGAAAGGGCTTGCTCTGAAAGCAGAGCTCAACGACTATGTTCCACGGTCTTTTCTGCCATTTTGTCTCCTGGTCCTCCGTAGCGATATTGGCTCGTATGTCCCCTTGTTCTGTGGCCTATTTGGAGCCAATCTTCACGGCTCTGCCGGTCAACCTCATGCACGAATTCAGCAGTTTGGAGAATGTTCACGACATCTGATCAGCCTGTTTCCCGGCTTGCGGAAGCTGATTGAGTGCTTTCGAAAGTTTTGCTTGGTGGCCTTATTCCAAGATAGACATGGGACAACTCGGACTCTAAGAGGTGTGCCAAAGACAGATAGTTTGTTCTCAGATTGTAACCTTTGGAATTCTCTCCTCTGGGCTTCGAAAGAGCCTCGAACCGTTGAAAATATTCTCTACTCAACCACCCACCTTTGCAAATGCAGACTTCCGCGAACGCTGAGCATGACGCAAGGAGCCCAAGTAAAAAGCCGTCACTTTTCCTGGACCTGACGTCGCCTGTGAGAGATTCCGTCCGCCCGAGGGCGTCGAGTTCCGCTCCAAGCAGCCCAGGGAAGCACGTCGCCCGTGAGGGCTTCAGTCGCCAGCAAGAGCTCGACGCAGAGTGGGCGGCGTTCACGGACAGGGTTCTGTCCGAAAGCCGGGCGGAACGGACGGAACGGGCGGAAAAGAAGGGACGGGCGGACCATGCGGGAGTGGCGGAAGGCGCCGACGAAACAGAGGAGATCGCGGACGTGGCGCAGGGTTCCGATGGTTCGGCTGACGTGGAAACAAACGAAGAGCGGAGCGGAACGGTCGGAGCGGAACGGCTGCCGGCGGCGAGCTTTGCGGCCAAGATGGCGAGTCTCTTCCGCAAGGACACGCCGAGTCGGAGGACCGAACCGGACGCCTTTTCTGGTGTTCTTTTTGACGAGCCGCTCCCGGTGAAACAAACAGGTCTGAGATCCAGTCCAGATAGAGACGCGTCCGAGTGTAGTTCAGAAGGGAGTTCCGAAAAGGGCGACAGTGAGGCGGGAAACGATGCTGAGGACGACTTCGACAATCAGATGCGGAAAGTCTCCTGGGCTGACGAAAACGGGATCAGTCTCGAGGAGCGCCTGGGCGAATCGATGCACTTCCGGCAGTCCAAGTTTAACGAACTCGTCACCGGAACGGAACGGGAACAGCAGCGCGATCGGCGACAGCTTAGCCCGCCACTGGGCTACGTCAGTCGCCCCGACCTCGCCGCTAAGAAGAGCGGCGCTCCGGCGGAAAAGCAGTTCCGGGAGCTGCTGAGGACTGATAGCGGAAGAGCTGCGTCCGTCAGTCCTCGAAAGGGGGGGCTGCCAAAGCCTGCCTGGGTACCCCCCAGCGGGTCGCCCAGGTGCGCTGATGTGGGCGACTCAAAGCACGCCAACGTGCACTATGCGGCCGCCCCAAATTCCGGACGGTTCGGGAGCCCACCCAGTAGAACCGGGTCCGGAATACCGCCGGAAGCTACCTCTCTACCTAGGACTCGCAACGGAACGCCAAGATTCAGCAGCCCGCCCCCTCGCGGGACGCCACCTGTCAGCAGCCCACCAGGTCGCGCGACGCCACGTGTCAGCAGCCCGTCCAGCCGCGGAGCGCCACGCGGCGGCAGTCCACCGAAGGTCTCGCCCGACGTTCCTTACCACAAGATGCACACGTGCATCGAACCGGTGAAGCTGTTCACGATCGGGGCCAAGGTCGAGAGGACCAGCTCGCAGTCACCGGAATACGCCCAGAGCCCGAGCGGAACGCCGGTCGAGCTCAAGAAAAGCTCCGAGAGCGGCAAATCGGAGCGGAATTCCGGGTCGTCCTCGACGGAGTCGAGCGACGGCGGATTTTGGGACGTGCAACTAGAAGAGGGGAGGCGGCGGAGCAGCAAAGAGAAGCGGGTAACGTTTGCTGATGTCACTCCAGGCGGAGGGGCTGGGGAGGGTGACGTGGCAATCTTTGAGGAGCCCAAGTTTGAAGACGTGGCGTTGCGGGAAGGCCCGGCTAAGCCGGCGGAGGGCGAGAAAGAGACCGGTGGGCTGTCTGGCCTGGCGCGGAAGTTCAAGAACGTCATGAACGGAAAGGGAGCGGAACGAAGCGGAGCGGAACGGAAGGATACTCAAGCACGAGGATCGGGAGAAAGTTCCAAGAAGACCAAAGGCAAGTGGGAGTTGATCGTCGAGCAGGAGGATGCGGAGATCGACGAGGGCGCGTCGCTCATCGCAGAGGCGCCGGAGGGCGCGCGCGCGCGCGCTGCAGTGGCTGCGGTCGCGGCCGCGCGCAGCGGCGCGTCGCTCGAGGCGAAGAAGGCCGAGCTGGCGCTCCGCAAGAAGAGGACGGTCATCGAGCACAGGCGTGAGCGCGCGCGCGCGACGAAGGAACTAGAAGAGGTGAGCATTGCGCAGGTCTTGCTGCTGATCTGCATTCACCAGCTTCAGCCTGTTTTGGCCCTTTTCTTAGAGCAACATCTGACTGTACCTTCAACAACAAATCTTTCAATCCCGTAATATCGACTCTGTTTTTCTTTTGGTTGTTCGCTTCAGGACCTCGATTCGAATTGTAAGAATGTATGTTTTCCCAATGGATCGGCCCGCCAGTGCGAGTCAGCTAACGAATCCGAAGATCGGTTACAGTAATTTGCCCATCCTCATTCTTGCCTTCACTGTTAAGACCACAGAAAAGGCCTACCCATTTCGTCCGTTGTCGTCCTTAGGTCCAGTCCACAATTATTTCCTTGCTCATGCTCACATTCCATCCATCGCTTCCCTCTCAGTTGAAGAAGAACGTCAGCGCTGAGCTGTCCGACGTCAGCGTGGCGACAGAGCGGCTTTTGCGCCGTTTCCACGTGGCCCAGTCCACTTGCCAGGAGCTGTCCGAGTTGCTGCAGGGCGCGCTCAAGGCCGACGCCGCGCGCGCGCAAGCGTACGCCGCGCTCGCGAGCTCCAACGTTCCGGCGTCCTCACCACACTCACGCGACAGGTAGCTCCCTTCACGACCTAAGATTTTCAGGGTCAAACAGGTTTTGGTGAGCTTAAGATGGTTTCGATAGAATCGAAAAATAGACGTTGGAAGCGCAGGCTTCATATGACCACGCAGAGAACTTAGGCCGTTCCTTTTTCCAAAATCCGAATCCTTTGGTCGTGCTCTGCCGTTCTCGTCAGCCCCAATGTCCCGTCCGTCATTTATTTTCTCAAAGAGAATCCTCATCAGGGAGTTTTCGCATCCGTTTTTTGATTTTCCGACCGGAAGAGTCAGTAAAGACTGGAGTCGACGGTCAGGTTAAAACGACGTTTCCAGGCACTATTCGCTTTAAAGAACCTCGCTGATCCCCTGGCACTCGTCTGCAGTGACGTCACGGCCGCTTGTGACGCGGCACGTGGCCTCGCATCCTCAGTCGCGGTTTCAGCGGACGAAGCGAACGAGGCTGCGAAACCTGCGTTCGACAAGATCGTTGAGATGATGGTGAGGGACAGTCTCTTTATTTTGTGCCCCGATTCTTTGTGGACCTTAAATCCTGAAAGCTAGAGCGTACCTTACGCCTCCATCAAAACATTTCTGAGATAATTTCGTCGAAAGTAAGTCACACGGATGACCTCAGACGTTGAAGACGTGGTACTCCCTTCGGGCAGATGTGCAGCTCTATTTCTGCTTTGAGGTTTTCTTCACCCTGCATATCAACCGGACGCTTGTGGAGCCTGAGCTTCACAGGTACTTGTAAATCTGGGTTCAACAGCTGCAATCTGCTCCTCTCTGCTAATTCTTATCGATTCTCATTGCAGAAAGCCCTTGTTGCCGAAGAGAAGCGGCTGACGTGGGAGTCGACGTCACGCGGAGAGCCGGCCATCCGTAAGCAGTGGGAGGCTCTGGCAAGAGCATTCGAAGCCCACGAACGGGTGGGTGCATCATCAGTCGATTACTCTGATAAAGAAATTATTGGAAGACGCCCTCTCGAATGAAACCCACTTGAATTCAAGTGGCTTGACTGTCCCTCAATCCCATCAACGGCGTCCAACGATTCGCTCAATCGACGTGCAGCTTCGCGGTACAAAGGGCAGTTCAGGCCTATAGTCAACCTTTCAACTTTTGCTTTTCTAAAGGTTTTGGAAGCCCTGCACAGATTCTACTGATGACACACATGCTCGGAGACACATCTTTGCGATACCAATCCCAAACTCAAAGCGTCCTATAATTGCCTAAAAAACCATTCACGGCTCTCCAATTCTCGTGAACGGATCACTCGTAAGTCTGTCGCGCCGTGTATAACCAAGCCTCGCAGCCCTTTTGTCTAAGAACCGTGAATACAGAGCCTTCTGACTCACTTCTATTTTCATACAGGCGTGCTCCCTTTTGGAGACCCCCGAAGCCAGCCCCGCGTTTGGCGGCAACGAGTTGCAGAAGGACGACCCCTGGCTTGCCGGAAAGGCCCTCCAAGAGAGAATACCGCCTGTACAGGTGAGTCCCACTTCCGCGAGATCCGCTAGCCCTTCCGCCGCTTTGAATCGCTTCAAATAACGCTACCGTTGTGCATGCCGAACGATCTCAAAACATTCGTGGATAAGCAAGGAGGAGAAAGGGGACAGGTGGAAGTTCTTTTGCCTGATGTGCCGCTGAATCAGCAGTAGCACAAGATGTAGGCTGATCTGTTTGACTCCAAGAGCACTGAAAAAAGAAAGAGTACCAATTGTAGATTTTTAACGAAGTAATCATGCGCTATTTCAGGCTGCCCGCACAGAGGCGGCGCTTATGGTGGCGAGCAATGCCAAGAGCCTGCGCGCGACTGAGGCGGACAGGATTGACGCCATCAAGGAGGCGCTGCTGACGTATGGGTGAGGCTAGAATTACGAGGGTTGTTCGGTAAAATATTGCCCAGTTCGTCTTTTCTTTGGTTGGATTTGACGAATTAGAGTTGGAAGAATCTCGGGTGAACCATCATGGCCCAAGTTGTACCATGTAAGAGCAGTTGTGAAGGTCTGCAAAACCGCGAGCATCCGTTGGCTTCCTACTGTAGTCGTAATGTGAAAGTCTGCACTCAAGTCACTCATGCCTGCAATACAGATAAGATCAGCGGTGTCGGAGTAGACCTAAGGTTGCATCACAAAAACCAGAAGAAGTAGCAGAAGAGCATCAGGACGAGACGAAGACCTTTGCAACTGCCCGGGTACTCGATAACCAATCCCATCCATAAGTAAGCAAGTTGCTTCCTTTGTTTCCAGAGCCTTCAGAGATTGACTGCTAAACTTCTGATGTGATACAGGCCGTGGGCTCATACGAAGGCCTGGGATGGACCTCTGCGCGCGCTGGAGACGCTGCGTGCCGCGAGCGACGCCCTGAGCGCGAAGCGCGCGGGGGAGGCGCGCCTGCAGGAGACGTGGGCTGCGTTTGAGTCGGCTTATACCGAGAAGAAAGAGGTAAGCACGTTACCGCGTCCCACGCAAAGTCTATCGAGCTTAGCACAAGATATCCTAGCAAAGGAGTCTGGGACTAGCGAGTAACGTCTAGCCTCGCGGAAAGTCTGTAGAGCATCATGACTCAAACGTTGCGCGCACATTGCTATTAACAGCTTGAAAACATCCTCTAAAGCAAAGCTTGAAGAGATGGATTGAATTAGCTTCGCTTGTCATGTAGATTCTTGAGGCTACCGCCCTAGACCCATTCCAGAGCGCGCGCGCGCGCTTCCAAGGCCCTCTCAAGCGCAAAATCGGCTGGAATGGGAAGTGGGTACCCAGCCACGCCGTGCTGACGTCAGCGGGCAACCTCCACTTCTTCCACGTGGACGCCTCCGAGCAGCCCACCTCGCGCGACGCTGACGTCAGCCTCCACATCAGCATGGCGACGGTGCGCGCGCATAGCGACGGGGTGACGCTGCAGCTGGCGTGCTACACGCACCAGGGAAAGAAGGTGCGGTCCACTTTCCGTTCAACCAGGTTTGGAATCGGATTAGTAAGGCGCGGAAATGAGAGATGTTATGAAAGATGAAGTAAGTGTCTACTTCGGTCGAGTATCCGATCTCGTGATCCGGATTCAATTTGAGGAATCGAAGGACTTGAAAAGTGCGCGCGTTTTGCTCGACATCCACGCCGAGTCAGCTTGAGAACCCTACCGTGCGCCCCCTGAGGGGAAAGAAGCGGGACATAGAGCACCTCTTTTCGCGTAAGAAACGACTGTTCAAGTACCCCAGATGATTGCTTGGTGTTACAGATATGTTCTGTATGCTTATCTTGCTGGGCTGTGAATCAAGCAACCAGACGAATCGAATTGGACGTCCACAGGTGGGCATCCAAGGTCCAAATCGTCCGCGCTGGTTTCCGAAGCGGCCCTTCTAAGTTCAACTGTTATACGACGTCACAATTGGCAACAAAGCTTTGTTGTTGACTTACTTCACCTTTTCTGTCAAGATTTATCCGAGTCCATCGCTCAAACTGTACTCGATAGCTTCTCAATATATTCTGGCTTTTGCGTGTCAGGAGGACGAGATTCTTCTGCGCGCGCCGTCGGAGCGCGAGCGCGCGCGCTGGGGCGCGGCGTTCCGCGAGGCGACCGTCGAGGCCGTGCAGCAGGAGCAGCAGCAGCGCGAGGAGGCGGCCGCACGGCAAGCCAAGGTGGGGACAGCTGTTGGACTTCTTTTTGACTCTTCTACTGACTTGAGGCTGACAAAATGGTGCCGTAGGTTCACTAAGGTGTTTGAGCTTCGCCCTCCAAGTGTTAGAATAGAGGCTCGTCCGCTCTGTGTTCTCCCTTCTGTGATGGTAATAAAGGACAGCAACAAGGGAGAGAACACCACAGAAGTCGACTGAATGGGTTTGAATGAGAAGAAAAGAGTTCAGCTTTCAACGATGTCTCAATGACAAGCTTTTTGATCCTTCCCAGCATTCACCTGCCCAGTTCGGACCAGATTTTCTAAATTCCGTTGGCCCGCACAGACCGCTTTGTCTGGTACGACGCCGTCTGTTCGGACACTCAGTACTCTACGATTAGAGCTGCTCGTGATATAGATTTATCCGTTCAGAACTCTCATCCTCCAATCCTATCCGACAGAAGGAAGCCATTTACGGGCTGACGTTTCCCCGCGCCCTCTTTACACCCCAGGAAAGAGAGCGGCTTGCGCAGCTGGCGATTGAAAAGCAGGTCAAGGAGTTCAAGGTCGCGGCCGCGGCCGCGCCCGAGGACCTCCTCAAAACCTCGCCCATCTCGCCAGACGCTGCCGCGGGGGAGGCCGCGCGCGCACACGTGCTCGAGCTGAGCTCGCAAAAAACGGTCGCTTCAGCAAGGAAGGAGTCGCTCTCGAAGAAAGAGTACTATGGGGAGGCCGTACCTCATAAGGTGAGCTCGTATCGCGAACACCTGGGCATCCCTTCGAATCGAGTTTGAAGACGTTGTCTGCCGATCCGCTTATCCTTTGACGTTAAAGGGTTATGATTTACAGGAGTCCACTTCGGCGAAGAATCGCAGGAGAGGTTTTTGCTTGCTCGTTCTGCTCTTTCCCCATCTCACTGGCTGCTTTTATGAGATTGGCCTCCATGATAGGATGTAGCTATCTTCCGTCCTGCACTCGTAAGATACAGGAAGAAGGCAAGGACTCCTTGTCTTGGTTTGAAGGTGCTGCTTGTGGTGAGGCACGAGCCGCACCGAAGACTGGGACAGGTCGTGGATGTCATCAATCTCCCCTAATCGTATTATTTGGCTCCTATGCAGCAGAAGAAAAGCAACCCGGAGCTCGCGGAGGCGTTGGGCAGAATGCGGTATCTGACGGTCGAGGAGGCTGGCAACGCGGAGGAAGACAACATCGCTTAATCGAACGGTCGAGATGATCTGGTATCTAGCGCTCGCGCGCACCGAAAGGCCGCTGATGATCATGCCCGCCAAAAGCAGCATTGACGAGTTGGTAAATAGGATCTAGAAGCCGCAAGCTACTAAGGGTTGACACGAGAACGGGTTTAGCCCGTTAAAATGTGTGTTTTCATTGTGGTCCACGCATGCGAGCTGCTTGCAAACCGTATAGCGCCACCTCGCTTGCAACGAATCTAGTTGCCTGGTGCAAACAAGCCACGCCACATGCATACAAATAGTGGACTGAGTTTGACAGCTCTAATGCAAGAAGAACAGACTTTTACCTAGGGATCGGAGCTCAAACAAAGGCGCTACACGGATATTTACGGCCCACGCATAGATACTAGTTCAGACAGCACGAACATTTTCATTGGTTTGACGATTTTATAACCTACCGGAGTACAGAGTGTTTCAAAGGCCTTATGTATCGAGTATCGACTCACTGGACTCGTATTTGATTTAAGCTGCAAAGAGCAAGGATCCGTGCTCGGCGGCTCTTATTTGTTAACCCGTGTGATTTACATTGTTGCGATTGAACGTACGACACCGCATAACTTACGCTGTTGCAGGTTGCATTTCTCGTCGCTACAAAGCCTGGGCGATCCCGCGCTGGCAAGCTTTCGCATATAGACGCAATTCTGCGCGGCCGGCACCTTGCAACGTATGCGTCCAATTGCACATTCCAGGCGCGGCCAAAGCTACATTCTCGCATCTGCTACAATATCGTTCAGTTGATGGTTTGGTGCCAGAGGAGTGCCACTGAACCGGACCGTCCATGCCCTAAGAAGATCGTGCGCATCCGCTACATGCAGTTTGAGGAGGAATGCAGCATATCGCCGTGCGTCTTATTCCACTGTACTGCATTGGTTTCATTTGAACGATCAACCCAAGGCTTGGAATGTTCAGATGGAGATCTTCACATCTGCTGACCATACTGCTAGCTATTTGACACAGTTTTCTCTTTGACAACCTACTTGGAGGGGTTCAGCACTGCACTCTAACAAACATAAGCAAACGCGACTGGTTGCTTCGCAACGGGACACTTTATAACCCGACAATCAACTCTTGGAAATGAACCTGTACAGCAGAATTATCTCGGAGCCCTTTTTAACGAATCTATGTCCTGATAAATCAGTGCTAACACAAACTACCGCGACCCAGGAAACTTGTACAAGTCCCGGTCCACTCCTTCATCGAAACCTCTCTTACTTCCCATTGCATTCCCCGCCAGCTGCTTTGTATATTTACCCTGTCGTCGGGCCTCGAAAGCTGCATAGCCTTCCAGCTGCGAAAAGCGAGTGCAATTCATTAAGGAAAATTAGAAAGGAGACGCGGCAGCAGCAGTCCCTTCTAGTATCTCGGCCTAGGTACTTGTTGGTGTCTCCGCAGCGTACGGTTTTTGTTTGTCCTTTTCAAACTCAGCTTCTGCGCTTTCCTGGTTAAAAGAGTGAAAAGGTTAGCGCATCTGCTGAACGACCACCTGGAGGACGAAGTTCTAGTCGCAGCGCCCCAATTCATTTAGACGAGCGTGTAAAGTCCTGTGAATGGGGGAACAAAGCAGGAAATTCGCAATCAGTCTGCAAATCTTACACCAGCGACCAGTCAAAAGCCATTCGAATGCACGTGAAGCATTCGCGAATTCGTAGATGATGACAAGTGTGCAAAACGTGAGACTTGACCGAATCCAGACGACGCCCTGCGGAAAGATGGAAGAGAAGAAGGTGACGGTTGGAGCTTACAAACCTTTGCATCCCCTGGTCAGCAGATGATAGCCCCTGATTATCGAAGTAACCGCGTCATGCATATCTAATCATTATGCAAATCAATGGGTAGTCCGGTACTTTTGACAGGAATGATCCTGTATACTTTAGAGAGGACAAGAGGAGTGGAGCCACGCGTGCACCCACCTTTTCCAAGTCTTCCACTCGGATGGAAGTCCCGTGGGCCGATAACGTGTGCAGCTTTCCACACCCTCTTAGTAAGTCGGACGGCAACTGTGGGAAAGACGAACGAGGGGGATGTCAACTCCTTTGGGTTTTGTCCAAAAACTGACAAATTCTGTCGAATCAGGTTCTGTTAGCAACAAAGCTGGTCCAGCCACCCGACTAGTTAAACGACCGAGCAAGATGTACGTCAAGCAGACGAAATAGACCTGGAATAACAGGCATTCAACGACCGAGTTTTCACCAGTTTGGCTTAGCACGTCTTTCAAGTGTCACTTTGACAACACAGAGTACGGCACAGACAGCCTCAGAGCTTCGCACTCTGAACACGGAAACGTTTGAGTGCCGATCCAGCCCGAAGCTCATATAGTGTGTGCCTGCTCGGCTGTTTTGCGAGGCGGCGACCAACCGATCACAACCTAGACTTTCCAAGTGATTGGGGCTCGTACAAAAGACTCGCAAATCCTTCTCGTACGGTACCGGCAAAAAGCTGGTAAAAATGATGAGTCTTGTCAAGGAAACATTTTCCAGCAGCCTCGTTGATCAAGCTTCCGCTTCTTAAACGATGTCGCAATTTCTGGAATGTAAAAGTTAACGGTTGTGTTTCTGAAAGCAGCGCAAAAGTTGCTACCATCTGACTTAGAGGGCCGCTTGTGACTCACTTTCGAGAGGGGGTTGCCGTCCAGGTCTAACGTCCGCAGCTCGGTGGCGTCTGACAACTCGTCCGGAAGGGCGCTCAACTCATTTGCTGCGGTTATAACAAAATCAACGAGCGAGGTCAGAAGCCGTATTCTTAGAGACAAATGTGCAAGGATGCTACAAGTAAAGCTAGAGGACAACATAGAGGTTGGTAACTGGATCTCATGCGATTGGCAGATTGTGCACGGCGGTTGCTCAGGAATCATCTGGTGAAAAGGAGGAGCTTGAAAGTCAGCAAGGCAGTCGAAGACCTCGGGACATGAAGACGGAAAAGAAGCTACTGTTGTCGCTCAATCGAATATCCATCGAAGCAATCAGATCCTTAAGAACACCGCTGAGAGACTCGCGAGACATGTTTTGGATTGCTTCAGGACTAACCTGGAGCCCTGAGTTCCTGTAATGATGCGCACCCGCTGAGTGAGGGCGGGAGCGAGGTCAGCCTGTTCTTGCTGACGTCAAGCTCAACTAGCTGCAAAAAAATGCGATTTGGTTGCACTGTACCGTTAGCGAGTAAGTGGGTCTTCGCCCGACAGATGAACGGCTATCCGGAAAGAGGACCGGCAGATCAATGCTACAGAACCAAGGACCTGCCTCAGAAAATTAACATTCCGATGCTAGAGTTCGAGGACTAGTTTGAGAGCGTATGCAGAAAGCGCAAAGAGTGTCAGAAGCTGAAGACTCGAGGTTACGTAATTGAGCAGCAGCTAACACCCGCCTCCAGTCCCTGTCATAGCGGTATCCGAGTCCTTATTCCAATTTTGAAATTGTTCTGAGGATTGCTGAAACGGTCTGCCAAGCAAGATACAAGTCGACGTACCGCCTTCAGCTGGCCGACAGCCACTGGAAGTGACGTCATCTTGTTCCCAGCAGCCGTCAGCTTTTCGAGCTTTTGTAGCAGCCCAACTGCACCGCAAAGGACATTGGATCGACAAACGCAAAGGTTTTGGCCTCTGGTTCCGCTCTTCTTCGCTGTCTTCCTTTTCCCAACCGTGTATTCCTGCCAAGATGTGTAATATGATTACTCCGCTATTTCAACCGTATGGCCTTTCTTGAAGATAGAAGCGACTCGGTTCGTTCAGTCTCCACTGACTCAGGAAAACGAAAACCTGTTATTATGCGCTTCGACTTCGTGTAATCAACTCGAACGGCTAAAGATGATTCAATAAGCGGACCGCCAACGTTTGAGAACTTTCCCAGATTGTCAAATGAGCATCCGGGCATACGTCCTAGAGTGGCTGAGAATCAGACACGTTGCAGATATGCGGAATGCGTGTTCAAACAAAAATCGACACTCCGCACCCCAACCGACCTTCATCTGGCAGAGCGCTGAGCTGGTTCCTGTCGACTTGAAGCACTCGAAGCTGCACGAGCTGGCCAATCTCCGGCGGGAGAACAGTGAGCTGATTCTGCTGCAGAATCTACAGACGGGGTGGATTCGAGACTTTAGATCTCCTTCATTGCAGCGTTTTGAACTCCGTTCAACTAGCTTTCTGAGTCTCGAATTGTGTGTGATTGGTTTGGCTGCTGCTCATGTACCGTGTGGGACTATTTTTTTGCATTGAGTAGTGCAAGAACCTTGCGGAAAGAAGGAGCAGCCAATGCGATTGACAACAAAATTAACCTGACGGGAAAGAGAAGTCCTTCTGTTAATGATTCTTGACAGGTTGACACGATCAACAGAGGAGCAGGCCAAGCGGGTTGGTCAATGTAGGAAGTAAGGCAAAGAAGATTCGCCTCAAGATACATTTATCGGATACATCTCGATTTCTGGCCACTCCTTTCTGTTTGGTTGACCAAATCACCTGCTTCGAAACATTTACTGATGTTGAGATCAGCAAGGAAAGAATCGCCAGTGTCCTTACCAAACGGGTCAATTGGGTAAGCATCCCAATGGTTGGGGGCAGCTTGCCTGCAGTCAATAAGGACAATCATGTTGCATAAAACTTCCTCAAAGTTACAACTGCAATGGAAGAAGAGATCTTTGGTTTGAGTAGACTTTTCATCCATCACAGTTTTGCCCATATGTGTATCTAACACATCTGACAGGCCTTACAGCCAATCAATGGGGAGACAACACTCGGGCAAGGTCAACGAGGACTTGTTCGGCTTCTCTCATCTGCGCTCACCAATCTTGTTGTCAGATGCATCCAGCGTTCGAACATGTGGCCCGAGGTCCAGGACTGCCTTCGGGAGAGCCTGCAAGCACCAGAAGAAACCGATGTGAACCGCTTTTACTTGGTGACTACTCAAGTGTCCTTGTACAGGATTGTCATTCTTCCAGTTGGAATAGCGAACCTTTGATTGAAAGTATTTGAGGGCATCTCTCCATGTAGGGCGAAGTCAGCAAGGGGGTGGCCATCTCATGCAGCCAGCACAGTGAGGAGTCGGTGTCTGGCCGATGTCTAATCGAGTAACCACTCAAGATTATGTTTCTTCAACCAAGTGTGGACTGCACTGATCATGAAGCTAAGGTGGTCTCATTCAAAAGATTGTTTGCCTGCAAGTAAAATTACGAGCTTTAGATGTACAACTTCTTGGTCCTAATATCTCTCATGTGCAATGCTGCGGCTAAGATACCCAAGATCCGTACATGGTATCGAACTTGCGGTAGCCTGCAATGAGTCATCATTTCAATATGAAAGAACAGCAGATCAGGGTTCAGAGAAACTGGATGTCATATCTGTTCTGCCGCAGCCGTGTTGCGGTAGCTATGAAGTAATTTAGGGATTGAAGGTGGTAGGTCAATGCACAAAGGAGCTGGCAGCCAGAAGCAGTGAGTGCTGACAACTCAACTGCTCTTGAGAAATGTTGCCCTCAGCCAGGACCACTATTCCGCCCATGCTTGTCCATGTTATGTTTTCGATTCAACAGCAGCATATCCTAGTTCTATGGGAGCAGCATATCCCCCAGCCTTTTCTCCCTTGAACCATAGCTGCTAAGCTAGACCTAGTCCAGGAACAAACTCATAACCTTTTCAATATATGTTGCCATCTTCCAAAACTCCATGCTTCCATGTAAAGACATTCAAGAGTGTACGTATGTAACTCAAAGGGCATTTTAAGATCTGCAAGTGGACGCAACACAACAACTGGCTAGTAGGACACTGTCTGGAGCTCTGCAATGCCATGAAGATGCAGGCTGAGTTGCTCACCTTCAGATTGTTACTTCGCAGGCCCACAATCCCTGTCACCTTCCAATGCTGCTCCCGCCTCTTTGCATCTTCCTTCTTGATCTTGAGCACCTGTAGCTCCTTGTCAGGGGGCTTCGCCCTTGTATGAGCTGGATCTTTCGCCCCTTCCAAAGCAGCGGGTGACGAAGCGCAGCACCCCATTGTGCGGCTGACAGCTGGAGTCGATTGGCAGAGTTTTTTGGAAGGGGAAACACAGCTTGATACTGGAAGTTCTTCGCTCCGCAGCAATAGCCACCCTGAATCCTCACACCAACCTCAACTGTCAAATCAAGACCTGTATAACACGAGTCAACACAGCGCCCTAGAATTTCCTTGAATGTAAGATTTTCACCACTTTCAACAGGTTGCCTTCAATGTGCAGCTCTTCCTCCATTACATATCAATGTCGTTTGAGTTCGAAATTCACCTGTCCAGAGAAAAAGATCCACGGCGAGAGTGTGAATACCAATTTCTGAGCCCCTGCCTGACGGCGCTGTCAGCCGTAGCCTGCAACGTCACACCTTGCACGGGGTCATCAGCCGAAACTTCCACACCTGTTTTTGGCCGCTTCTCCAGGCGGAGTCCCAGGGCCACAGAGGTAGTATTCACACCAGAACCTACTGGCCTATCCGGTCCACATGTGCTCATGCCGACCTGAGCTAGCTGGTCCACGTCCTTCCTGGGCTTCTCTCAAGGAGGAAGGCGGCGGTCTCTGAAATTCGTACTCCAGTGGCAAGGACAGACGGGGGCCTGCAATTTAGAAGCAGGGCATATGTTTCGGCTGCCTTGAAGCCGTGTGACGAGTCGGCCACATTGATGCAGCATGGCGCCAGCATTGGCGAGAACGACAGGCTCTCGCTTTGGCTGCACAAGCCCATGTGCACTTTTTGAAACAAAGTCTGCTCCCCTGCAGAAGCCCTCGCTCTTCTGGGGCTCCTCAAGGGTGCACGTTTCGAAAGTCGTCCAGAATGGCAGGCGGCTTGGGATTAGATGCCAGACAGAACAATCAAGCACCTCAGCCTGTGCGTTTACTTTTGGTCGTGGCCCTTCCTTTTCTCGTAAAGAGAATGCCGAGCATGGAAAGTTGCCCAGGAGAGATGTTTCTGTGGCTGCCAGGAAGTCCAGGAGCATGCGGGAAATGGAGGATGAGGAGGAGGGGTTCCAAAGCCTGGTTAAGCAGATGCAGAGCCAGCAGAAGAAGGTGCGTGCAACATTCAGCCTAACGTCATGCCTTCTCTGCTATCACTACAAGCTAGAGACTTCAATAACTGCCTATGCAGACACTGCTCTTACACAAGATTCCCAACAAGTGTGCATATGTGCTTTTGCGTCATTGGCCTTGGTAATGGTGTCAACTTATTTGAATTTAAATGAGTGTGTCTATGTTCGAAAAGAGCCTCACTTCATAATGTGTAAAAGTTGTTGGAGCTCCCAGGTTGTTGGAAAGTTCCCCAAATGCACACGGTGCTTTTGTTGTACATTGTCGTCAGAAGCAAGCATGGCCTTAGTAGGGATTGCTGGCTAGCTTTGCAACCAAACAGTTTACTTGTGGAAACCACTTTTAACCACCATGTGACATCATGCCAAACAATTAAGGGTTCGTAAGTTGAGCTGTACTACTGAAAGGTCCATCCCTCTGAGATTTTCATGAACCCTCGAAAAACGACAGCTGCACAATCAGAACACTCCTTGATCAGAGAAACACTCTTCCATACTTGCTGCAGCCTCCAAGTGCGCCAGCCCCACCTTCCACGCCAAAGGGGCCGGACCCCTACGCAGAGTTTTCCGCCCTTCTCGATTACCAGGACCAAAATGATGGTTTGCTACCGCCCTCCAGAAACCCTCGCCCTGCTACCCCCTCCCCTAACACCCCCCGGCCAGTCGAACCGGTCAAGCCCCGGGTTATCTCCAGAGCAGGAGCAAAGATAGCCGGTCTTTCCGGGCTGAAAGTGCCTACACCGAGACCCGTTATAAAGAAAGGGGCATACAGTGTTGATTTTTCTACTTACGATGAACCGATTGTGAAGATTGGGGTACCGACTCCTGTTACCCCTTTGGGGGGGGCGACAGAGTATAAGCTGGGGGACAGCGGGGCAGTGCAAGTTACCCCCCAGGGCGACTTTCCGGTGCGTTTGAAGGGGCATAAAATGCCCAAGCGGGGGGCGGCAGCAAAGAAACCGGACGTGAATCTTGAGGCGCCTGTAGAAGTGCCAGCTGTAGCATACGATACGCCTAGCCAGGCGGAGACGGAAAGTGAAAGTGCGTCAGGGCTTGCTGCACTCCAGGCTGGGGGCCTGGGTTCCGCTAACCCAAAAGCGAACCAAGATCTAACCTTGGAGAGCTTCGTGCCAGGTAGGGGAAAGGAGTACACACTCTCAGAGGAGGGCTCAGACGTCTCGATCGCGTCTGCGAGCAGTTTCCCAGTCCGGACAAAGTCGCATCGGGAGCCCAAGGGGGGGTACTCCACAGGGGCGGACTTGGTGGAGGAGAAGAAGCCTGAGCCGAAGAAGCCAACAAAGCGGGTTCCGAGTTATCAGGAGCTGGTTAGCGGCACCACCAAGATCGCCGACCCCACCATCCAGGCGGTTCCGAAACTGCCCGTCTTAGAAAGTAAGATTGAGGAGGTTTCTGCGAGTCAACCAAGAACGGGTGTAGCGGAGCTGGGTGCTGACATCAGCGGACCGCGGGTTTACACCCTGGGCGAAGACGATGGGTCAGTTTCAGTGGAGCCTGCAGAAAGCATCCCCGTCAGGTTAAAAGCATTGAAGGTACGAAAGGTAGCGGGAAGTTCGTCTTCCGAAAACGAAAAGGAGAAGCCCAAGAAAGTGGCGCAGAGGGTGCCTGGGTTCCAGCTCCCTTCGGACGTCCGCGAATCCGGGCTACTGAAAAAGAAAACCGCCATGGGTGCAAGAAAGGAAAGCGACTTCCGTCCGGTAGCCGCTCCAAGGTCCGCTCCTGCTGATCTTTCCGGGGGGATATTTGCCAATGCAAAGCGGTTTCTGACGAGCCGTGGGGTGGCGGATGCGGGCAGCGGCGCCGACGTTGCACAGCAGGCGGCCGAGCTCCGGGAAGCAATGACGTCGGCGCTGACGTCAGCGCAGGCGGAAGTTTTGAAAAGAGCCATCGCAGTGGTCGAGAGGAAGGCTTTGGCGGAGGCGCAGGGGGCGCTCATTGTTCCGGTCGTGGAGGGGAAGAAGAAAGTAAAGGGGAAGAAAGAGCGGGCGCAGATCACGGCGGCGTTTCCGAAGTGGAAGGAGGACTACGAGCGGGTGTGCATCGACGCGGACTACACGCTGCGGCAGTTAGATGGGCTCGCGGTGGAACTGGGACGGAGTCAGCAGAGCGAAGAGAACGAGAGGGGGCGGAGAAAGGGACGGGCGGAGAGGGCAGATGAAGCTGCCAAAGTGCATGAGGGTGATGTCCGCATGGCAACACCGGCTGTCGGCGGTCTGGAGAAGAACGAAAAGACCGCAAGGGCGGTGGATTCGGCAACGAGTGACGCAGCAGGGGCGAGGGCGGAAGCAAGCCGGTCGGCAGGGGATGATGTCAGCACAGAAGCGCCGGCGGTGGTAGAATCGCAGGAGTCTGGCGCGCTTGTAGTGGAGGACTTGAGCGCTGAGGAGCGGTCTGTCGAAGAGAATGACGGTGTCGACTTGGGGACTGAGTTGGGGGATGACGAGTTGCCGAACTGGGAGGACGATCCTGAGGTGAGCACTTTTATACACGACTCCGTAGGGTACATTTGGGTGACCTTTATTCTGGTTGTGGGGGAAGGGGTTTTGAACGACCCTTGGGATGTTTCCTTACAAAAGCAGGCAAGGGTGGGGGAAGTGAAAAGAGGGCTTGATGACTTTGGCTGGTCAAGGTGTGGCTCTTTGATTCCAAACGTTTAGAGTATTTTCAGAGGGGTTAAAGGGCAGCTTCCTCTTAAAAATGGCGCTTAGAATCCACTTTGTCCTCAATTCAAATCAAACGAGCACTTGAGGTCGGCAGCAGCAGGGGCTAATCTCTTTCTTGCTGGTTGAATCTGTAATGTTCGACCTGTTGACGTCTAGTCGTTTGACGGTCCAAGGTTTTGGTCAGTTGACAGCTACTCGTCGAATGACAGAGCGCACTTGGGTATTGTCCAGTGCAGTTCTCATGACAGTTTCAAGACGGCTGACAACTTTGTGCTGGCAGGACATTGATCTGAGCGCCTACGAGAGCGACTCAGATGACGAGCAACCCGAGGGGGAAGCGAAGCCCGAGTTTGAAGTCCGATTGCCCCCCCCGCGAGCGGCTACTACCGAGTTCCGTGAAGACGATGCGTACGCGACGTTTGCCGCCATGCTTGGAGACGACGAATCTGACAACGACGAAGAAGATACGGAATTATTCAGGGAGGAAACTGCGTCGAGGTCAAAAGTAGATGAAGCTGCGGAAGAGGGAAGTAGAGTCAACGAGTCTGAGAACGGGATGATCAGTCCAAGCGATGATGATCTGGAAGAATTAGAGTCGTCCGGCACTCCGGACACGCTTTCGGACGCTTCACCGTCTGCCGAGTCGTCCGAAGAGTCCGCTGAGCCGGCAGCCTGGGACCGGGAGCGTCTCAGCAGCCAGATCTTTGAGTTGCTGCGGGGGACCACCGAGGGGGAGAAGAAGCAATTTGGACGGGAGGCGCCGACTGTCCGAAGCAGCAGTGTCCGAGGGCCCGCTGAGCAGGGGACCCCGTCGCTGGCGACCCTGGAGAGTGTGTTGAGAAACGAGAAACGGTCGGACAGCGTTCGGACGTCCGTAGACTCCGTTCGGACGCCCACAGGTTCCGATCGGACGCCTGAGGATTCCGTTGGGACGCCCATGGGTTCCGTTCGGACGCCTCCGGAAGCGGTTCGGACAGCGTCGGACGCGAGTGAGTGGTCGGAGGAGGTCCAGTCCGCAGTGGCCAAAGCGGAGGCGGAGCGGGAGATGGCCCGGAAACGGCGGGCGCCGGACTACGGCACGTTCGAAGAGCTGCTGAAGGAAGAGGACGGGGTTAAAAGGTGAGGGGGTAGTGCCGCTCTTTTGTGGGTCAGTTTCAAAGCTGTTGTGGCAGTCTGTGGGTTGTTTGCTTTCAGATGACTACCTTATGCGCCTGCTCGTGTGTGCTGGACCCCTCGAAGACCTTTCTGGGCTGTGTTGTTCTGGTCTCTTGTCGGGTCTGCAAAAGCGCACCTCGTGCTTTGTGCATTTCTGGGATATGCAGTTGGTTCAGTTGGAGCACGAAAGGCTCGGTTGAGCCGGCTTTGATTTGTGCAGGCTAAGAAAACAACGTAGCGACACCTCGAATATAAGCGAAGCGGTTAGGCTTGGCTACCAAACTGATGTCGCTGACTTTTTTGGCGTTGAACATATTTGAAAGCCCTCCCATTTCCATTCCTGGGTGGGAAGATGTACCCACGTAATGAAAGTTCACGATTTTAATGTTCCGAAGCAGCAGTGTAAATGCCGATGCCAATTTGACCTGCTACAAAGACAGACGGATATGAGCCATCGGTCGGTCAATGCTGTGTGTCAGACCGTCTTTGCATTGTTTTTCTGTGCGGAAACTACATCGCCAAAACGCCGGGGGGTGTTACAATCCTTCGCGTGCGCTTTCAGAATCTGCGCGTCGCCATTTCCTTTGTGAATGAGGCCCTGTTGTCGTGATCGCAGTGAGAAGCCCACTGCGAGCGCCCCGTCGTCAGAGGAGCTTGCTCGAGTGACGAGGCCCCCGACGCTGAAGGACCAGCGCGCCCCCTTCATCCGAGACGCGAAGCCGCTCAAGCCAGCGGTTCCGACCAGAGGTGACTCTTTCAGTCTGCTTATCATGTTTTCATTGACTCTGCCTTTGCAAAGGCCGCGGACGAGCCTAGTGGGCGGAGATTCTGGCCCTTTTTTTCCCTCGCTGTCTAGTAGTGAGATGTTGTTACAAGGTTGTTCAAAGTTCCAACTTTTCCATGGTCCAAACTGAGTTGGTTGACGCCTTTCGCGGAAAAGAGTTGTTAATAACGAGGTCAGTCTGCAAAGAGAGTTCTAAGAGTCTGCCAACTCCTTCGTTCGCTTGTCCTCGGAATTTTTGTTCTCAATTGGCACTAGAGAAGAGAAGAAAAACCAAGGGGGTTTCGAGTCCCTCCGGCAGCACCGTTGTGTGAGAGCGACAAACCGGTATTTTTGATTGGCCAGGGAGCTTCTGACTTTCTGGGGCTGGGCATTGTGAGCTGGATGATGGCAAGCATTTGACTGCTTGGTCCAATCGGTTTGGCCCTTGAGAATCGCTTCTGGACTCATACTCCGTCGTCAGCGTCAGTTTCGCTTATGGTAACATGAGGTTAACATTCTGTTGAAGGTCTGTGCTTGCCCACTCACCCATCGTGCGAAGGAGCGAATCATAGAGTAAATGTGTCGACTGCAATTTTGAAACCGTTCATAAACCCGCTTTTGAAAGCGATTGTCCTGCGAGTTTTTGGCTTGCAGGGCCTTCGGTTCCCTCCGCCGCAGACCCAAGCCTCGTGAAGAAACCGCGGTGGGTTAGGGTTTGGGATGTCGACAACAGCGAAGTTGAAGACGCCACCGCAAAGGAGTGGGCACGGGCCGAGGCGCTCTGTCCGAACAAGGAGTCTGTTGAGGTGCGCAACGCTGAAGCGAAAAACAGGGCAACTTTCTGGTTTGACTAGAGGGAAATATACGCCGATACTGGCAACTCGAGAGGCTCTCAAGCTCATCGAAGCATTCTACGACATTTCTCAATTGCCATTGAACCCAAGCGCGGTCACTCAGTAATTTGTCCTGCATTGCCGCGCCACCTGCGCACCAGAAGTTTTCGAAAAGCAGATTCGTTGTCTATTGTCGGGTATGGGACAATCAAAAGTATGAGACCTGATTTTGACTTGTATCCCATTTTCTCCTCTTTTCCTCCTTTTTGCTTCTTAGCGCATGCTGAAGAGCAGGTCCAAGAACTTTTTTGAACTCCAGACACGCCTGTATTTTCCATCCCAGTTTCCTCGCAGTCTGTGGAATAGGCCAACCCGCAGGTTCTGGTCGTAAACCACAACTCGTAGGGCCTCAAGTGGTGTTCGGGTCGCTACTGGTTGTAATTGCGGGTCCCCCTCACTTGGTTCCAAGTACTACTACCCTCAGAATAAAGACTAAAGATCTGTACTAAAATGGTAACCCTTGGCAACCCGCAGGTCCTGGTCGCTAATTACAACTCGGGAGGCCTCGTCAGAACGCTTCGGGCTTGAAGCCGGTTCTTTCTTTCGCAACTATCACTTGTCTTCGGGATAGACTACCTTTTGAAAGGGTAATTCAACTCGCAGGTGCTGGTCATCAACCGCAACTCGGGGGGCCTTCAAGTGCTCTCTGACAAGCTTGTAATGTTCATTGCGGGTTCCTTGCGCTTCTTTTTAACTTTCAATGGTCCAACCACGACGACTTTCACCAAAAACTCCACCTACCTATTGAATTTTCAACTGCTGATATGACCCAATTCCGCAGGAAATCCAATCGCTGACATCGCCCCAATCTCGCAGGTCCTGGTCGTCAACCACAACTCGGGCGGCCTCCAAGTGCTCTTCGGAACGCTCCTGGGTTTCATCCCCGCCTCCCAACTGAGCCTTGCGCGGCGCCCCCCCCGGTCACCGGAATGGATGACTCGGGCCTTAACCCCAAAAGATTTGCGAAACCTGCCCCGCAGTGGAACGGCTCAGCGCACTCCCCTTGGGGGGGAGAAGCAGCAGAGTGAGAATACTGGACTCAAGCACTCCTTTCGTGGCCAAGACTCTTTAAGTTTCTTACGTGGGTGATTCTAACAGTAGAAAGCAAGAGCGTTATCTTGGGTTTGTAGTGCTACAGTTTGCTGCTGCAAAAAGCCTGTTTCTTTACAAAGTGACTTGGTTCGGTTTGGAGATGGTTGAGAACGTCTTGAGCTTTTCAAGCTGCTCTGATCGACAAACGCGGCGACACTACTACCAAAATTGCGCTTTTGTAGAGAAGCCGACACATAGGAACTTCACGTGTCGCCGGCTGATCAACAATTGATTCACCTGAATTTATCAAGGGCACTGAAGCGTCAGGTCTTGTTTGCTTCTTGTTAAATAATTCTTAGCATTCGCTGTGCAGCACTAGCTTAGTAGGTCCCAAGGAAAGAGCTCTAACATTGGACTACTCAGTGCCGAATGTGGAATACAGTTTTTCGCGGTTGTTCTCGTCAGCGACTTCAGTCGCCATGTGGCAAACGCATCCCGGTCCCTCCGAAGGTAGACTGCCGTTGATTTCGTCAGCAAGCGTTAATCGACAGTAAGGGTTTTTGCTGCCGCGGAGAAGGCCTGGATTTATCACAGCGAACACTCGGACCCACCAACAATCTCGTTTGGGAATGCAACCCACATTCGTGATCTTCTCTCAAAGGCACTGTCGACAAAACGGCTCCCGTTGATGTTCCGGACGAAAGCGCTGATTCCGCTGGCGAAGACGAGGTCGACTACGTGACCAGCGGAATCATCCCGGAGACGGACGAACAGCTGGCGATCGCCGCTCGCCAAGTACGCGCATACCGAACGGCGCACCTCGCGTCTTTAGTTGGCCAGAGGTGGGGAGCTTTCGTCCCCCCCCCCCCCTTCCTTTTTCGTCTCGCTCTTCTGCCCTCCACCTTACTTTTGTCCGCCGCAGCCCATCTGGGGAGTCCTTTCAAAGTTTGCACATGCTTGACAAAACAAGGGTCGGGTTTATTCCGCTCTGACCGAAGACCGCTCCGTTTGAGCGACGGCCTTTTCGCTTTCATTTGAGAAGGGGATGTAAATGCAGGGTCCTCATTGTTAACGAGTTCTAGAACGTCTCAAAAGGTCGAGTTGCTAGAGCCGATTTCGGCACCAGGGTCGTGATCATACTCCCTGAACGGCGCCCCTCACACGCGCGGGCAAGGGGGACGCCCCTCCCCTCTGCGAAGTCGAAGATGTTCATAGAGAGGTGACTTCGACCATCCCTTTCCGAGAGGTGGACCAAAGGACCTGTTTGTGAAACGTCAGGGTTGGTCACAAATCCTGATACTGCACTCGTCGGCGTTCCGCTGATTCGATTCCGCTTCGCTTGCAGGCTGACCGTGAAGATCATCGTCGCCGACAGGGCGCAGAAGAAGCTCATCTTTTCGGAACGATCGATCCTCTGGAAGGAGGGCCACGAGGAGGCCATGAGCAAGCTGCTGGTGAGTACCCACCAAAGTTGTTCCTTTTCTCACCAAGTTCCTTGCGCTTCATAAAAGTTTTGCTGACGACAAGTTGCTTTTCTCCGAGTTTTCATCAGCTAGATGCAGCTTAATATCGAAGGCATTTTCCTTTTGACTGCAGCCGCCCATGAGAAGGGACCACATTGTGCAGTGCAGCGTTCAAAGGCCGGCACCCAATACGGGTGCTCTTAACAGAACTGCAACAAAGTCCGCATGTTCCAGGTTTAGAGAACCGTATCACTTGTGGACGAGGTTTTGGGCTCGTAACCGTTAACATCCGTGCGCGCTTCCAGATTGCCCGACATGGTGCTCGGTAATGTGAAGGCGATCATGCAGCACAGCGCACGTGCAGTTAAGTCAAGAACGCAAAAGCTTCGAGGTCCTGAAGGTAAACATTCAAAGCATTCCAAATGTACGACTCCTCATGTCCAGGCGCGCACAAGATCGGCGACGTTGTGCGCTACAGCGTGAAGGCGGTTCGACTATGCCGCACTCGTTTCAGATTGCTAAAAGCAGACATTGGTTGTTCCCCTGATCGTTTGGTTTCTGCCAACATCCGAGCTTGTATCTTTCCCCCGTCCAGGCGCACATCACGATTGGCATCGTTGTGTGCAGGACCCTGGAGGCAATCATGAAGTACGGCGGATTCTCTTCTAGTGCCACAAACGCAAGATCCAGAACGCAGATGGCTGAAAGTTCAGTGCAAATTCCGAGCTCGTACCCGTTCTTTTACAGGCGCGCATCAAGATCGGCGACGTTGTGCGCGGCACCGTGACACCGATTCTGAAGTTCGGTTCATCTGTCCACGAAATCACAAACCCAAAACCTCCGCAACCTTGCAGCTACACTGCTAACCACTGAAACCAGATACTAAACCTGTATCTCAACTCGTTTTAGGCGCGCATCAAGATCGGCGACATTGTGCGCGGCACTGTCAAGGCGATCATGAAGTACGGTGCGTTCATCGAAGTGGACGGCGCGTCGTGCCTGATCCACAAGTCGGAGCTGGCATGGGTCCAGCCGAAGCACCCGGGGGAGCTGCTGCAATCCAACCAAGAAGTGGAAGCCGTTGTGGTGGGGGTCGACCGCGCAATTGGGCGGGTCAACTGCTCTCTGAAACGGTTGCAGGTGAGTATGATGAGAACCTTTTAGCTTACTGGGCCTCCATGGCCCTGGCGTTTGATTGCGGGGGATTCGGATCACCTGTGTTTCAGGAGGGGCAGAGTTTTGCGCCGGAGTTGCTGGCAACCAGAAGGTGAAAGCCGTTGTGGTTGAGGTTGATTGGGCGCTCGCTCGCGTCAATTGCTCTCTTTACGCCTTCGCAGGTGGGCTTTCAGAATCTTGGGGCCTTGCGAGATTGGGCCTCTAGGATTGGGATTCTGGGAGTCAAAATGTTTGGCTAAGGTTGCGTTTGCAGCTGGATTTTGGTGTAGCTGAATCTGTCGAAGGATTTCGCCGCAGAGTCTCGTCAGCCTGTCTGCTCTAATGCTGTGAGCTCACGTCCTCTAAGGAAACCCCTCTGACTAGGGCTGTCCTCCAGTCGAGACCCTCTGACTCACGTCACCCCAGTCTTTCACCCCTCATCAAATCATGTTGCTCGTTTCTTGCACAGCCGTTTTAACGGTACCTTAGTCCGCCCAGTTCCCTCTGAAGGATGACACTCCAGCATGTCGGTCTCCCTCGGTGACGTCATTTCCTCTCCCCAGCCGGACCCCCCGACTGAGATGCTGGACGGACTCGCTGGTTGATTGCGAAAATCTCTTCCTGTGTCCAATTTCCCCTGAATGACGTCTGAATGACGTCATTTCAGCATGTACCGTTCCTTGCACTGACGTCATCTCCTCTTCCCAGCCGGACCCCCTGACCGAGACGCTGGACTCGCTGGTGGAGCGCGCGCCCGCTGAGGGCGAGGAGAGCATCCTGACAGAGATGCCGGAGCTGGGTGACGTCATCGCACTGCTGAAGGCGGCCCCGGGGGTCGGCGAGGTGCGCTTGGGACGCCGGTTCCGGGGGACTGCTTTCGCGCCGTCGTTCCAGGTGAGGCCGTGCTTCTGTGAAATGAAAAGGCCATGCCAGAATTGGATCTCTGAGAGACACATGGAGTTCGCCTTTTTGGGTAACTTGACGAGAAGTCCAGGAGGCTCTTGGAAGATTTAGGTTTTCAGTTGAGCATGCGCAGACGACTCATGCCTCGGAACTCCAGGCCTCTTGTGCTGATGGTTGTCTGCCATGCCGTCTTTGTTGAACGATCTCGACTTGCTGCCGTCGTAGAACTGCACGTCCAAGCAATTCGCGGATTGCCTGCACTGTCATGATGAACCGTGGCAACGTCACTCTCAATCATGTCCTTTGGTCTCACATCATTGCTCGTCTTATGCCGGCTCTTTCAAAAGACCTCATGCAAAATGGTGCGTCGGCTCTTTAGCTGATTGTCGTGGTCGGTCAGCCTTTACGGCATACGTTGGAGAGGCGATGCAAAAGTGTCATAAGCGAGCCGTGTGAGCTTTGTGGTACAGACCTTGCATCTTCTCAGGGAAACGAGCATTTGCAACTTTAACCCTTGAAAGCTGGATTCATGAGGACCTGTCTATTGCAGATCTTTTTGTCGGAAAAAGTGGACAACGGTTATCGACTGTTGGCGCGCGTGGGTGTAGAAGTCCAGGAGGTCCTTGTGACGACGGAACTAGAGCGGGACACCATGAAGCAAGTGGTACGAGACGCGACGGTCAGCAATTCCAGCGAGCGACGGCTCGCGCTTGCAGACTTTGCGTCGTAATTACTGGGCTGGCTGGGCTGACAGGATAGCACAGTCGTGAGTGCTAGACGGGTCGAATGTGGAACAAGTGTTTCAGAAGTGCTGCGTGGGCCAGATGTTCTCTTTCACACGTAGCTCTGAGTGGGTTGTGGGCCGGGAATGGCAGCGGGCACTTGGCGGCTTCCTTGTTTGTTTGTGGAGTGTCGAAGTGTGACGTATTGATCATGCATCGTTATGCGTGGCGGCCGGTTTTGTGGTCGATTCATCAATTCCCGTGACTGAGGGTCAAACCGAGTCTGAGTTTTCCAGAATGTTTTCGCTCAACTTTTGGCACGCCATGTAGGTAGACAATTGCTTGCTTGCCAGGCTTCTTCAAAACATGTCCGATTCTGCCACGTACGATGATACTTATAGTATACGGGTTCTGGTCCAGCCCGGCTGATGTGGCACATATCACATGGCACGACAATGATAGCCGCTTCGCTTCTGACTATCTCCTGATTCGGGATGCGATGCTTAGTTTTGAGTCATGGTCTTTGACGGCCTAATGTGTCTCAGGCACACTGTCCCGAGTCCCAACTCCCGACTCACGGCTGTGCAGTGCAGAGCAGTGCGCATTCATGCACTGTACACGTTCCAAGTAAACGGTCTGAATTTAGAATTGCATATGCACGAGCCGTGTAGCACGTGGCCATCTTCCGGAGAGCCCACGAGCTGTTTAGGGCGACAGTTTGTGCCCCTTGTGAGCTATGATGGTCGCTCACGATCGACGTAAGAGCGTATGCCGAGCATTTACTGCCAGGGCGGTGTAAGATAAGTTATGAAGTCATCTGTACGGAACTCTGCTCGAGCCTCGACCTGTACATTGTAGCATGTAACCCTGTACAATTCGCAATGCACGTCATTTGCACATGCATGATATGACTTTTGAAGTAGGATTCTGAATTCAGTTGAGTCATTGATTGGAACTTGGAAGAGCTGATAGGATTGTCTCTGTTGAATGGTGACGAAAGCGGCGACCAATGGCAAAGTAAAAACGCGTTAAGTCTGTAGGTTCGTGTCATTTTGGTCACATTTCCCCTGAGCGCCCCTATACTGACACTTAAAGTATTGTCACCTGACACCTGCAGGATGTTGCTGAGAAACAGGATTGGCGCACAAGTAATCACAAGGCTGGTGGAGGCGGCTGCTGAAGGGAAGGATGCAGTCCCCATTCTTTTGCTACTGCGCCAGCAACTCTATCAGTCCTCTTACGTCACCTGATTTGCGGCCCGCTTCACCAACTTGCAGCAACCAGATCAAATCTATTCCGGACAGCAAGCAATCTGAACAATGGTGTTCGGGTTGCCTGTACTGAGGGTGGTCACCAGCAACCGGCCCCCTTATGTCTTCCATAATGAGTACGCGGCAAACAACTCAAAGGCAACAGAATGGTACGGCATGCTGGTAGACTTGCTGCCGATGGTATTCAACGCTGCCAAGACCGACGCCAGCTTCTCCTATTATAAGGCGCCGACTGATGAGGGAGGTTCTCTTGTAAATGGCAGCTGGACAGGTGAGAAGTGCCTTTCTGCTGACTTCTAGTCTAACATGAAACCATTGAGTCAGTACATGCTAGACTGATGGAATTGGAGTCACTTGTGCGCAGAGCTTGTTACACTTATCAGATAACTTATAACACTGATTAAGGGTGTGAAAAGTCCAGCATATGAGTACCTTTCTGCAAAGGTACTCATGCCTTGGACTTGAAGCAGTTTTCAAGCTCGCTGTCCATCCAAGGGTTCAGAGTGCAGGAGCGTTTGCTCGATCTCTTTCTGCAATCGAACCGCGGAACCACTCCAAACAGTGCTCACTGCTTCTGTACTGAATCTTTCCTGCTGATGACTTCTTTCCAGACCAGCTCTTCCATGAGTTGCGCTATGCGAGCTTCAAAGGAGTCAACAGCCAATAGGAACTTGCTAATCTTTAACTTTGACAGTCTGGGACGATTGTTGCCTCTCTCTGCTTAAAAAGTGCGTTTGTGCCTGAATGGCATACATGCTTTTGAAGGCTTCAATCTCCTTGACCCTGTGTCTTAGGATCTGGACTTTCAGCCTGTCAAAGTGCCCCTTTCTGTCAAGTTCGTCTAAGACTCAGCTTCCGTCAGCTCTTTCCATTATCTCAACTGAACCCGTTCGCTGGTATATATTCCACCTGTTAAGCGCTTAAGACGACGGGCAAGCAGACAGTGAGGTTCAATCCACATGAATTTCAGTTGTGCTGCCTTAAGGCATTTGTGGAATGCTTATCAGAACACTCACTCACCTGCAGGTATTATTGGCGAGATCACAAAAGGCAATGCGGATATTGCGGCCTTCCCTCTTACATTGTCCCCTGGGCGCACAGACGTAATCGACATGAGTTACCCCTTCTATACTGGAGGCTTGGGGATGCTTGTGAAGAAGCTGGTATGTTCTCGATATGGGTATTCTGTTGCAGGTGACTCGTGTAGTATCTGCTTGCCATGCACCTTCTAATGCAAGCTTTGTTCAAAGACTGAAATTGATGCGACTGATAGGGAGTCAGCTCAATGCTTGTGCTGCTTCCGCTAACAATCGTAAACATCGACTTGGATGCTTCTATAAACAAAACGATATCAAAATGGGGACTTTCCGGCCTTAGGCTTTCTGCATTTTCGACATCACGTCTACGTCTAAATTGCTCGGCTCTTTGCTACCGTGCTTCGCAGCCTGCATCTGGTCATGGGGTCACGACTTTCCTCCAGCCGTTCCAAACAAGCCTTTGGGTGGCCCTTATATTCACCGTCATTGGGATCACTGTTGTGCTCTACCTAATATCGTTTCTATCACCATACGGCTGCTACCAAGAGAAAAAGATCCGAAACGTGTCGGCGAAAGACCAGCCAGCCACAAAGTTCGTCATTGAGGACAGTAAGCACTCGTCGTCACAAAGGTGCTCCTAGTCCTCACTGTTGACCTGCACCAGATTCCCTCCTCAAACTTTCTGCAAGTCAAATCTGCAAGATAAACGGGAGTGGCGAACATCGCTCAAGGGCTTGCATCGATTTGTCTAGCCAGCTTGAAGCGCAAAAGGTTGTTTTACGAATGTATATTCCTAAGCCCATGCACAAGTCCTCTGAGTCCCTTGCATTCGAGCCGGAGCGCTTCGCATCCGATCGCTGGTCTTAATTGCTTGGTGTATGAGCGTTTGCCTTCAAGATTTGCTTTTTCCTGTTCACTACTCCCATGCAGTAGCAGTGATTGCCAACATTTTCTGCTTAGCATCCAAGAGTGCATGGAGTTTTGGAAAATCCGTTGCAGACAGACAACAGAACTTGGTCGAACTGCAGCTTAGTCATTTGTTAATTGGGTGCTTCGCACTAAGCTCGCCATGCCCTGAAGCAAAGTCTTCTCTGGACTGTGCAGAGAACGGCTCCTTCTTGGTGGACGCCTTAATGGTGAGTACCAATTGATTTACGAAGTTTTGTTTCTTCACTGCATGCTTCTGCAAATGCTGAGAATGTCTATCATACAGCCTCTTTCGAAGCCTCTGTCGTGCTGGGGGGTGAAAAGAAAAAGAAGGAATACCAGAAAAGCTAGCAGCTCAGATTACCTACTCGCTTCTTTTCTGTTCCTTCTTTTTATATCCAGGCTACCATGCTGAACGCTCCAATGCCCGGCAGCTCTAGCTGGTCCATCCGAATTCCAAGCCTCGTCTTCTACGCGTTTATGATGATCGTGATTGCCGCGTTCACGGCAAACCTAGCGAGCGTTCTGACGGTCAATGCAACGACATCTGTGGCCAGTAGTCTTGTGGACCTGAGGCGAGACAACCTGCCTTTCATCGTGAACTCTGGGGGCGCGGACTTGTCTTATTTCCGGAACAGCGTGGACCCGAATGTTTTGGCGGTCCAAGGCCTGCTTCAGGTGATTTGGCAGGGCCCCTTCTCTTGTGAGTCCGGCGGGAGCCCGGTAGATTTCCTGTTCAAAGCTGTCTGTTCCCTTCCCTTCTCGCACAAGCGACTCGGCGCAACGCAGCTTTTTACCCCATTATGTTTTCTCAGTTTTTCAAGCTGACTCTCATTCCCCGCGCTCACAAGAGTAGCTGTGGAGACGAGAGGGTCAGCCTGAGTGCTTCCAGAGTGTTATTTTCTCCTGACAACACCAGCCCGCTCTCAGGCATAAACGCTCCATCCTTCGAAGTTTGGCTTAATCGTAGTCGAGAATGATGTTAGCTCGTGAGACTTGGTACCCCACAAGAGCTGGGCAAACACATTTTCAGCTCAAGATACCCAAGTTCTGTCGTCCTGAAAACAAGCATATCGACCAAACGAGCAAACGAGGCTTCTGCTGAACATTTTTCAAGCATTCTAATCCTCGGGTTTTGCCATTTTGTAGGCGCCTCGACTTTTCACCACTTTATAGGCACCTCGATTTGGGACCCCTTTTTCACTTGAGACGAACTGAAGTTGAGATTTGGGAAGATCTAAAGCCGATGCATCCCATTCTATCTCATGACAAGACTGCGCTGCCGAGGGCTTCAGACGAAGAACTCGGCTACCATTGATTTGAAGTCAGCCGCTTCTGTCCTATTTATTCATTCGCGCTGCATTCTCTAGGTGGCGACGGATCATCTTTCTCTCTGCGAGACGTCCTGCTGAACCTTTCTCTGCATATCTCCAGACCGCCATCGGCCAAGCGCAGTCTTTGGCGGTAGTCCAATCTGGGGCGGTGACTGCTTACTTCGCTCAGCTCCCGGTGGTACTCTACGCAGCTGGCCAGGCGCCGTGCAACCTGGAAGTTGTGGGACCGGTGATCGGACCCGGTACGTCTTCGTTCGGAGGCACAGTCTCGGAGTTTCGACTCTGCGAAGCGTTTCTGGGCAAAAAGTCCTAATGAATATAAAAGGGAGAATTTGTGGGGGCGGCGATGCTGGCGACGCCCTCGCCTGAACTGCCAGGTATCGTCGCTCGCCATGTTACTTCAGAGTCCGCTTTGCAGTTCCGCGAGCGATCATTGTCAGACCCTCGATCCGATAGGATTGTCTTTTCTGGGACACTAGAAGGAAGAGACGGGTCCTTGCTGCTGATTCGATACCCTCGACTTCAAAATGCCTCGTGAACCTTGGTCGTATTACGACTACTGATCCGATTGTGTCGCTTTTGTCTGTCCTGATCATCTCGTACAGCCTAGTTTTTATCCCCTTATATTTGCGCACATTTTTGACATCCGCCTTGAACGCCGTGGTTGCCCGACTCAAAAACGATTGACAGAGTGGTTGCTCGAATGTCAAGCCTCACAGGAAACTGCGTCGCATGTTGATTGCTTGGTATTGTTCAACAATCTGAGGGCTTCCCATCAGATATTTTAAGGTCATTATCAACTCTGATCAAGCCCGTCAACTTTCTCACTGAAGCAAAGGTCGCGAAACAATTGTTGACTCGTCTGTTACAGGGCTGTACTGCTTCGCTCTGCCAAAGAACTCCAGTTACACTAGCATTGTGAACAGGGGCCTGTTGCAGCTGAGCGAATCCGGGCTTCTGAACCAGGTCCAAAGGCGGTGGATCGACGATCAAAGCGTCTGCAAAGACGTCCAGGTAAGCAGCTAGAGATGTGCAGACCCTTCAAAAGCGACTCCTGTAAAATCTCCCAAGCGAGTGCAGCCGCACGAATCCATGCGCTTATGCTTTAATCTGCCCTAATCTGCCTGCCGTGCTTATGTTATCACGAAGAAAGTAACAAGAATGCGGGATGTTAGCATTCGGGATTCACAAAGAGGTGGTGTGACGAAGTGCGAGTGTGTTTGACGCACTTGCGGAAGGAAGCACTTTCGACAAGCACTCTGAGTGGGTTTTGTAAGGGCGCTCGATTAAAAGTCAGCCAACTGCATGCACGTCTGGTCATTGATGATGCTGATTTGTGCAAATGGATGAACCGGAAGCTCTGCCGTACTTTTGTAACGCTTCCTAACCCGTCTCTTACGTCCAGGTATCCAACCTGGCGCTTGGCATAAGCGACTTTGCCGGACTGTGGTACATTCTCTTCGCGGCGATCGGTCTCGGCATCCTGGTGGCGGCCACCGAACGCATTCTGTCCGCTATACTGACGCGGTCGCCCGCCGCACGCAACTTCCAGCGAAGGCTGAAGAAGCGCTTCAGCAGCACGGCAAGAAGTACACTCTGAGCCGCCAATTCACGATCGCGCACAATCGCGCGTTCAGCACGCGCGAGCGAAGCCATCCGGAGCCGGGAGAGGATGATATCGGTAAAGATGCGGATGTGGTAGATCTTGAGCGATGCAGCCCCGCAGGGCAAGGGGGTGAGGCGAGGTTTGGGAGGAACAAGGAATTAGACGCAGCGGTATACGTAGTTGCGTAAGCTTATGTAGAAAATTGATATGCTTCACGGAAGGAAGGTTGTTTTTCACGCCGTAACAGAAGTAGAAGGACCGAAAGGTCTACCGATCATTCAAAGGACTCAGTCGACCTAAGACTACTATAGACGCATGCACCGAGTAGACCCGATTGGTACAGACTGGTACAAAGGGTACTTGCGCGACTTATATACGTGTCGATTCATCGAGTCAGGTAGGTTGTAAGTTGAGCCAAGCAAACTACTGCAAGCACACGATTGTGTATAAGGACTCACTACACTCGAGTGCAAGACGTCGTCACAATTCGCTCGCTTGAGATAGTTTGGCTAGCTGCGCGCGGCAATGCTCTAGCTACAGCTGACCTCCGGCAACCGCAAAACTTAGACAAGATACTCTACGGTTTCCAGATTCTGATTTGTGCACGCACATGACAAAAGACCTGGCTCTTTTCTAGGACGGTCTCTAGCTTAGTTCAGGCCGGTCTATGGACGCATTGCTTCAATCACTTTTCACTCCACTGGCATCTACCAACGGGTTGGACCGCCCAATAACAGATTCTTCGCGGTCTCCATATCATGCCAGTGCTTATTCTAGTTCGGTCTCCCTCATGCCAGGCGCTAATTGAGAATCAAGTGCCCATGTGTATCATCGAATCGGATCTTGCAACGACCGCTCAGCTTCAGCACACTCAGTCAGTGGGTCGTAAGCTAGAAGTTCTTTGCAGCATTCAATAATCTAAGCTACATGCATGCACGACGTACGTACTGACGCATGCGCACCTGTATTCGACTAGGTCACTCGACTTGCAATCATCCGCGCATGACACGTATTGTCATCATTATCAAGCGGTACATATATGCAGCTGTCCAGGAAATCACGATTCGATATGTTTCGTTCACATGCATGGCAGTCATTCGACACAAATGTGACTTTCTCATGTGTTTGACTTCTGCCGAGAGCATCCCCGAAATCGAGGCCGTCTATATAGGATCAGCACTTTCTGATGTTTCAGTAGTTTATAAGAATCTTGATCGAAAATTCTCTGCAAATGTTTAAAGCAGGGGCCGTGTAAGTAAACTTAAAACATGCCAGCAAAAGACGCATGTGCAATTCCACAGATATACCTCAGATGCTAGATGTTGCCACCTGGGCCCTGTATGTCACTGCATACGCCGTGCATTTCATCAAAGAGAGTCCCGGGCAGTAAGATGGGAGTCCCGGGCAGTAAGATGGATGTAAACACGTCATTTATTCCGGTATTCAGTCTCAGCGTCGCACGGGCACCGCAACAACCGCAAGGACATGGTATATCCATGTGAGACTTATTTTGCGCGCCATGCGGCTTCGAACCCTCTCTTTAACGAGAGCTAGTCGTCCTCATCGCCAGCCTGTCCCACATGGTTGATCTTTTGACTACGGTACATTTCCGCAATCTGCTCCGATGACGTTGCCGACTCTGGCTTCTTGTCCTCCCGAAGCCGGATGAAGCGCGGGAACCGAACGGAGATGCCCTGAAAGCAGAGTAGATAAGATCGGGTTAGCTCAAATCGTGGCCTAACCTTTAGCAGCTTCTCGCTGCTACCACTCCGACTGGATTGACGGGCCCAGAAGCTGCTGCACCTACCAAACAATTGGCATCACAATAACACAGCAATACCGCGTCAGTATCTGTCAGAGATTGGTAAGGCAAAGGGTTTTAGAGCAAACATCATACTCTCGGCTGCGTCAAACCACCGAGCTTCGCGCCCTCTGATGGCCCATGCACTTGGACGCACATTAAGAGCACTCTACTTTCTTGTGTAGCTCTTTCGCAACTCTGTGCACATTATGGATGTTTCAAGGACGGACAGAGCCAAACACTTCTTCTGCGAGCCTCGAGTCCTCGCGTCTACTCTGTTCCCGGAACCAGATTGAACTCCAACCACGAGGTGAAGTCACCGTCAAATTTCATCACATCCTGTTCAGAAAGCTACACGTGTTTTGTCTTGAAGTGTGCTGCTGCGGATAGTATCGTAGAGCGGAGGGCACGGAATAGAATTGCGTCCGCTGAGAGTCTCGGTTCCTTACCTTCGACGGGTCAACGACACCAGCCGCAGCTCGATAGTGCGGGCTTATGGACAGGTCGGCCGCTTTCACCTCCCAAACCTGCCACAGCCAACGTTTAAGTTGCGCCTATAAGGCAAGAAATGCAGGGACATGCGAGATGCTCTTCGTGGGCGTGCATTCGAATGCACAACGGGCTCGAAGGATCTCAAACTCGCAAGAAGGAGAGCCGCTTCACCAAAGCAGAAAGTGTCACAAAAGGGCGGCACGGCTTTCGATTCTACTGCTTGCTTCTGCAACATCTCAGTGGCAAGAGAGGGGGGCAGACGCAGGAAAAGACGGACTGGAAGGGTCGCGCTCTCGAAGGGTAGCTAGCTGTTATGGGATTCCGGAGAAAGTCAAGGCAAAAATGGAATCCCACCTCGTGGGGCTCGAACCAGACGTCAACCTTCTTGGCAAACGTCTCGTCCACTTGGTAGTATGGCTGGTGGGAAAAGGAGAAGACCTCGTCAACGCGAGAGCAGCAGAGAGGAACGACGAGCGACGTCATGGCAAGTGAGAGCCTCTAACTCCTATTGGTAGTTTCCAGAAAACCGATGACGTCAGCAAAGGGGACACTTAACGAGGTGACGTCCGCCAACGTCAAGGAGACAAGACGAGTACTAATCCAAACGAACAAGGAGTTACAAACGTGCACAAGGCTCTGTCAACGTCTCTCGCAAAACAAGGCTCTCCAGAAGCTTGCCAGAAGTGCACCTTGAGACAGTTAATGCCGACCGGCTTTTCCAACAAAAGCGAGCGACATACAAGATCGCGGAATACCAGCGAAAACGTCTGAACGCGAAAAGGAAGCGTTTCTGAGTGCTCGAGGACGTGTACCTTTGGAGCATCAATCACGTGGTCCTTCAACGCGTTGAAGCGCTCGGTCAGCATGACGTCCGAAAAGCCGGTTCCTGCAAGAACACCGGTTCGCAAAGTGAGCTGGGAGAGCCGGGTCGAGCAGAAGGACTGGCTCTGGGTCTCTCTCGTTGGTGGCATATAAGCGGGGTATCTTACTTGGCCGCGGAAATGAAAATTGACATGCCAACAAAAGGCCTCGGACCGTCCAGATTTGGTAAGCGTATCATCGATCTTTCAAGGACACCAACCGGTATCAGGCAGCTGTCCTGAGCAAAGTGATGATCCCAGCATGTCTTTCTTGTCTTTCCGGTGCCACCAGGTGCCCTTCTGCTCTTTCACAGCCCAACCGCCCCCTCAGAAATCACCTGCCAATGATTGACGCGCCTCGGGTCTTTGACCTTCAAACAAGAAGCTGCAACTCACTTGTCTTGAAAAAAGGCCTGAGTTTTACTGATCCTCACCCTTTCCATCTTCGAACCATTTTCCATGATCAGAGATCCACAGCCACTCCCTAAGACTTGTGGCTGCTCACCGATTTTGGAGATGGCTTGATACTCGTCGTTTTCCTCGTCGTGACACGCGAGCAGGTACGCCCCATAAACTCCGGCCCGCTTTCCGCCGCCGTAGAACGCCCCGATTGGCACCAAATCGATGGTATCGCCCACGCTGCATGGAACCGTGACGTTGAATGTCGGATACGTTACGGAAAAGCAATTGGATTCTGAGCTTTTTGGTCGGGGGTTGCAGGGGCTAAAAGGGTCTGGGCATTGTTGTCTAGTCACCCCCACACGCAGGATCAGGACTTACGCCAATCCAAAAGACGACAGAAGCATGTGTCCAGGGCTCTGAGATTCGGCCGGCCGCGCGTTGCAGGGGCTCGGGAGCTTTCCCAGTGTTTGACCATCTACGAGAGAGGACTGCGCGCAAAAGCCCTGGTCTGCGCGCGGATCGGCCTTTAGGTCTCGCCTTGAAATAATAGCCCCGAGCTGCGAAGCCTACACAAAGCAGGCCTGACTGGCTGAATCCTACCTCCGGTGTCAACACTGCAATCAAGACTTTCGAAGGAAAACTGTACTTTTGATATGAAACTCTGATTGGAGTAGCAGTTTCAAACATGGGAAATTGCACAAGCCCAGAGCTCGCCAAAGCTGCTGCGGAAAAGCTTACGTGTCCAATCACCCTTTTCGAGCTTGACTCCAACAGACGTCTTTAAGCGTCAGTTAAGATTGTTAACTGCTCGGAGGCAATAGAATCGGAGTCAACGGGAAGCTGCTGCACAGAGGCTCACGTGTCCATGTAGTCCTTTTTCAGCTTGAGCCAGTGATTGGACCGCTGGGACGGCTCGTAGGTCGCTTCCTCCGTCAACGTCTTCACAATGAGCCCTTCGCAACTGCAAAAGGGAAAGCTCTTGATTTCTTAGGCTATCGGTCCCTCTAGATTTGACCAAGGGTCTGCTCGAGTATGCGTCACGTTCTTGTCAATGTGAGCAGAACCAAAGAAGACTCCAGGACTACAGTTTACCGTTAAGAAAGAAAGACTCTTGCATTCCTCCGGTTGACAATCTTGCTGAAGCTCGCCCATGACCAACCAGCGTGGCTCCACAACAACTTTGGCAATCGTCTCAAATCCTAATAACAATTTACCACCGATATAAACAGAACCGGATGTTTCATCGCTGCTGCCACACCGAAACGCTTGCGTTCACACCCGGACCTCAGGAGGACGACAAGACAGGAGGAAAATCTAACCAACGTACTTGCGTTTTTCTTGAAGACTAAAACTTTGAGGAGCGATCATCGAAGACAAGCTCCAGAGTTTTCTTACTTTGTAGCCTTTAGTAACGACTGACCTGTGGTCCACCGCATCGTTCAAGAACTGCTGCATCTCCTCCAACTCCCGGCTCGTGATCGTCTTGGCGAACTGGAACTCGCCCTTGACCTCTTCAAACGCGCCGAACAGCTTCTCCCTCCGTTCCCGCAGCTGCTCTTCGATCAGCGCCTCCCCGTTCAGGTACAGAAGGTCGAACGCGTATAAGCACAGCTGCACCTTGATATCCGCCGTTTGCACCTGTTTCCGCGCGCGTGTGCTCAGGACCT